GGGGATGAATGGCGATGTGAATGAGAACGGATTGTGAAGAAGAGGTGAAAGAGAGGGAGAAGAGGCACGGGAGAACACAAACCGAGAGCGAACGAAATTACTGGCGATGGTCATTGAAGTCGAGCAGCGCGTGAAGCAACGGCATTGTCGATCTCGGTTTCTCGCAGATTGAATCTTCAGGTTACTGACTCCCATAGGAGTCGATTTGTCGATCTGAAGGAACGGCGCTCAATCAAATTATTCCGAGGTGGGAAAAAATGTCTGATACTTTTCGTACTCCTTCCCTTGAAGCAAACATTTTGCTTCACGTGTACCATTGGACAATATATAAATGCATTTGATGCCTTTTTCATAAACTTGACATAGCACAAATTTTACGTATCTTCTTTATAGGACAATGAAATAGATATTACAGAGATAAAACGATCAAATTTTACACATCTAACGCGATTTTTCACAGTGAGAATTTATTCAGAAAATTTTCGATTTATTAGTTTCGATCGTTAAATATTTTCTCTCAATCAGACATATTGCCAGAGATCAAAACAGCAACTCGCCGTGAGATCTCGTCGTCTCCGAGAAGAAACATTATCCTCGAGACAGGATACTCGGTATAAGAAGAAATCGTTGATGGTAAGCGATACGCGCGAGTTTCCTGAGCGCGCGTATCCATAAGACTTCTCTCTTCGCTACGTTATGCCTGGTTTATGTGCAGCCGACATATCGACCGATATATCGATCGCATATAGACGGAGCTCTCGGCCCGACGTTATATCAAGACGACGCGACAATATCGACTTACATTACACGACCGAACGAGCATCTATCTCGGTGGGAACCGAAGCCCCACGAGCTTCTTGAGTTCTTCTTAACGGCTAACGGCTATGATCTCTCGGTTCGTCCGAGATTCTGAATCCTGTGCATGCCACGTCGATCGCTATGCCGCCGAAGGATGAGATCGACGAGGTGGAACCGGCGCTCACAGAAAGCACGTCGAACTCGCGACAACGCATTTCTTTCTCTTTTTCTCGCCTATTTTTTCCCTTTTTTCTCTCTCTCTCTCTCTCTCTCTCTCTCTCTCTCGTCTCGAACCACTTCAAGGAAAAGTTTCATTTACAGGAAAACGTCTATATCTAGCTAATAAGGAAAAAAATACGGAATACATTTTCACGGTAAATTTACGTATTTCTCAGCAATTCTGAATTATGCAATTATCGGCGCATCGTACGTGCGATCAAATGCACAATACTTCTAATTAGCTCAAACCAACTTGTGAGAATTTAATAATTCGAGACGAGAAAAGATTCGATTTTTAAATTGCAACGTCATTCTGATAACAAAGTGACTACTATGCAACTTCTATGTTACTCGCGAATATCAAGGTTGACGACAATCACGATCGCCTAGGTTGGATCTCTTTTCTCGGTGCGGAGAAGAAATCTCTGAACAATCTTAAGTCAGTAGCGAGAAGATGAGGTCGATCGAACCACCGTGTACCGGATAGCGGTAGCACGGGAGAAGAGATGGGGGATCGAAATGGAAGAACAACGGGGGCGGCGGCTAGATGGGAGGGAAACCGAGAAACGGCGAAATGACGGCGGTCGATGGATGGTTCGTTAAGTAGATGGCTGGTCGGAGGACTAAGCACCAAAACCACCTCACTGTGGTTTCACACCCGCGGAGTGAAAGAGAGAGAAGGAGAGAGATGGAAGGGCAAGAGAAAGAAAGAAAAAGATATAGGGCAGCAGTAAACAACTCGGAGTTCCTTTGGTCAGGACTCGTGTGTTCTTTCGGCCGGGAGAGACGACGACAACACTGCGATCTTTGACGCAAAAGTCGCCTTCTGAGAATCGATCATCATCACAACGCGAGCATTAGCGTAACGACAATGGTCAGCTGTGCGATAAATGTCGATGGAATCAACGACGTTGACTACGAGCGTACGAGCGAAATAGAGCATGGACTGTGACGTTGATCGTTAAATTATTAATTAATAACGATGGAAAATCCGTTTAAAGCTTACAATTAGTTTCGGATTTTACGCTCTTCATTACGTATAGATGAAAGAGTGGGTTTTCCTATGCGTAGAAGAGTGCTAAAGATGTAAATGACGTAGCTAATTTACATTTAATTATTTATCGCTTAATACTATACAATAAGTAAACCAATCCACATTTAACTTTACCATAATACGCAATATTTTTTTATCATTGTAATTAATGATCTGTATCTATCTAGGTTGCGAAATCTAGTGGTTGGAAAATGCTGTTATTATATTTCTCAAGTTCAAATTCGGGATAATGTTTATTTGTCTGATCTGTTATCCATTATATTATAAAGACGATTGTAATGCAAGGATAATAAAGTCTGTAAAAGAAAATGATTAAATGCATTATACATAGAATATTATAGCGTTAACTGGAACGACAAATTCGGAAATGTCACTAAAAAACCGGGGACGTATGGTCACCGTACTAATAAAGCATTGTTAAGCAAAAAGGGAAGAAGGAAAGAAGAAGAAGAGGAGGATAAAAAACGATCCTTCGTTCTGAATGGAATAGGACGTAATTTTTCTTTTCTCACTCGTCCGCTCATAGAGAATCATTCGGGAGAAACGGACTATTATCTAACAGATGGTCCTGCCGACACCAATCCGAGTAGAGTGTTGTGTTAGTGCCTTTGTTTTGTTACCGTTGTTCCGGTAATTGCGGCAAATACACGGCCATTTTCGGTAATCATCCCCTTCTGCACCTTGCCTGATCGCCCTGCACGGCGGTCCTCTTTGAGAATTTCGAAACGACCTCGACCTTCTGCTTAGTAGGCGTAACGACAGTTTTGCCCGACCGGTCAAAACCGATCGGTACCGACCTCGACCTCACCTCATGATAGAACTTGGCCGATTTAAACGATATTCGAAATTATTTGTACCTGTCGCATGTATCAATGGCTTGAACTTGGTGAATTCTATACATTTCTATCTAAAAAATAGAACATTAAACTAAGAAGTATTAAATGTGGAAATCCCAATCTACCATCGACGACTAAGCGTCACAAGTATAATGTAACTAATAACGACAGATTCCAGTTAGTATTGCTAAATAGGGAAAACTTGGAAAAGATTGTAACGAATTCGCGAGAATAGTATTTTACATATAAAATTTTCCACATAAAAAGACAGAGGTATTCCCCACGCGTGAAGGCTTGCACGCGAAAGAGGTAATTCCGACAAGTTTCGTGTTAATTTTCCTCGAAGCTGTGAAGAAAACGTTTAGCAGCGCTGAGATATAATTATCGTTGGAGAATGATAATTATATAATGCTATTAACAGAGATTTTATTAAAAATTCCACGATACGGAATTTATATTATCTCAAAATCTTATTGAGATAATGATTTCTACAAAATAAAAGATTAAATTTACATTTTTCTATTGAAGAAGTCTTTAGGTTAAAAGTTTCCGAAAAATTTTTACTATATATTATTTCTTTTTTTTAATTTCTCTAAAAATTTAAAGTGCTTACTTTCAAGCTTACTTTAAGAAAGACTAGTGCATTTCGAAACTCGACAATGATTACGATAAAGGAATTCCCAGAACAAAGCGAATGATCAATAAGCTCTTGAAAACCGAGTTTTATCACTAACCGATCTCTATTTGTCCGGCGATAATCATCAATGTTTTCACGGATTTTCCACCGATTTTTTTCTATTTGAGAAACGCTTTTGTCATTTACATGCACTATTGCACGTTAACATCGGATAAAAAAGATCACCGTTCACGTGAATTAATTAATGATTTTTTAAGAATAAAAAAAACGTAAAATAATTAAGAGTTTATTATCATAAAATAATATAATACCAAAAAAATATATAAAATACACGCTAGACAACTATACATAAAACTAGATTTTATATAATGTTGAATATAAAAAAATCTAAAAAAAATATTTTTATAAAAATTTTATTTTAATATTTTATAATCTTACGTCTTCCTCTAAGTATAAGAAAAAAATAGGCTCGCGTGCAATACGTGTATATTTTAATTAAACGAATGTTCCACCACTTTATATATATATATATATATGGGACAATGACACCGAAAAATTTCTCCGAATCGTATATGAATCATCGCATTATCATTTTTCTCTCCTTGTCTTTCTCCATATTAAGAAGGATTCTATACGTAATCCCAGATAGGGACGTATAATGCTTTAGAAATCCCAGTACTTATGATGATATATCCCAGTAATAGGTATAAGAGAAATAATATTACTAATACTTCCGACACGTATAGAGCTGCCAGCTGCGAAGAACAATGATTTGATTTCTTTCGTGGAAGCGAGCTCTTCGCAAAGTGAAAGTACAATATATGAGATTGCAATTATAAAACTTGATAAAGTGATATTGTCCGATGAATAATACTGTTATACTTGGTTCACGCAACGAGGAAATTACTTATGCAGAACAAGATGCGGGAGGAATGGGAGGATAGTACGATTTGAAAGTTGCGAATCGTTTGATCGTATATATTTACACTTTTATCAGCACGATTGTTGCGCAATCGCCGCTTTACTTAATGATCTCGGTCTCACGATGCGATGCGACTCATCTGTATCGTACGAGATGCACGCACGAGGCACATACGTTCCAATACGTTCACTTCCAGCGTTTAAGTTTCCGTCGCGCCTACTTCGACTCGTGAGTCGTGACTCATGTCAATTAATCTGCCTATGTTACTCACTCGAAACTCCGTTACCGACTCATACGATTTGCTGCGCATTTTAAGAAGCACGTTTTACGGTACATGGCTGTAAGATTCAGTTCTTTGGCTTCTGATGGATTACACGCTAAAAATTTGTATTCTATTAAAATGATATTCAATTAAAGCCTAATGAATAAAATATAAATTGCTTGTCTTGCAAAATATTTATGTCGTAAGTCTTATCCGCATATATAGAAAATGAATCAAATAATTATAAAGAAAAATAACATTTTCTGTTATAGATACGGGTATAGGTTCCACAGAATGGACCTATCCATCCACAGCACCGTCTTATCCAGCTCCTCCGGTCAGCAGCGGTGGTTCCTATTCCCCTTTACCCGGCGGTGCATTTTCATATCCGGGGGAATCACTGTCGCATCATCCAACGACGGAACCGGTGCCATTACCAACTGGTACGATTAATTAATACAGGCAATCAAAAAACTTGAATTAATTTACGTTGCTGATCCAGCAATGTGATTCGCCGACGCACTGCTAATTAAGAAACACCTACGACGGTTTAATAACATTCTGACGCATAACTCGTACCAGGAAAAAGTTTCGTAACACGCTATCTTGAAGGTGTTTCATTTATATCTATTTTAGAAATTATATTACAGTTGATTTTTTAAATATAGAAACTCACAGAATATAAATTGCTTTGCCAACAATTATTTATAAACGCAGAAATATCTTTTGTAATAAAACCTAGAATTGTTAAATTGTGTCTTAGAGAGTTTGCACATCGGACTAATTAAAATTTTTCAAAGATCTACCACGAATATTACAACTTTTTTTATGACTGTCGTTATTTGCACAGTTTGCTCGTTACAAATTTTCTGTCTAGCGCATGAAATTTTATTGTAAGAACTCTGTAGCTGTTTTCACGATTTTTGAACAGTTTGCAATTTGCAAGTCAAAACGATATTATTTTCTGCTTGCAGTACTTCCTTCGGAAACTCAACAGGACACCTACACGCCGAATTGCGTTTCCATGTACTCAGGACACGGCACTTCGCCGACCACGTCCTTGCCCTTGGTGCCGACCAGACCCAGCGACCCTGACATCTTTGCCGGTGGTGGCACGGGCAGTGCGGGTAGCCCGGGTTACCATTACAGTTCCTGGACACCTGGCCCGGCGACCCCGGTCCCAGTGGCTTCTCACAATTACAACCCCAATTATCAAGGCTACTACAACAATCCGGGTCAGAATTACATTACGGGTCCGGCACCAATGGTCCTCTATCCTCAGCTCTACAGCACCGTCAATCAAAACCAGATTCATCTGCATCTGCATGGCGATTTGAGCGAGGAACAAGTCACCATAGCAGGTGGCAATCTTACCATCAGTAGCATCCGAGAGATCGGCGTACTCGGCGAGGAGAGCGAGCAGAGAAACGATGTGTGGAGACCGTATTAAAAAGAAGAGATCTCTGTTAATATAATTAAAATTGCCAGAGCGGCATATCATATACGAACAATGCGCGAATTTCCAAGTGTGGCAATGTAATTTCTAATTAGTGCTCTAATTAGTGTAACATATAACAAAGACAGCAGGATCTGTACCAAGTACCAAGTTACAGAAGAAGGACGTGCATAAGACAATTGCTGTATGAATAGCAATATTTCTTCGGGTCATCCACGGGTTACGCGAACTATCGCGTCTGTAAGAACCCAGTTGGTGAATGATATCCGGTGTTTCGTAGTGATCGCGTATATGAAAGTGAAAATAATTGACTCATTCACGTTGAGTGGATGAACGTTTCACGAACGTTAACACGAAGTGAAACAAACTTTACTTAAAAAATTCTTCAATTTATGAAAAATCAACCATTAATGGAAAATTTCATTAAACGAAACTATAATAATAACGAAACTAATCAATGAGTGAAGAATCATCATTGTGCGCACAAAAGTGGAAAGCCTCTTGGTGTTTCGTAGTGATCGCGTCTATGAAATTATTGATTCATTCATGTTGAACATGAGATCAAGTGAAACACAAACTTTACTAAAAAGAATTTACTTAAAAGATCAACGAGCATCTATGAGATCTCGTTAAACAAAATTGATGAAACTAATCAATGACTGGAGAATCGTTTTGTGCGCACAAAAAGAGATTCATCTTCATTCGATTGTTTCTTAAAACGAGTTAAGAATCAGATCACGAAAATATCGGTTGATTCTTGAGAAGTTAGTCAAACCCTGTAACGTTGTAAATATATACACATATTTTCAGAAATGAAATAAATTTGTCCGATAGGTTTCTACATCCTTTCTCTTGACCGCTTGACGTGTCGTGGGAAACGTTCCTATACGAGTAAAGATAAATACATTTGAAATTATTTCTTTTATATCTAGGTCTAAAATATATCTTGTGAATAAACTTTTTTAAATTTTTTCGCAAATTTAAGATTAATTTCAGAGATAATGAATGGATAATTCGTTTCGACGTGGTCTTTACACATATATACGATAGAAAAATCTTCATTCGTATGGGAATTAACAGACTATAGCAACGCTGTTGTCTCTTTCGTCATGGGGGGACGGATAACCCTTTTTACGAGCGCAGCAAGCTCTATTTAATATTTAAAGCACGTTGGAAATGACGAACGGATGGATAGTTGCGGTCTGGCTGGTCGCGACATCGTCGGTTCGTCGTTCTTGCGTCCCTTTATTAGCGAGTCACCCCATGCCGTTTCGTGTCAGTTAAATCTTTAAACTTGCCTCACCTAAATTAACCCATAGCAAATTTTGCGCAATAGCTAATTTATTTACCGATAAAAAGCACGGCTAAATTTATAGTCGGATCACATCAGATCACATCGTCAAATAATAATTCAGAATAACTCTTTTAAAATTATACGGTTATGTGCTAATTAAACGTGAAAAAATTAATTGATTTTCACTCAAATTTTTCATTTTTGTTCCACAGTTTTTTGCAATTTATCAGATTTGCACGCAATACATAAATCTTAAATTAGAAAGAACCGTTGAAGACAGCACAAAGATATACCATCGCATAGGAAATAATAGAAAATAATAGAAGATTGTCTAAACATACGTTGGAGTGAAATTACTACGTGGCTAAGAACTTAATAAGCGTCTTGGCAATTTTGCCGTTTGACAATATATATACGACGACGAAGTAATCTTCATAAGTAACTGGAATCAAAGTATAATAATAGACTGGAAATACTAAATGTCTACTTCCCAGTTATAAGTAATTTCCCCTTGTCTCCTTCTTTAATATATAACCACATTATTTGTTTCTATAAATAACTAAGACTGCTACAAGTATTCGGAAAGCGCCTAAAACAAAAAGAAACCTTACTATCCCATTAAAATTAATTAAAAGTAATTGTCATGAGTAATTACATTTATGAAGTAAATCTACACTCCATTGCTTCTTCGCATTCATCAAAAAGTTAAATATCGTTAAAGAGAATATGTAAATTATGGTATCCGCGTATTTTTATTCCTTTTTTTTCTTGACGATAGATGAAGCGAGAGAAAAAATACGTTGGTACAATCAGAAGTGCTGCGCGTTAATGGCTGCGAAAAACCGGACGAAAAATTCTTCCTACTTCAATGACTTCACACTTCGGAGAGATCTCTTCACTCTTCTCCCACTTCTCTTGCCGCGATGTTTACAGCCTCGACGCGTCCTGCGAATGGGACGCCACGAATAAAACCACGGAATAAGCTAAGGCGGCCGTCGCTCGTAAGCTTCTCTCTTTACGAGGATGACTCGACTCGTAGTCAACCGCAGACGAGAGTCTCCCGCCCTTTTCTACGTCCGTTAAAACGAACTGAAATACATTTCGTTTCGCAGGAAATGGTCGACATCTTTGGTACCAGCCGAGCATGGTTGATGAGAATAAATCGCGAAGTACTCGCGACCTCCGATCAAAACAGTCTTTAAATACTTGATAAAATATTGCTCGAGGATCTTACACATCCAGCTTTAGTAAAACAAACCTGACAATAAAGAAAAGATTGAAAATATTTAATACAATATACATTAAAAACAAATATTATATTCCTAAACAAATCGCGCAACAATCTAAAATAGTATTCAGATATTAGAATTCATTTATTTTAACGTTCATACATCTTGTTAGAGATACACGTTTCATACCATATATCGTATATATATTTCATGGACGCGCTTTAGCTGCATTGAGATCCATAACGATTTCTCGTAATTCCCAGTCACTCGTTTTCGTACATACATCTAGATGCATTTTGGAGAAAAACAGAGGATACATAGGCACATTTTATTATCAATTATCAACCCTTCCATTTAAACCATCTGATATTCAACAACATTTACAACATTTATGGAATATACCATACGTAGAGAAACATCGGGGATAATATCTGATGTATACATCAACGTTCAATTATATATTCTCTACATCAATTGCAAAACGAGGAAAATAAATTAATCAACAAATATAATCAATTACGCTTACGCAATGTGTAATATAAAATATTATTACATTACTATTATCTTAATTAAATTTACGCCAACAATGTTACGTTATATACAATAAAATAGAATACTTGCAAGGAATATATATATATATATATATATAATAATCCTTTTCAAACGTTAAAATCTTTCGCTCTTTTCTTCTACAAAAAAGATAATCGCTATTTATACTAGCAAAAAAACCTGCGCAACAAAAATGATAATATATTCCGTTGTTTATCAAGAGATCATCTTGATAAAAGAATAGAGGAGTGCCAATATCACTTGTGTCGCATTTGCCACGAGACACTTTTCATTCGTCGCTCGTGTTTTCAAAGCTTTACATTGGAAGCAAAAATCCGATACACCCGGCACTATGACCGGACCGCAAACTACAGTTAAGCGCAAAGAGCATAAAATGAGAATCGAGAGATGTGCATGCGGAATGGATCGTAAATAAAATTCTTGTCTCCGACGTGTCGACGTGTCGGCATATACGGAAAAAATAGAGACCCGCGTGATAACGGAAACATCGTATTTTTTCCAATTCAATTTACTTGTATCGATTGATATATCAATTTGATCGACAATTCCAAATAAAATATATCGACAGATTTTACATCTTCCCATTTCTCCTTTCAATTTTGCGTATCTATCACAGTAATAATAATAAAGAACTTGAAAAATAAGTCAAGCATGTTAATTAATTATTTCTTCGTTTCTCGAAAAGTCTTAGTAACTGAGGCCGCGATCGCGTACATAGCTAAACTCGATCGCTATTAATTATTTGTCAATCCATAAAGCACAGCGATACGGTGAAAGAGAGCTGAAAGACGTTGCTTCAAGCTCTGATCTATGGCATGCCTGGTCAATATTCGTACGCCGCGTACGAAAACTGGAAGCAACGGTTCCAATCGTTCATCCTGTAAAAAGATCCGCCAAAATTCATGTAAAAATAATTCAAATTGATAACAATTATAAATCATAAATTCAACAATTCTTATTTAAAAAATTAAACCGAATAAGTAACATTTAAAAAATTAAAATTATTTCCCGAAACAAGTTCTTACCTTCAATTTTGACGTTGATATTAGAACTTATTACGATATATTACAATGACAATGACATAATATATGTATTAGATAAAGAGAAAGATTGAAAAAACTCACTGGTAAAGCTAAAGCCCATTCCAATGCAATGCCCAGAGTGTCTGCCCAAGCTTTCCTATGAGCCTCGCTGTCTTTATTAACGTTTCGCCTTTGAATTTGCACTTCCTGGTTAACGATCGACTGGCTCTCAACCGTAGATGATTCTTCTTCGTCCCGCAAAAAGGGATTTGTTCTAAAGCCACGCTTGCTACGTTCATAATCGCGCAGTAATTCATCTATATTGTCAAGGATCTGTGAAGATTTAGAATTCTTTTTGTCCTCCTCTTTGATACTTTCTTCAGGTTCGCGAGACTCGCTGGAAGGACCATCGGACATTGTCCAAGCAGGTGTTCTACGCAGTTCCATCACCGACTTTGGTCGAGGATCCACAGAATCGACCAGCAATGACTTATCTTTATCTTCAAGTTCTGCAGCCATGACGAATGTCAAAGATTTCCGCCTGGATAATGGACCCACGTCGCTACCACGTCTTTCCAAATATGATTTTTTATGTAAAAAGCCTTCATCGGAAAACGAATTTCGATTTAGCGTCTTCATATCAGCCATGGACGTTCTCATAGAGATTGACTCCATTTTCCAACGCGAATCCAAATTATAAGAGATATCGTCACGACTGTACATCATCTTGGGAGGTGCCGGAGTCACAGCATTATACTTGGCATCGATGTAACCTTCACTGGAAGTTCCGCCGGAACGATCGAGGTAAACAATCTTCTCTGTGACCGATCCTAATCTGGACATCGGTCTAGAGTCGTCGGTTTCCGGTTCGGACTGTGGGCCGGAATCAGTTGAATATTCTGCGGCCAGATCCGACAACCTGAAAGGTCTCGGGTCGTTTTCGCTCTCAGCTCCAAGCTCTTCCAGGCCACTCTCGTCATCCAAGTTCGGATTGTATACGTCATCTGGATAATCTTGATCGTCCTCTTCGTCACCATCCGGTTGATTTTGACAAATACCAGGATCTTCTTTCTCCGACGACTCAACGAGGGCTGGCGTACTAGAAACAAGCCGATCGTCAATAGGCTCCTTTCTAGTAATCTCGGGATAATCATCGGGTTGCGCCACCAACAAGAATATCTTCCTCTCTGCAAAACTGTCGACCTTGGTATACTTGCCATCCTCGTCAAGAACTACTTCGACGTAAGTCTCGCAAAGCTCATCAAAAATTGTACGGAGTTGCCGCAGATATTTATTAAGTTTTCGGTGCTTGATGTCGTAAACACATTCTCTGTCGCCCAGCCCTGTGCCCAGAATGGTCTTTACCAGTTCCAGAGTCGCGTGAAGCTCCTCTATCTCGCGTAAACATAGCTCGAACAGCGTGATGATTTTAATGGTCCAAGCAGCGGCCGCTTGACGATATAGATTAGCTGGTTGCTCGAGATTTGCCACCTTTTGCACCAAGAATTTCAGGCCAGGTCGGCAATCAAACTTTAGTGCGGCGACGTATGAGAAGTCCAGAGCAGAAAGGAAAATCTCCACGTGATGCGGACTCAGATGAGACAAGTAACTCCGTTTGACGTTAGGATTAGGTGAACTGCATGGCGTTGAATGCGGGATGACGTGAGATAAACTATGGAAAAGTCGAACATCAAGTTATCACGCAATTATAATTCTACATTGATTTTTACCAAGTTTTAATCAAAGTTATTAACGTAAATTAAACTGCCGATAACCAAATTCCGCGTAATAAGTAATCGATATATTATAATGATATATCAAATATGTGTTAATAAAATATATTTGCTACATTATTATGGATTAATAAATGCAAGAAATAATCATAGACTAACCTTGAAATCGAAGAGCCGGCACCTTGAAGAAGAACACTCGCGATGCAATGAAGCAGCATCTGATGTACCAAAAGTCCGACTACCAACGCACGCAACTGGACTCTAACGATGTAAAGGTCGGGATTGAGAGTAGCGCCTACGGCAGGAGGATACAAAAGGAACACGTACGACCTTTCATCGGATGATCGCGAAGCATCTTCGACTCGTGTTTGTTCCTCCAGGAGGAACACCTAAAGACACAAGTACGTGAATTATTAAGTCTAAACTAGTTTCAAGCAGAATTCTGAATGTATGATATGACTATGACGCAGTTCTTGAAGATCTGGTGAAATTTTGTGAAAATTTGCTACACTTTGCTACAATAAAGCAACCGTTAAGTTTGGTTGCAAGTAAGATTATGTATATCATTATCAGTTCTCATAATAATGCATTTAAAAATTTTATGCAAAAAAGTTTTTCAATTAAGAATACATTATCATACAATATGTGCAATAAATCGTTTCTAATAATTTTTAATTGATTGTGAGAAAATAATCTTAATTACAGTAATAGTAACGGTATGCTCAGCCTAACACGACTCCACAATTGTTTCCGATCAAGATAATGTGCGCAAACTACGAAAGCTGCAGCTTCTATAATACGGTGTCGTGTACCGTTACCTACATGTTGCTGTGACAGTGAAATTCTAGCCATGGACCCAAGCCATGGATTTTAATAGTGATTCGCAAGATCGTGCCAAATAAAATTGAAATGATGTTTCAATCAACACGACGAGATCCTTTTTCATAAATTTTACGAGATGAAAAGAAAAGAAATTACAAAAAGCATTTTTTAGCAATTTGTTTTAATAGATATCAACAAAACAAAAAATTTCTGTTTAAAATAAAAATTTGGTTTATAAAAAAACAACATTACATCATTAAACTTTTTTCTTTTCAAGGACTTATGTGCAATTTATTTGACGATATCTATATCTTCATTACTTGAAAAGGATCTCGTTGAAGCGCCTCTGCAGCCCAACCCGTGCCTTCTACCAGCATGTGCAAATGTTAAAAAAAAAACATGGTGATCCAGATCGAATGACGTTTTCTCGTCGACAGGCGTATTCCAAATAAATGATCTTTTGTTCAAGGTAAAGGGTGAGTGAACAGTCAATCAGCTTATAATAGAAAGCTTTATATTTGTTGAACACAGTCATTCAGCGGTACAAAAATACATAGGAAACATTTTGACTCTGTCACGTCGTCAATATCAGCCACATCGAACAAGCTTGGAATACATCGAAAGCGATCAGTCGATTATGCTTGCGCCATTATACTCAACGTACATATAAAATACTCGTGTTCAATGTATACATAGGTGAAGTATATTACTCGGTATACGAAATTATTTGTTAGCTGAAAGTAGCTTCTGGAATTGCTCTTGATTCAAATTGTAAGACGTGAATGCTAAAACTCGGCCTGTCGACGACAACGTGATGGAACGCCTCCACGACTCTGTGAATCACTCGGCGTGGATGTCAAACATTTATCCACGTTATTCTGCCGGTCAGTATGGTGAATCTCGATACGATACAATAACATAATTTTTTTTCTCTGGGTTTGATTGTTCTTAAAATCCATGACGTGAGTTACCGTGGTCGGCTAGAGCCATTGGGGGCCTGTGTTCGTCGTAGTGTTAGTGTAATCGGGGGGTGTCGTGTGCTGCCTACAACCGATGGGGTAGGAAGTAGTGTGCTGATCGATCAGTGTCGTCTCAATGGTCGTCAAATCCTGGAAAGGCGTCGTCGGCAGTGACGCCGCGCTCTGCCTCTTGACGGCAGTCAATACCTCACGCAGCTGGCTCACCTGGGAGCAAGTCAGGTCAGGAGGGAACCACCTGTGTCCCTGTATCTTTATCTTTCTTTTTCTACCTTTCTCTCCCTCACACACACACACCTGACATTCTCGCACTCGTTACTTCGTCGCAACACAACACACATGAATAACGCGATACTAGAAGTTTATTGGGTGACAAGATGTCTATACAGAAGAAAACTCATCATCTATTATCAAATAGATGGTAGCGGCCGATCGTAAAAGTTTTCGTGATAACTGTGAATTTTAAACATATAATATTTTCGATATGATATTTGGCACTAATTGTCACAATCAATTTCGATTTTTATCTGTTTTATGTAATGTTATTATTTTGACTGAGAATTAATCGTACTTAGCACGAGATATAAGCCAAGAACAATTTTAACATCGTCACATGTGTATGATAAATGTAAAAATGAACTTCTGTCCTCGAGTTAGAGCAGAATCTATATATTCCGAATGTTTCGTCTCGTGGCTGCGAGGAGCACATCGATAAAGCACATTGAACGTACAACAATTAGAAACGACGGAGAATATCGGTACTCTCCCTCGCGTATGACACCTCTCGAAAATAAATCTCGGATTACTTACTTGAGCAGCAAGTTGTCGCAGCCTTTCCGTTTCTTCCGGTGTCGCGTCTCGGCGCGCTGCGACCTTCACTTGGGCGACGTCCCCGTAAAAAGATTCCGATCTGGGTGAGAAAGCCATGGTCAGCTGGTGCAACTCCTGCAACGAATTCGAACAGGCGCGGTAACACGCGACACCGCAGACTTCCCATTGTTCCGGAGTAAGGAGTGGTCCGCTGCTCACCAAAATGTGCCTGACAAAAATATATTAAATTATTTTTATAATTTGTTAAACCGCTTAATATCACTTATGATTTCTAAATAGAATGATAAATAATAGCAACGATAATATCAAGTAGAAAGATTTAAATTTTTTTCTACGGATTTCTTTAATTTTTTATAATAATTAAAACACGAAAGAGCCTTTCAACGTCTCTACAGTCTACAGTCTACATTGCTATCGCGTTGTTCCGTAATAAATCTCACAAGGACACGAGCAATGATCGGTGAACGGTAATCGGATTTCTCGTGCTACCGTGTCAACGATAAAGTTGGCCAACCCCTTCCGCGCGGTCTCTCAAGCACGCGCTCTTTCATAGCTATGGCGATCAAGCGAGAATCATCCGATCCGCTGAATGTTGTGGAAATGGGTTGTCTACCTACCTACACTAAGTGACGCTAAGATTTCAGATCAGGATACCGTTCGGTTCGTCATTCGCGTACACGAACCTGCTCCGTTTTTAAATTCCGGCGTACATACAACACGTGTACATCGATACCTCGGGATCGGCACCGATTCGCGGGATCATGTTACGGATCGCTCATGTCTCGGTCCGGTTGGATGTATATGTCTACCGTGCACGTTAATATAGAGAAAATGCGCCGATGACTCTCCAGGTGGATGCAACATGCAACGTGTGCAGTCGTTAGCATGACGCTCCGAGGGTGTCGAGTGTCGGTGGCTACTTTATCCCACCGGACAGCTTGTCAAGCTTCATTATCGTCTTACACGCACGCTCCGCGCCGCCGTAACAACGATATACCTATCTTATCTGTCCACCACGAGATACATTCCATCAAACTTAGTCGATACACCGATTCACCCCGAAAAACTGAAAATCGACGCGATAAAAAATCGATACGCTAATATATAAATAAATACAGCGTTACTGTAATCACACACAATACAAAATTATGTAAGAAACAGTACTACGCTTTATTCTCCAGTATTAATTTTATGATCCAGCTTTCCTAATTGAATTTACGAAATAACCAACGACAACACGTCGTTTCAATCAGCCATTAAAGAACCACCTTTAGTACCATCGCCATTATATTCCGGTTTTCTCTCATTTTTACTGCAATATCGTATTGTTGTTAATGCCATCAAGCATCGATTTTCTATGCACAGACAACCATCGCGCGTTAAACCACGTAAATATTAACGAAGCTCGCGCGAATCGCAATAAAAAGAGCGAACGAGCGGACAAGCAAATTACTTCGGCTCGCTTCGGCTGGCTTTTATGTCGCGAGCTGGAAATGTCCTCCGCGCTTTTGACTTACCTGATGCAAGCGCAGCCAAGACGAGCTATACTCTCCGTAGGCTGTACAACGCATTCCGCCATCACTAACAAAAGCTGTTTCAACATTAGCGTCGTGGCAGGTAAATAGGCATCGTTTCTAACAATCTCTGGACCTAAACAGTAATTAAAGATAAACACAAACGAACAGAGTAGCAATCGCAGTCTTTCGCATAATTTCTTCTTATTTTTATTATCTAGATTAGTGTTTTTCATATTACCTTGTAAATGTGTCAAATAATCAACCACGAGATCTGTTGTGAGACCGCAACACTGTTTGAAATTGGGCGCAAAGTTGTCCCATCCACGAAAGATCTTCGACGTTTTCCTTAGCCAATTTTGCACCATGGGCAATAATAGATGATTAACGCAGTAGAGTCCAAACGCTGGCCCGGGTACATTCAAAATATCGCGCAAGAGATGGAATAGAGTCTCTAGAGTATGCGGTTGATAACGCTTTGGACAGATCATAGTTGCGCTTGCCAAGCCTTCGATAAGGATGTACCAGACCCTGAGGATACCACTAGGCTTGTCCATACTCTGCAACGTGGCGATAGGATGAGCGTCCTTGTCAATTAATGGAGTCAGCGCGTCGTATGATTTTTCCGGAATAACTTCCTGCATCGACTCGATATGCTTGTCGAACCTAGTCAGCTCGAGATTCGGAATAATCGGATCCACGTATTGCGGAATCGTAGAGACTTGAATTCTCTGGGCTGAATGAAAGATCGGGCAGGCCGGCATCCGATACATCGACGACAGAATATCGCTGCAACTCAGCAGATACTTCAAACTTTCAACACAGAGTCTCATTCTTCTCGATTCTGCGCTATCGATATTCTCAGTCTCCTCAGCTTGAGCTTCGTTATCACCGATACCTCTCACGTGTTTTAGCAGGCATAAGATACAGTCCAAAGCGGCGTTAGCAAAAACCAACGTGTTGTCTGTTGAGAGGAAGACTCTGAAAACTTCTAACAAAGGCGCCGATTCCACCGAATCTGAATTGTTAACCGACGCCACTCGGAGAGCGCCGAAAAGTGGACGCCAACCTGAACGTATCTCAGTACGATTTGTTTCAACGAACTCACAGATGCAACTAACAATCTGAAAAATTTATAGTTTGCAATCCCAATTTTTTAAGTTTGTGCTTTACACATAATTGTGAATGGCTAATCCTTACTTGATCCTGTACATCGCTATCGCAAAGCTCAAGACACAAAAGGTTTTCAAAAGGTTTGAAGAGCGCCTCGTTAAAGTGAAAATGCGGAAGTTCTATCTGTTCGTTTAACAAGGCCGCCATGGAATCGTGAATGCATTGAACGGCTTTCTTCGAAATGCTACGGTCCTCGTGGCAAGCCGCCTCCATGAAGTGTGGTCCCAAAATAGTCCATACCTGAAAAATTATTTAATTTTTAAATCGTACAAATTACGATTGTAAATTATTAAGTTGCATACATTTATATACTGCTCTCTTACCCCCATTATATGTATTAAAGGTCTGCCACTCTTTACACACTTCAGCATAACTTCACCTAAACGAGCTAGAAGCAACACATTCATCTCGTTTTCCCTCGGCTTACTTCGTCTCCACCAAAATTTCTTATTGTCTTTACAGCCATCGGTGGTCTTGAATAATTGCGCCTTGCTGGCCTTACAGAGAGCCATGAGAAATGAGCAGAGAGCCCTGAGATTCAGTTTAAGTGCCGCATCCTCGAAAAGTCTATCGACTTGCTGCGACAGCACGCAAATAATCTTGGCAGCATAATCCGCTGGCAAAATGCCATTAAATTGGCTGTCAGCATTCGATTCTTGGATAATCTCCGGAATCGTGTCTGAACTGGGATTTTGCGTGTAAGGACTCGAAAGGAAGCTATAAACGTCCACGCTATATAAAAGAAATAATCAAAAAATTAAAAATAAAATTAAATACAAGATGTTAGAATTATGTAAAATATTTATCTTGTAAAATAAAATCTTGTAAAATACTTATTAATCATCAATCGGCATACTAATTAATTAGAGAATAAGAACCTGAGAGAATTTTTAAAAGAAATAATATCAAATAATTAGAATGTTGTAATATAGAATTGTACCAAGATTCCTCATCATCGACAATGTTGAAATTTAATCGAAGTCTGTCTTGACCATTCTTAGCGTCGCCATTTACAGCATCTTTTTTTTCCTTCTTCTGAGAGACTTTAGGCAGTGACGGATTTTGATTCCGTCCGAAGAAGTCATGTTCCAGTTTACTCACGTAGAGGCAACACCTTTTTCCAAATGCATAATCTCTTTAATATATTATATGTAAGAAAAAACACGTTGCTGTGTTTTGGAGCGTCACTTACGTGAAAACATGCGGCCAGCAATCGCTACCATGACTGCCTAGTTCCAGACCTCTTCCCAGAAGCACATCCATACTGAGCGCGTGAGATGTATGAAGATTAGTCGCTTTATTCTGCAATTTAAGTCGAAGAACGTCCTTCTTGCGAGTAATCTTCGAAATGGATTGTTCCGTGCAAGCAGCTTTTGCGAGAAGGGCAAAAATGGAGCCGCAGCGATTCTGTAAACCTGTAATAGAGGAGTATAAGATATGATAAGAAGATAAATATATAAAAATCCTATTTAAAAGAAAAAATATATATATACCAAGCACGTTGCTTAATGTAGCAGCCTTGTGAAGGCCTTCAAGCGCCAAGACAACCGTGTCTCTAACTCCTCGTCTACCACCGTCTCTGTTTAGGATGCCTTTATTAGTTTCTTCCTTGGGAGGATTCAGTCCCGTTGTGAGAACCGTCATCATACTGCCCCAGCAACAAGTCAACACTCTTCGGGAGAGTTTTGCGCCAGCCTCCGCTTCCGGGGTTGGTTCACTTCGAGAAAGTTGGGCTCGTTCTAATCTTATGTAATCAGAAAGCAATTGTCCGCCTCTGTGACTGCCGGGTATTCCATCCACGTCTATAAATTGCATAATAAATTTTAATAGTTACATTTATTAAAAAATTGCGATTTAGTTAGATATTACAAAATATAATTTTTTATTAACATATTTATTTTACTAAAACTTAATACTTCGTACCCGTGAGAACATTGACCAATGCATTATTTTCCGTGGAACTAGGATTGTAACCACACTTCTCGAGTAAATTACATGCGAGAACTTGTTGATACAATTCCGAGAGCCATGTGGCTGAAAGATAAACTAATACACCCGATCCGTGCACCTCTTCCACAAATCGTTCCTTAAAAATAAAATTAAGGAAAATGAACACAACAAATTTGAGAAAAATTAAGAAAAGAATTATTTGCAATTAGACATACCTCGCTAATTGGTATTTGCCGAGCTTCCTCGTGATAATAATTTATTTGGATTAATTTCAGATTGAGAAGCAATGCCGCATACGTCGCTAGGTAAATTCCATCAGCGTTCATGATCGTGATTAACGCACATGAATCTGTACTAATGTCAGTTTGTTCCTGTATCTTTTGTTGAGCTACAAACACCCCTAAAATATATCAAATATATAAATTTGTTATCAACAAAAAATATCATTATTATCTCAATATTACAATAATGTAAATTCTGCGCATTATTTTATAAGCTTTATCTCAATGGCGGTTATATACCTTGACAATACTCAGAAGCAAAGTTCTGCAACGCCTCGTCCACCTCTATATTACTTCGCAAAGTGAGGACCATGGGTATGAGATCAGATCTAAGTATTCTTACGAATCGCCTGGCATTGTGTCTCTCTACGTCCACATTGCATTCGTCGGCCACTTGTCGACCAACATGAAGACATTTGGGTAATTTTTTCAATCTCAGTCTCTCGTATTCATTCTCCGTTGCGCAATCATTATCGTCAAGACTATTTTCTTCCTGAACCTCATCCGATTCATTTTGCGGACCTTCAGTGTCCGTTGAATCGCCATCTTCTGATGGTCCATGCCCAGATGAGTCGGAATCTGAGCCTATACCTTTCTTCATTAATTCCAATTGTTCCCTGAGAAATAAATATTATCATAAACTATATGTCTACATATATAATATATATACATATAATATGAGAAATATGAGATACAACAAAATCGTTAAAAAAATTTATATTGTATTTTTATAAATCAATATTAATAACATATATTTTTTATTAATTGAATTTTTTAAATAATTTAGCAAAATTATTAAATGACTCATTATCGTTGCATTTACCTATATGTTTTTGGCAATCGTGCCATGCTTTGGTAAGTCAGAGGTCCGCGATAATCACAGGATTCTAAATCTTCGTACAAACTATTAATCGTGCAAGTATAATTATGATTAATGGCCTTGCCCTCGCATAATTCTTGAAGCGCTGACAGCATGGCGACAACGCAGGAGACACTCGCGTGCAATATAGCCAGTCCACCCGTTGTTGATTCCTCTATCGAATCCATGGCTCTAGAACACAATGTATAAAAATTTGAAAAAAAATTCAACCATCTTAATTAAACAAAATTTTATTTAAGCTTTTTTATTTATTATATATTATATATATATACACATCAAAGATTGTGTTGCAAGAAATACTTACAATCTCATCAATGCCATGTCACTTTGTATATGGCTCGATCGATCTTCTTCAACCAGCAATGGTCCAGCAAAATCAACCATGCGACTGGGACTACGCAATAATTCCTTCAATGCTTTTAAGGGTTCTAGACGCTGCTGTGGTGGTGGATATAGCAACATTCTGTGGAACACAGATTCCAAAACTGGTCGCAACGGGCCAACACATCCTACTAATCTTACTAATTCCGTGCCAATGCTGAAAAATATATATTTACATGTTTTGTACAATATTATATCACTTACAAAATATTACACATGTTTTACACAAAAAATTATCGTCAAGTAATGTTTATGACATGACAATGATATATTCTAAACGTTCTATATTTTTACCTGTAAACAGTTTTAGCCTGATGACTGTCGAAACTCAACGATGTAGCCAAGTATCCGGAACCTCTACCAACCTCGTTCTCCTTTCCCTCTCGAGAGGTAAAGGTTTTATCTACTCGAGGAGTACCTAAAAAGGCTATCAAGGCTGGACAGAACTTCTGCCATAGGAAAGTCGTAAAGTGTGTGTTAGTATGAATCTTTTGCGGTAGTGACGATATGAGCGTATGCAAGCATTCCAATAGGAAGACTACAGTGCTGCCGTTTCTGCCATTGCTGGAACAGGATTTCCTAAATATTATTATAGTATTAAACATAATGACTTTTACACCATTAATTTTCTAAAATGCATTTTTACTTCTGAGCCTCGTCCAGTTTGCTGCACATGTACTGCAAAATCGGCAAAGCCTCGTTAAAACATGAAACACCTCGCTCGCGTACATTTTTATTCCGTTTAGCATTCTCGTCCATCTCCTGACACTCCTCGTCTGCAAATAAATACAATAACGCATAATAATGAATATCGAAATGCCACGCTGGCGATGCATTTGCAAGTATTAACAGTACGGTATCGTCAAGCATTCTTCAACCCGCATGCCATCGGCACGCGATCTTGTAATTTATCGACCAAACAACTGTGTTCGAAAGTGCTATGTCTGGAAGCTATTATCACTTTTTAAGGCAAAATGCATCATCAGCAATGTTGCGTTAATTTTGTATTTTTTTCGCTCAAATTTCCATGTTACCTAAAAAAAGACAAAACGATCGCAACGTTTGACTAGTTGCAGCCTGTGCAGCTGTACGCACAGCTTGATTGCCATTCTCGAACGCCTCGCAACAAGTAGTCAATATAGCGATAATCAAACGGCCGTTCATAGTCCAATAAGGAGAGCAAGCAACTTGTAGCAAAACCTAGAAAAAAAACGATGAGACATTACCTGCGATTAAATTTATGATTTTAAAGCAAGTATTAAAAACAAGAAACATGTTAATTTTTTTTTTAGATTCTGTTTAATTTTCTTGTATTATTTTCAATACTCGATATAGAAATATTTTTACAATTACAGTAAAACTCACTTTGAGCATATCCGTTTGTGTGTCATCAGATTGCGAGACGATGGAGCTCATGGCGTGCAACATTTGTGCAGGCAACCATAACGAATCATCTTCTGGCTCGTAAGGTGATTGGAATCTGTCGTCTCTTAACATTTTCTACAAATGTTATTTTAATTTTTAGTTTAATTTTGTGACATTAATTTGACCATTGTATTTATACTTTAATCAATAATGTTTAATAAAAATTGCAATTATAAATCAAATCCACCTAAATAAATTATATTTAATTAATTGCAATAATTAATTCTCGAATTAATCTATCCAAATTATTTAATCTTTATTATAAAATTCCTAAAAAAGCCTAAAAAAAAACTACTCCGATCAAAGCTAATTAAATGTCATCTGCCGCAGCGACGTGACTTTACTTAAACTGTCGCAGCTGTTCGTCGGTATCTATCGTTTTATCGCGTACAGTTCCGGAACATACATTTCCACAAGCGGTTACATCAATGCTGGCCAACATACGCGGAAAGAAAAATAGTCCAAAGATAAAACACAAAAGCATTCTTTGGTACGAACATTTTAAAATCACATTTGCATTTTTATGCATAGAAAATTTATTTTTTCGCACAAAAAATTATTTTTATTATGTTATTTACGTGCAATCCCGCAAGTCCGAAAGCAATAAATTTGCTTCTATTACTTTCCAGTGCTAGCTGAAACGTATGTAAGCATTTTGCACGCAGTTCGTGCGGTGGATCTCGTAGTAAGCCTTGCTGCTTCTCCAGAAAATCTGCAAGGAAAAAGATCATCCTCAACACAAGAAAAGTAAGTCCGAAAGTCCTAATATGTTTGAGAAACATTTGTTTTCGATGACTATATAATATTATCAATCATACTGCGCCATTATGACACGTATTCAAATTGACATAAACTTAAAAAATAATTTTGCATTTGTAATGAACGCAAAGATACTTAAATATAATCAAGTTAAATTAGAAATATTTATAATAATGTATATGTATGCCATTATATATTCATCACGGGAGAGATGCGAGTGTCAAGTCTGCTTGACATCTGCATGTCTGAATCCGAATGAAGAACCCTCGAATAAGAGCGGCTTTCGTGGAATAAATCTTTAATAAAAAATCGAATCAAAATAAAAATCCTGCGCTCACCGTGCGCTTCTTGCGCCGATTTCCGTAAATGTTGTAACCTCGCATTGTTCGACTCCCTTATGATCTGCAGCAGGAGATCCTCCATGACACGACGGGCTACAACTGCTAACCGCTACCACGCGACTGATCGATAACAGGAGGGAGTGCCGTGCCGATGCCGATGCACACACCACGTTGACCACGCTTCGCTATACATGCGCACTTCCAGGAACGTAAAAACTATCACCCTTGAAAATGCTGACATATTAGATTAGAAATAATCAAACGGAAAGAAAAGAAATTTTAATTAAAATAAAAGCGGAACAAAAATTCAAAATATGGAATGACAATTATTATATTTTTAATCTTACAATTAGTAAGCTTCAAAGTAGATTTTATTTATAAAGTTAAGCATTTATAAATAAAAAATTGTACATTAAAGTAATATTAACGTAAATTGTGCAGGTAAGTTTTTTCGACTAAGGCTGCGTTCGGAGAGCGCGCTATTAGCGCTATTTGCTTATTCTATCCTTGATTTATACCTGATTAGCGATAAAGATAGAATAATGCAATAGCGCTAATAGCGTGGCCCCCGAACGTAGCCTAAATTTCTGTTTTTTTGTAAAAAAAAAAAGACAGTAAGATTTTGAAGAATTTAAAACTTGGCGCCGTTCTTTGTGGACAGATAGTAGTCATGTGACCCACAATGTCGAAGATGGCAACGAGGAGTGACAGGAAACGTAGAGTAGCCGAGAAACCGGCACACGAGAGCACCGCTTTTTATCATTGGGCTATAAATCTTTTGGGTAATAATATTCGCTTTCCCGCATAAAAAGTTGAGCTTCCGGCGTGATCTGCGATCGAGAGATTGTTTAAAAGTGAAATATTCTTTGTTCCAACGGCAGGTCTCGGTTTTGGTTGTTTGCATCGCTGGCATGTATCCACGCTGTTCGAAAATGACCGACACTTCTCTTATCTCTCGGAAATCGAACGAGAAATGTCCTTCAGGACTGAGATGGTATGGATAATAAGTGATGATATTTTATAATCATACATGACATTTGCGTAAATCGATCGTGTAGAAATTTATATCGACCAAATCGAAAGTCGAAACGCTTTTGTCCATCTTCAAATCAAACGTTGTCAAATGCAATCATACAGAGCTATAAGTATGTAGGCAACACCGAAGATCTCCACAAACGCATAAATAAAACAACAAATTATTGTGGATTTATTATTCCTCGAAATGTTTGATAAAATATTGAAAGTTGTACTCTTATCCCTTTAATAAATAATCGTCATAGCGTTGGGGTCACTATTCTGACGTCAATTTATTGGAAAATGTCAATCGCTGCTTCTACAGTGCTGAATCATTCACACGTTTTATCCTGTCTTGGAGAAGAAAAAATAGTGCTAGGTCGGGATTGTAAGGGAGACGACTCGTTAAGTCCAGATACCTGAAGTGACCAAAAATTTCTTTGTGAAAATGATGTATAGAATAATGATGGGGGTCGGACCCATTAGAAAAAGATTCATACTCACAATTTTTTGTTATATTGCTGGCAAACAAACTGGTGTGCTATTTTACATTAATTTACAACGATTTCACCAGAATAGTGGTAATATAACTAACAAAAGAATAAGACTATCATTTTCTTCAGTGTTCGAAAGCATGCTCGTTCGACATTCGTTGATTCCTATTCAAAAGTGTTTTATCTTCAAAGATATTTTCATGCATTGTTTATGCGCCAATAATAATTCAAAACTATTGTTAGAATATCCATTTATTAATATTGTATTTTAGTGAATACTAAGTGTTGAAAGCTTGAGGAAATGTTCGATGTTGGCTATATATGGGAAATGCCTAATTTAACTTATTGTTAGCTCTTAAAACAATACAGTTATCTGACAATTACAATTTTTATCTAAGAATGTTTAAATGAGAAATTTAATTACTCGTGATCGAGGAGGTGATAAGTAAAATATCTAAATTGTATGTTAAATACAGCTGTTTTCTTTTTTAGGGGATGTATTATTCCTATTATAAAACCATTGCTGAATCCAGGGATTTTTTCGACGGAATGGACAGGCTCAGTCACGACAATCTGTCAGAGTACAGCAATGTCATTGATGCCAGCAGAAAATATAGTCTTTTACCTGAGGTAATTCTTCTCGACAAAATTTCTTCTCAATTATCCGAATCTGAATATAATGATAGATTTTATACTATTATTTATTACATAGATTCTAGCAGGTTTCCTTTATCATATTGCAAGGAATCTTGGTGTTATATCTCAGGAACAATGCTGGCAGGTAAGACTTGAAGAATTTCTTTGTGAAACGTACAAATTTTACGAAATACTCACAAGTTGATTACTTTCAGATAGAAAGAGGAGATGGTTTGCCACCTGTAACCAGCTGTGAAGGCCTGGGTGTACCTGTATACTTCTATTTAGAAATAGTTTGGTTCACCACAGTTATCACAGCAGCAGTACTCTTTTACTATGCAACGTACTTGAGTAATTCCATTTACGGTGGATTTATAACAATTCTGTTCTTCTTTTTTAATCATAACGAATGTACTCGCGTTCAATGGACACCGCCGTTACGAGAAACCTTTGCGTATCCTATGTTGCTTTTTCAAATGTACAGCGTTACTATGGCTATCAGAAAATATACAAAACATGATACGGCAAAAGAGCCAGCTTCGTTGAGGAACAGAACTAGGCAAGGACTATTCATGGTGAGATATAAAACAAGTATAATTATTTATTAAGTATATAATGTATAAAATTGCTTTTATTACAAATAACGGTATTTTTTTTCCAGGATATATTTGGCTCAACAATTTGTAGCTTGTGCACTTGGCAATTCTCACATTTCGTTTTTACTACGCAAATTGTAGCCATTCTTATATTGAAATGGCTGAGGATCGTTCCGTACGAGTTCTATAAAAATTTTTGTATGGCACACGCTTTAGCAATCGCAGCAGCAACTAAAATAACAAACGGCACTCTTATAATCTGTTCACTTTACACGTGCATCATAATCAGTAGTAATGTGGCCAGTTTTATAATGAAACTGTCTCGATTTCAAAACATCAAACGAGAAATTATTCTTGAAATTGCCATAACGATAACTTTTACAAAGTGGATAAAATCCTACGTTCTATATTCTCAAGACGACGCCCACGTGTTTAATATATTGAAATCCAAGTTAACGAACTATAGAGATTTCCATACTATGCTTTACACGTGTTCCGCAGAATTCAACTTTCTACAGTACAAAACTTACGAAGCGATTATTAAGACCTTATTATTACCAACAGCAATACTCGTTGGAATGCTCGCGCTTTATTACTGGTACAGGAACTTTAAGACGAGCAATTATCCATTTTGCATAGAGGCTGATATGGCATATAACGGCCTACAGACCGGCGCCTTCATCATCATGGCCATTTTTATTATGAGATTAAAGCTATTTATGACACCACATCTCTGCATAATAGCTGGTGCCGTGTGTAGTAAACGATATCTCGAAAAAATCGGTTTAAAAAGTGAATTTATGCGGCTCGCCATTGTTATTCTTTTACTAGGTGGCATGTCGTATCATGGCATCGACAGATTCCAAGAGGAACGCGGATTCATAGGTGATTATATTATCAAATTAATTGACTTTCTGCAGCTTTTAATTGCATGTTATTTTTATACAGGTGAATATAGTAATATTGAACAAGAAGAGTTATTTGAATGGATAAAAAGTAATACACCGAAACACGCCGTATTTGCGGGAAAAATGTCATTGATGGCAAACTTAATGCTGTCCACTAGGAGACCGATCGTCAATAATCCTTACTACGAGAGCAAAGAAATGAGGTATAATTTAGATCAGGAATTAACATTACTATGATACTACTTGTAGAGTTATATCTATATATATATAATTTATATATTTTATTTTTATGATATTGTAGGGATAGAACTATGAAAGTTTATGAGATTTTCAGTCGGAAAGATGCTGCCTCTGTGTATACCTCTTTAAGAAACATGAAAGTTAGTTATGTTGTATTAGAGGAACCATGGTGCCTTGGATTTGCAAACATGTAAGTATGAGAAAAGCATAAGTACGACAACAATTGCGTAACATCGAATTCTTTTATTTCTTCAGCCCGCAAGGATGTCAAATGATCGATTTATGGGACATGACTGATAATGGAACGGCGAAAGCGGTGGACAAACAGCCTCTATGTCCACTTTTATTCAAAGGAAACGCGTATCCGTTCAGAAGAGCGTTCGTTAACAATAACTACGTTGTGTTGCAGCTGGATTATTCGCATTACGTAGAATTTAAACCAAAGACTTCTATGCCATTGCATTATCAGTTCTAAAATTCTAGAGTTCTACGTTTCCAAAAATAAGTAAAAATTTCCTCAAGAGAATATGGCATACCTCGTGAGAGACTATAAAAGCCTATTTTTCTTAAAACAGAAGTATTATCTATATGAAAAATATATATATACATATATTTTTATAATATAAAACGCAGGTTATTCTTCAAGTTGAATATTAAATATTAATATTCCAAACTTGTAAAAGTTTATCAAGATTAGCCTTATATGTGCAAATTGTGAAGGGGCATTAAAATATTTTAAGAGGCACACAATATTCCCGATATTATAAAATTTAGATTTATTTTTTGTTTAATTAAAAAAAATCAATCTTTGTTTTAGCATAGGAATCTCTTAAAACATAATTTATATTGCCACAATTAACAAGATGCAGTGTGCATATTCGTAATATTATACTTGCTAAATTTCATAATAAGAAAAGCAGTTGTTAAGTTGACTAATAAGAATGAACGAAAAATAAGATAAAGCCTCATTTCACAATGATATACATACTTGTGATAATTTTCCGATATTTAATATTATTACGCACTTATATCGATATGCTCGATTTTTGACGACGCGAATAGTTTCGAATATACATATAAGTACTATATTTAATCACATATGTGTTCATTTACCTGCTATATGACATAAGACATGTGTGCCAACATCAAGCACTATTTATATTTGTATAACTATTAAAAAAACACATCTTTCAAATTTAAATAAATTTCTTATAAAATAACGAGCATTTCGTAATACGCATATTGGACAATAATTCTCCACTTTAATATCGATTGTAGGTACTTATTAAGATCGCATATCCATCGTAATATGATCATACATGTTATCGTAATTGTAATAATGAGATTATAAATAAAAAACAACGTACAAAAAAAAGGAATTGTTATAAGAAGAAAGACAAGAATGTATCTTTCTCTTTGCTTAAAATACAAAAAAGCATGCTACAAATTTTTATTATATTTTGAAATTTCGATGAACTGAAAAACGCACTTAAAAAATTTACGTTTTCAGACATTTTTAGCATGTGAATGATCTGAAAAAAATCTCAAACGCGCGGGATACCCGGAAGAAAAATCGAACCACACGGCGAAGATAGCTCCGTTATAACGCACATAGCATAGCACCTTCACTCCGTAGTTGTAACAGATAGTATAGTCGAGAGGCAATCTTTGGTATACTACGTTGTGCTGCTGACCCAAATGAATCCTACTGGCCGCCACTGCATGCCGCCAGTCGCCGAGTCGCCAGTCAGTCCCGCTCCGGGCTTCTTCGCGTTCGCGGCAATATTGGTCGCTCGGTCGCATTCTCGGTTACATTCGAATCCATTGCATTAATTGTCAATTTTTTTAATACCTAGCGATCGAAACGCACGAGTATCAAAATTCTTTTGCAAACATCGTTTCGTCCTAATTCTTCTTCTATCGTGACCACACAGTGATTCTTCTTCTATCTCTCAACAAAGTGATTGTTTCTTAAAAAAAAAAAAAAAAAAAACCACTAGTGTTAATTACTATTAATTTAATTTTAATCGACAAATTAAATTTAAACGTTAGTTTTTCAAGTTTGCGCACTGGATGTTGATGATCCATTTCGGTCGCAGTGCGTTTCTGCCGATTGATCGATGCTTGGTCCAAAAATCAACGAAAACAAATTTCTCGTGACTGGTGTATCGTGCGTGTTAAAACGGTGCCCCTACTCTTCTATAAGTGAAGGCACTCCCGGTTTGCGATTACAGCTGCCACTCGTCAAAGTTAAAGGCACGGATAGACGCGAGTTGATCTGGAAATATACATCGTGGATAGTGGAGCAAGAAGAAGGAGTGGCATTTCGTGCATAATGTAAAGAGAGCTGATGCCCAAGCGAAGAAATCGCAGGACATTACCAGGGGACCAAACATCTGTCCAAAACGCACGCATCCCGCAGGCTCGTCCTAGCAATGCGACATTCCACGCTGGTCCCGCGTAATCATTGACAATTGGCAGTAAGCAAATCAAAAATAAGTAAATATAGTAGAGAAAGTATGAGATTATGCTTTGACCCACTAAAATTGTCTCTCAATTCCGGTGCATGCATTCCAGTTATGCAAATACAAACTATGTAGACATTACACCGTAACACACCGTTGTTCTACTAATGTAATTTTTTATATTTTTCGTCAAATCACATTGCATTATCGCAATGCCTCAAAATGAAAAGCAGATCGCTCGGATAGTCGAATTAGTCTTGTTTTGCCTAATTTAAATTTCCAACTCTTTGACTCGGGCATGGCGGAACGTCAAGGACGTGTCTTCCTCGCGTCCTTGCGTCGGCTTATGGACGGTGCATTAATTCGCTCAATGAGCGTAACAATGTAAATGCAGTCCTCAATCAGATAGACCGCCCAAGATCGCTACTCCGCTCAAGTACCGCAATTTCACGGTAATATCCGCTCCACCTTCGCAAAATATCATATCTGCGATTGTTCCACGGTACACGGCACGGATTTTGAATATGTATAGCGCGTGCGTTTCTACACGATCACGGCAGATGTGCAATTTTGTAAGCACGTAATCCGCATTTGCATCGGAATCCAATCTGCGTAACGTGAACTCGTTCTCTTGCACAACGCGCGCGTACGCGCACGCGGTTTCGCATAATTTGCGTCTCACGAGTTAGCAAGAGTTCGTTAAACATTGAATCTTTAATCAGTCGCGTCATTACGATGTCAATAGCGAATGCGCGCGTAATCGTCTCGCGCAAACAGAACGAAGAATAACTGTATGCGAATGAATAATAATAGAGTACGTACGTTTGCATTCTTCTCGGGCCTGTTCCTCGTATTGTAAATCGACTCTCGTAACGCTATATCGAGCATCGGCAACGGAACCCTTCACAATTCGCGTAAAACCCGTTCCTCTCTGGCCTCAAAACCGCGCAGATCACTTGACCGGGTTGAGTTTAGGAATTTGGCACGTGCCGAGTGTACATACATATATTATAGTTAGAAACATTTATTTTACTGAAACGTTTGAAAAAGAAAAAGAAGATAGAGAGAACACGTCTCTCTATCTTCATTAGTAAAACTTGTAAATAATATAAAAACATTAATTCCAATAGACTTTTAACACTTTTTTCTATTTTTTTTTTAACGGATTTTCAAAATGTTTTATCTTTAAAGAAAGCGTTTTTGATAGTACCGATAATGCAGTTTTTTAAAATTATCCTCCGCATGCAATTTTATTTTTTGACCGCAGAAAATATATTTTACACATAGTCATGTCTATATTTGAAACAGAATTTTGATCTTATTCTAGTGAATGTACGTAGCTAATCATGGGGAGCGAAACGACGAGATCAACGGTATTGGTTACTTTCTCAAAGCACGATCGTATTCGTAACCTACTTTAAACGGCGATGCACTAACCGGGTGCAAACAGCAGACCGATGTTCGTGCCAAGACTCGAATTAGAAAGATCTAATTCGCTTTAGCTATAGGATTCTGTATCTCTTTCGCATTGCCCTAGCGTATTCTACAATTATTCTACAAATTACTTAGAAATTGATAAAATTTGCAAAATAAATTTTCTAATTTTTAATTTAGGAATTAATATGAAAATATGCCATGTCTTTTGAAATAAATAGAAAAACATTTTTTTATATAGGAAACCAAACTCTGGTATTAAAATTTTTAAATTGTTTAAATAATAATTAAAGAATATAAACAGCATTTTCCTTATTCCTTAAAATATAAAAATATAATTACTCTTGAAGAAAGTCTCGGCAAAACCTTTTCGAATCGCTCGAGCACTTATCTAGAAAAGCAAAGCAAATACAAAGAGATCGACGAAAACTCGTTTCGTTGCAGCAAATAGAATTTCTAATCTGGTGATGAAGTACTTTACAGAAGAGTTTACTTTCTGGTTTGCCTGTTTTTGTTACCTGCTCGAAAGGTGGTCCCGACACTTGGTTTGGACAACCGTGAAACATAATCCCAAGGCGGAGGTCGTTAGGCATTCTTTTGGAATCAGTTCTTAAGAATGTGTGTGTATGTGTGTGCGAGAGAGAGAAAGAAATCAAGCGAGAAGCAAACTAGAGAAAGGAGGAAACACGAGTAGTAGGTGGTTTATCGTAAAAGTTTCACATGACCGAGTTAGAGCCCGAGTCTACTCTGCGACAATGACTATGATACGAGGGATCATTTTCACGTGGGCGCCACGTTGGATGTACGTTGCACGTCCCAGCACGTATTAATTGGATACGAAGGTCATAATCATAAACGTAATTCCATCGTTCGTCCGTAATATTTCGCGTAATGTACACGCGACGATCATCGCCATTCGTGCGCACTCGTGCTATTGCGCGCATTCAAGTCACGGCACTTACCGGCATTTGACCGCCCTGCTCTTCCGCATCAACACGCTCAGATATCCCGTCAAGCATTTCACGTAATCTCTGAATATCTGTTGATATTTTAAAGATAGATTCTTTGAAAAATTCCAACTAAACTTTGCTAAAACAACAAGATAACTTTATTTTCAAATACTTAAAAATATATGAATTATACGACAGACCAGTAATAATCATTCGCACCGTTTCGTAATCATTTCAGTCTCGTTTAAGCTTGATATGAATGTATCTGGCTTAAACTTTACAAAAATTGAGTTATATGTATTATAATTATATACATATATAAGATATATTCAAAGAGAAAAAAAAGAGGGAGATATTTGAAGCATAGATTTTTCAATTTTAAAATTAAAATTCTAGAAAAGCAAATTCGATTTAAATAAACAATAAAGAAATCGTTACTTAATCGCGCAATTAAATTTTAGATACTTGATTCATAAACACTTATTTTCAATTGTTTCAATTGAAATAACTATAAAGTTTCTGGATTTTTATTTAACAAAAATTGATTCGATTTTTTGGTTAAATAATCCAATATTCAGATATTGTACTTTTTCAATTTCGTGCACTTGTTAGTATTGGAACAGAATCATGGCTATCGTTATTATGCTATGCTAAACTGGTTGCGCAAGCGGAAGAAACCGGGTTAATTTTCCCGCGAGTGATAACAATGTCGCCCCGAGGAAACTGGACCGATAGTAATCTCGCGTCGCTATTATATTCAGCTCATATAATTGACTCGTCCTTGTTCGTTATTACACTTTTACGTGAAGGAGTGGGCTATTTTGAGGAGAAAATTTGCATTTAAGTTTTGCCTACGATAAACTTTGCGAAAGAAGACAAGAAGAGTTACGCGAAGAATCTCTCGACATTGAATTTTACGAGCCACTATAAAAGTCGACCCAATTATTCGTTCTTTAAACATACGTTAAAATTAGAAATGTGAGTCGAGAATGGTTTACACGATTTGACTGGTGTTACCGTTATTCAACCGGGTTGAAATTCCTTCGTGAGCGAGGCGACATGTTCGGTGCATTAGTAGGAAGTCGATTCTACTTCCGCAATCCGTACCGCTTTTAAAGTGTCTCTTTTGTATTGTAGCTTAAACGAAGACGAATGGCGATTTAATTTCATACTATATAAAACGGACTCTTAGAGAGCTTCCTTTGAACTTGCGCTATTTACATAAGAAATAAAATTACACAGAATTTATTGTGAAATTGTATTAGAATTAATTATAAAAAGAAATATTATTTATATATAATAAAATACAATTATGTAACTAAAATAACAATAATGTATTTTTGAAATGTCATTTATTTTTTATATGTAATGCAATTCCCTCCAGTAGAACTTAATATTTCATACATATAACTTATAATATGTAATTAAATATACTTTTTATACATAATTAATTAAGCTTCATATGCAATAAGCTAATATCATTTTTTATTTTTTTAAACAATTTGTACTCATAAACAGTTTACAAAATGTATGCTTTCCATGGTTTTGCGTCAAGTGTTCTACGCAGTGTGGGGTTAAAGGTGGGTATATGCATCAAGGTGCGTCCATCGGAATGCATTTCGACATGGGTATATAGGTATAGGTTTGCAAGGTCTGACTTGTCAGCGGGAGGCGTATCTCTCTCGATTAGATTGGAATGTCGAGAGGTGTAGAAGCGACCAAGGTCAGAAAAACAACTCGTGGAGATGAACCTGAATCGTCAGAAGGGATGCTGCCGATCCTGTGGACCGGCGCCCGACCTTGTTTTGGTGGAGCCAGGTATCGGACCAGTTTCACCGATAATATCGCCACAGAAAAGAATGATCCCTGGAAAGATGTGTAAAATCCTGAGGAGTCCAAGATTCACTGTTACAAGTGCGGTTTAAAATGACTAGGACAGAAATTGACCCGCATTTTCTTCGTATATTTAACTCTCAGCGCAGTTGTAGAACTTAGATAATAGTAAAATTCGGTATCCAATTTAGCTTAAGAGCGGACTTTATTATTATATCATATAAATTGTCATAATTTGCAAAATTGAGTTTTTTACTAGAATATTAAATAATATATTACAATTCATATCATTTTAAAATGTATTATCAATAAAATATTTGAAAATTCTTTAACTTTCGAATGAAAAGATAGCATAGCAGCATTTACTGTTGGATGCATTGCGTGGATGTGGGACAGTGTATTACGAATAGATCGCGCGGTTACCAGTAGTTTAACCACTTTTTGTCTGTATATTTATCCGAGCGTCATGTCAGTGACAGTAAATAGGGAATGAAACCGAGGAAAGTCCGACAAGTTTAGACACTGATTGGTTAAATAGTTGAAGCGTATAGACAAGCGAGAGATAATTTTCTATTTAATCAATATTGCTGGTGATTGCCTCAAATAATTAAAACGTATACAAATAAAAGTAAAGAATCTCCTAAACATTGTATTTTTTATTATCGCTGTCTTTCATAATTTTAATGTATGTTATCGAGTAATATGGTTTGATAACTTTTCATAATATAACAATCGATTATGCAATCTTAAACTAAACACATCCACTTCTATTCGTTTTTTAATTCTATTACCGCCTGTTACTAACTACCGCTTATATGTTAATTGTTAAAAATCTGAAAACTACTCCGTACTCGCTGTGCTTTAAAATTCAAGTACTGAAATATATTTTTCCATTGTTATACTAGATTATTTTTACATGGCATTTTTAAGGCTGCAGCAATTGATTATCCAATTTGCCAGAGAAAAACACATAATCGTTTTTATCGGCGAAGCGGAATAAGAATATTTATTTATGTTTGCACGTGAAAGTGCGCGCATCATATTGTAAAAAAGAAAAAGACTCTCAGGCATTCGGAAGTATGTACACATTATGAGATAAAAGATACATATCATATTTACTATTCCTTGAGCAGAAAATTCGATGCGTTTTCGATAAGCATCCGCGTGAAAGTACAATTACTCGCTCGCCATATTTGCCAATGTTTTATAGGAAACAAACGGTATTTCCTCATATAAATGTAAATGGCAGAAAAAAATAAAAAGTAAAAAATTTTTACATTTATAATGTACGATAATACGCTGCGTGATCAATTTTTATTACAATATTTATAATATCATTTTCAATATAATAAATTTTTGTCATGATATTCATAATCATTTGCGAGGTGAAAAGAACTTGGATGCAACATTCGAAAGGCACCTCGAGAAATGAATGTGCCGTTACGCGATCGGAAATGTATCTTCCTCTTCCTATGTGTATCCGCATCTTGCACGTAACTCCGGTAACAGGAAAGGGCCCGACATCGACGCACGAGGGGACCATTCCTCGCGATTCAGACGGAGGGGAAATTCGCTGCTCAACATGGGCAAGAGTCGACTTGAACGACAAATTAGACCGCGACGCTGGTACGCTGCGGAATAGAAAGTTGCCTCGACGCGACGGTATAGTGTGAGAAGCGTTGAGTAAAGAGAGATGGAAAACGTGTCCTGACTTTGTACAAAAAAAGAAGGAATTAATAAGGAAAAGAATGAAAACAAATCTTCTTATATTACTTTACGCTAAAAAGATAATCCTTTAAGCACACAGCAAACATTTACAAATATTTTCCTAAAAATCTTAAAATATGCAAACAAGTAAATAATAACAGTCTTTTAACGTATTCAAGGACACAATCGTGATAAAAACTTTTAATCAAATAATTGCTTTTACTTTCTAAAAATGACTTTCTATATGTCACACATTAGTATCTTTATATATTTTTAAAAAGATATTATCTCTTTATACTCTATAAAACAGATTCTAGTAGCTGGAGAAAAAGAGAGTCACAAAGAAATGAGGATAGGGAAAGGAGATACGTGTCATGTGAAAATGTCGCATCCCCTCCGCGCCATTCTCCGTGACATTTATACACCCCGTTGCCACTTCCATCGCGTTAATAACTTAACTGTAACCGCCACTGCCGTTGATTAGGAATAATTCGCCGCTCTTCCTCGCGCGCAAATATAATTCGACACGGCGCGTTAATTGCCACAACGCAGGCTTTCATCGAGATTAGGATATCGCTACTCTCACCGGGAACAGTCCTGCATGCTTCATTCCGCAGGCGCGGTGGAGGACGAACGCGAGAGAAATTCCAAACAAACCATCTTGTCTCCATTGGTCGCACATATAACATTATTTGCTGTGGAGATGCTGATATACCTGACTAATATGCTAGATATATTACTGTTCAAAAAGAAATTTAATGCAATAAAAATTCAAGTTAACACAATGACAGATTGTGACACTATACCACAAAATCGTCGGTATAGTGGTAGGATACAATTATTCATGAATTACGCAGTATAATTAATCATTAAATGAATAAACGTTGACGGCCTTTATTCTTCCTCCGCAGAGATGCGAAGCGAAGTGGGCGAATGGCTGGCCACGTGCGTAGGTTCGCCAATATGCATCCTGCTGCTGTCATGGTCCCTATTGATCTACCAGAATCAATCTTCATCCGCGAAAAGAAAAATTGATGTGCTGACAGTCGCAATTCTCTCTCAAAGTCTCACGCATCAATTAGGATTGCTGCTATACGCCATTCTCACTTTGATCCGTCCAGCGAACCATTTTGGAGGTAACTGTAATTATATTGCTTTGCTGATCTTTTAGTACAATATATAAATACTCTGCGAGTATTGCATTTTATTTCTGTTAAAACTAAAAATGCAATAACATATCCTATTATTAATCATATAAAATTTGGTACTTTAATTTAGTCACAATCTCCCTGTATAACGTGACTGCGAGATCATTCTCCTCTTTGGAATTCATGGAAGTGCCAACCAATTTCCAACGATTATATCATATGTAAATTAATTCGGCGGAACAGATTAGCCTGGCGCTCGAAAAATATTACGCCAATCAAGCCGTACAATTCTTCAGATTGAGAAAGTTAAACAACTTTTCTTTGTCACAGAGTTATGCTCAACTTTGGTCTGGGTGCTGAACTCGTCGAGTATCCTTCAGGAACTAACCTTGACGTCGATCGCAGTGTTCGCGGCGATCAGCAGTCGCGATGATGTTATCAATCTCACGAAGAATCACCTCAAGTACCATTTGGTGAGCTTGAGCGTCATCAGCGCCTGCATCGGTGTCACTGGCGTTCTCAACTTCGAGCCGGAGACCTGCGTTTTTCTGGCCCACGAGATCTCCCATAAATACGGAGTCTTCGTCAACTCTCTAAGGGGTCTATTGGCTCTCACGTCTCTTTTCGGCGTGATGGTCGCACTCTTTAAAAACCTCTGCCGTCCACCGACTTCTGAGCTGCTCAAGTCGGTCTCAGATCTGTCCGAGGCGAGCTCGAAGAACTCTTCAGGAGCATTCGATTGTCACCCACAACATTGGGATCCCTCAAGCGGATCGTGCACCAGCGGTTCAACTAACAGCAGGGCGTGTTTGAGGAAGAAGAGGGTACAGGTGGACGAGGCCAGCGGCAGATCTACCGTTTACAGCATACTTTTTGTCTGCTACGTCTTCGAGCATTTACCTATCTTGGTAATTATATATTTTATTAATTTACGATTTATTCTTACATTTTACATTTATCTTCTTTATTGTTTTATTCAATTACTTAAATTAAATATCATTGCAACTTTATTATTATTATACCTTTATATTTCGTGAGATAATCTATAATAGATTTGATAAACATAATTGCTATGTATCATAGCGCATAAGACTGATTTTTACGCTATTAAATTGACGATAAATTAAACACAGTAAAATAATCTAAAATGCTCGTAAACTTAGCATGTCATTAACTGATTGTCTTCAAAAAATAACAGAGTCAACTATTATACAGAATGTCGCGAAATTCTTTCCATATTATTTCCTTTAGCAAATTCTTTCTTTAATAATGCTCATAATTTACAATTTAATACTTATAAACGCCGAGATAGTTTCCTAAAGAAAAAATTTCATTATAAATTTACCAATTATAAAAAGAGCCTATATGCGAATAGCTGCTTACTTTTCCTACGAGTCGAAAGTTAATTCGACGAAACAGGAAACTCGTTTGCGGAAAATCATTTTGATCGTTAGCATAATCTCGTTACGTTAAAGATCTGAATTGCAAAATCCGTTTCTAATTTATGTAAAAGTATAAAATGTAATCCAATGCTATCGAGATCGGCGCGTTTTTCCACACGATTGGTTTAATTATTATTACTTTCGAATTGGAACTCCAACGAACTGGTAACGCTAATTGTCGACTCGCAGTTGAGATTTATTAAAGGACACGTGATTTATTAAATCGTTCCTCGATCGCGGCTAATCTAAACGTTTCTTTGCTCGGTAGTGGAATCATTTTTTATACGCGAGCATCTCGATATAAGAAATATTTTGCAATATCCTCGAAATTGCGCGTGCCAAGTCGACCGTAGCAACGTTACGTAGTTAAAAGTGGCCGGCCTAATTTATGGTACGTCCTTGATTATGCTTTTCAATAGCGAATAATAGAGGATATTCTGCAAGTTTTTTAAACTGAACTGCAGTCTGTCATTAACATGTGTTTTTCGAGCAACATAGAATTTCTCATTAATCACGCATAATACTCAAGGTTCAGGAAACTTTAAATCATTTCGTCTCCCTTAAAACAAAATGCCAGATACTTTTTTGATAAGAAGAAGAATGGTGACGTAGAGAAATAACGTAATTGCAAAAAATTCTATTATACATATTCCAAATATCACATATCTAAAAAAGGTTGAGATTTTACAATTTTTTTATTTGCCATGAGTCGAATTGTTACAATTAGTCACGCCCCTGAAAATTTCATCGTATCTCACAACAAATCCGATACGGTGGTCGGTTGAATTGTCCGATCGCCGTCACAGCAATTACATCAGTACAATTACATCAGTCGAGAGGATTTTCATACGACCGAGCGCGAGCCGGACGCGAACTTGGTTTCGAGCATATATATACCATCACTGCCATCACTGTCATCCGGAAGCGAGACAGACCCTTTGCACGTAAACGCCACTCCTCCGAGAAAGTGGACAAGAGAAACAAAGGGGACTCGAGATGGAAAAAGGGTCGGCTCGACATAAAGCGAAATTCGAAAGCGCGATCTTAATTCGAACGACGACCTTAATCGGCGAACTAAATTAAGAATTCGCGCGACGGCACCGGTTCGACGTTCCGCAAAAGTCGTCTCGTGGAGAAACTCCCATGACCTTCCTCATTAATATTAATGATCGCGGCTATTACATGCGTGACGCATATTATTTACATCGTATAGGGACAACGCGCGACCAATTAGGTTATCGCCAGGTAGGCGTATCTCGCGTAAAAAGTCGCGGAACGAATGTTAAAAGATTGTTCTTATATATTATTTCAATCGTCATAATACGCGCGCGATCGCAAAATGCGAAGTGGAAGTGAAACTCATGGTACGTTATTCACTCGTCGCTACTAACTACCTCTCTTAACGAATGATATTTTATGAATCATCGTTTTTATAATTGACGCGGTATCTAAGCAGTTACGAAATGAAACGATTCGCCGCTCGATACACGTAAATCCATGCTCGAGATTCGCACGTATTAGTTCGTTGAAAAATAATAGTCGGAGCACCGTTCGTCGAAGTAAACACCGTTCTCCGCTTACACACGCGCAAACAGCGTGACGGCCGTTACACTCGTGTTTTTTGTCTAACGATTAAACTAAATCACCGGTATAAATTTTAATTACAAGCTCGAACAAAAATATATCGACAACCGCATTAAAATACGCATTGGTAAGATCAACAAGCTTCTATATTCTTTTTCGGCATCTATATATACTGATTATTTTTAACGCAAATAATCTACGTTACATTTACCTCGAAATTCGTAATTCTTGAAAAACTTTGAACCAATGCGATGGTTTCTCGCATATTAGGCAATTATTATCGGAGCTTCGATCGTTCTGAACGCATTTTTAACAAACGCGAAGAGCGTGTCCGCGGCAGGCGTTACGCTCGCATTTACCAGCGGCAATTAAAGTAAAACATCAATCCGCGCGGGATCAGTACAGGTTGATGAGGCTAAAACCAACGCTGGAGAAACAATCAGATGGAGAATAAATTGTAAAACAGCTGAGAAAATACATATGGGAAAAGGAAGAGAAGCATGACGCGGTTCTCCATTTATTGTAGCAATCGGAGCGATGTATTCGAGATAATAAAAAAATTAGAGATTATAAGCGGAATATTAGTTTAAATTAATATTAAAAAGATTAAAATACAAAATATTAAAATAAAATATTTAATAAAAAATTATAAAGATACCGACATAATCGTGTATCAACTTCACAATGTAAAATAATACAAGAAAAGAGAAGGAAATTTAATTTTTTCGCTATATATATCACTTCCACGTATTTCAAAATCTATTAAAATACTATTGTGTAATGTATAAGTATGAAATATAATTTTGCAAAAAATAATTTTACGCACATGTCGTAACATTCCAAAAGAGTTAATAAGAGATGCAATATAACAGAAAATTTATGATTGTGGCAACCATCGCGCCAACCGGAGCGATACGTGTTCGAGAAAAAGAGAGAGAGACGGGGTCGAGAATTGCGCGTGCACTTTATACACACACGCGTACATAGTGCCGCTCTATTCTCTAATTAAGGTACAACTAGTTTCGATTTCATACCTCGGACTAGACCAGCCGTTACTCACGTAACCAGCAGCGGTACTACCGCACGATATACCGTTCGTGATCGTGATAGAACATACAGTGCGAGTACAAAAGTACACCGACTGAAAGGAAGGCCTTGTTACTCGTAAATTAACGATAATTTGATTATCTTGTCGCGATTAAAAATTTACATAAAGCAGCAGTAAGTGTGAAAGCGTGTAAAATTATTTACACGAACAAATTATCTTGAAAAAGAAACACACTTCTTTTAAATTTGTAAAAATATGCATTCTACATAACCTTCACGTAGAATTATATTATATATATTCCGAAAATGTATAAATGTATAATTTTACAATTACGTAAATTTAAGGTTTACACAACAAACAAAATATTTTTTAACTTGTTAGGAATAAACAAAATTGAATTAATTCGTAATTTAAATCAACTTTCTATTTAAGCAAATATATGGGGTCTGTTCGCGTTGCTTGCACTCAGCATCTTTGCTTTCTCTCTCTCCAACGGCCGAATATATATTTATCTCATTTCAAGTGCAAAAATGTTTGGGAATTGCAAGCAACGCGAACAAACCAATGGTTTAACATATTAACCAATATATTGAACTTTTTGTCAAAATAAATTCCATGGCTATATTAATGTAAAACCAAGGATTTCAATTTTATGACAAAGAGATTTCATTTATCTATCGTGTCATTTACAAAAAAAAAATTCTACAGGATTATCCACCATCGCTATTATATTTTTGAACAACATTGTAATAATCGACAAAACGATTCACGTATCGTATACATGTGTGTTCACAACGTACGTAAAATTGCGTACCTGCTCGCACATCGCATCACATCGCATTGCATCGTACACTTTTGCGCGTACTTTTGAAAGCGCGACCGCGGAGTTTTCACCGCAAATTCTTGCGCGAATCCACGGTTATAAACGAAAGTTTTTTTGTCGTAATCCCTCCGTAAGAGGCCTGTTCGAATATTTTCAATGTGTCTTTCTATCTACGAGATCGACCCTTTCGTAGAGTCGAAGATGCTAGATATCGCATGATTAGGTATGACACACAGACATCCGTCGAATAATTAGCCACGTGTAATTGACGCGATCCAAATGTCCGACGTACATGGTGGATTCCTCGCAGCGAAAGCTGGACCCAATTTCTGAATATAGAATCTTCTTGACACGATTTCTGGTGAAATTTATTAGCGCGAAGAAAAGCCCGCCATGATCTAGAATGCCTAGATTACATTACTTACGTTGCATTAGGCGCAACAGATTGCAGGGATACCGTTTTCTATATACATTCAACCGTAATGATCACATTCGATTAATGATTATCGCATTTATAAGTGTTATTAAAAATATTGAACATACTCCGCGCGCCCTCATAAAAATATTATATATAGTATAATAGCAATAACTGTATATCTCCCTATTATTACGTTATATATATTACAGTGTTGTGCTATATGTTCTGTTGCAAAATTTATGGATATCTTTATACTATACAAGTTAAATAATATTATTTTGAAGCATGATAAATCTTTTTAAATTAATTAAACACAATTTCCTATAGATCATCTCCATTAGACCGAGCCTTCTAAAGAACTTTTGCACACCCCAAAATTTGGCGACGTGGCTGCCACTGGTGAAGGATACGCTGCTTCCAGTTTTCCTGGCTCTCTTCGACAAGATGTTCTGTCGATACGTGGCCAAGGTGTATACAAAGCAGGATCACGCAAGGAGACTATCGCACGGTGCGTCTTTTTTTTCTATCGCAAAAATAGGTTTCACGGAAATTTTGTCGCATTTCATAACACAAACGGAGACACTACGTGATTTCCATTCTTTCGTTAAGCAAAAACACACTGACCTGTTCGCCGTGCGTGGGAAAGTAAGACGCCTACCGTGTAATAATCGTGATACCTGCCCGCACAGCGATATTCCGCGCGACAACCGGCAATTTTTTTCGTTAACGACATTTGAATGATTTGCTCGACCATATTTTCATTTTGCAACATACGTAACTATTTGTATGTACAGTTTCACGTGTATTCCCACGATTGGCAGCCGTTGAAGGATTTTTTTTATTAAATTATTCATTTTTTGCATTCTACACATTTTTGTTCAATGTAAATTAATAAGATTTTGAAAATAAAATTTAAATGTATATACATATATAAAAATATATCGTTGAACGACTCTAAGTATTACTCTGTTTCTAAATTAAAGTTTAGAAGAGTTAACTTTTTATTTTTCCAAAGGAGGAATACCGATTTAAATAATTGATATCATTATTACATTTATTGCAATTAAAGAAAACATTTTTATGACATAGGACTTAAAGCGAAATTTGTCGATGTAATAAAATTTCTCTGGAAAATTTCTCTTTCAGGCGGTATAGACGGTAAATTTCGACACTTCGAACAAGATACCGAATACAAGCTGCAGTTGAACTTAAATCACGGGTTAAAGTTTCCTCTGACTAACGGAAGCCTCTACGGACGGTTGCACAGCCATCAGAACAGAGGTGAGTGAGCGAGATTTAACGATGCGAAAATATTTCGATCACCTGATGGTTCTCTCTCCCGGCCTATATATTGTTAATTGCGACGTTTCGTGCAGCTTTGTTAATGCACCCATCGAACACCTTGACGCGATCACGTTAGAAAGTCCGAGAGACGAAACCTCTCATCTCTCGCCTCCGCGTGTTCCACCATACCACCACAACTACTATTCCAGATGTATCAGACATTATATACAGGTTACTGTAACGTGAAAAGCTGAATATTTCGATATTTTCGATAGTGATGCTTTCACGAATCCGGTCTCCTTTTTACTATCAGTTCAATCCGATGATATTTTAAACCACAAATGACAATTGTTGATTTTTCCAATATAATCATTTTTAACCTAATTGAGACTTTAATCTCGACTATACTGGCAATGATTATAATCGTGGAAACGTCGTGACAAATCGTCACCCCAAGGATTCTGGTAATTCTAAAATTGATGTAATTTTAGATGTTTATAATATAAGCATTTTAATTGAATAATCATTTTTATTTACTCAATAACTCTTCTTATGTTCACACATTGCAGCGAAAACCGGCACGATTACTATGGGAATTCAGCAACACTATCCCAAGACGCAATCCATGAACGAGGACGGCAACTATGCGTCTTTACCAGCGGAACTATCGTCCTTCACGAGTTCGACCTTCGAACCACGTCAGGATAGAATCCCCGAACCGCCAAAGAAAAACTCAGTGGAACAACAACAGTCGGGGTACAGCAGAGGACTGAGACTAAACGAGAGCTTGCACGAGTTAGTTAGTAATCGCAGAAAGATCGGCAGCACCGATGTCTTCGGGCAGAACATGGAAAACTTGGTGCAACTGGAGGATCCTGCGAGCAATCGAAAATTCCAAATCAAGAATCTGGACGAGATTCGCGAAGAACCATCGAGGCGACACGCTAGGAGCGTTCTCGGTCTGGAGAAGCTAATTCTAGGGCTGGAAAACAACCTCCAACAGCAGCACTATTCTAGAAACGTTTTGCGCAGAAATCAAAGCTTCGACCATGCCAGGTGCTACTTACTTGTCGGTTCGCCCGGTACGCTCTCGCGTATCTTTTAGCGTACCTTCACTTTTACCTGTGCCATTAAGCCGCCGTCACGATATACGGCAACTGGAAAGTGAGACGCAAAGTTTCCTATAAATTATTCAAAATGCATGTTTCTACGTACATCATACGTATATGATGACCTACATTCATCAACTGATCTTTCTATCTCACGAATTTTAATATAAAGTGCGTTAAAAAATATATTTGTAAATTCATACGTATATTAATATTATTTATAACACATTATTTAATATTTCGGTATAACATATCTCTGTTAAAAATATAAATATATCATATAATTTTCGTAAATTATTGTTAAATCATAACGCTTTTCTCTCTCACACGTAGATATCGACCTATGCTCGACACGAGGACCTACAATTTGAAGAAAGATGATCTTGTAAAAGAGAATCTTCAACAAAATCTTCATTTAAATCTCCATAGACGGGATAGTCACTGCGATGGATATGATAGCTCCGATGATGAGAGTTGCGATCTAGAAAACGGTGACTTCGACACGATGAGCTCCTGCAGGAGCAGAAGCAGAAGCTGCTGTTCCGTCACTACGGTTGCCAATGATGATTTCGAATATTTCCAACGTAAGGAAACCAAGGTAATTTCATATAATTAAATCTCGCCATTTCTGTAAATTTTTAATAATTTTTTTGGCACTTTGCACGTTATCCTAAAGCAAATCGCGCTAAATTAATGAACGTTATTATTTATCACGTCAAATAATTTTTTCTCATTTTTATTCGTTTAAATATGATTTATTTGCTTTTTATTTGCTTTTTATAAATAAATAAATAAATCCATTCACCGATAGCAGTTAATGACTAGTTTCTAGATTTTAATGTTAAACGCAAGAGAATGCAATACGTGCCAGAGGCACTTTCACGATGCGAGAAAATGCATCGTTCGAGTAGAAAAAAAATGCTTGCTGCTGACGGAACGTTTCATCGGCCTTTTCGCGGCGATAAAGGCGCGCGCACACTTACGTAATCTCGCATCGTGAGAACGTCCTGTTTTACAGGTGGAGTTGCTGCCCTCGAAGCGAACCGGCGAGGTAAAGGTCAGCATGCGATCTTTCACGCCGCGTATCATAGAGAACGGTACTCCCGAGGATCGGGAGGACAAGATGTGCGGTAGCAATACGAAGCTATCCGATACGAAGCCTAGCATACAGTCCTATCATTTGAAAACTAAAAGGATCGCGCCCGGTTATTCGATGAATGACCTAGATAAGCTGATTATCAGTAAAAAGTTGCCGAATCTCTCGATGGAGAATTTGAAAAGCATCCTGAAGAACTCTGACGTGAGTTATCTCGACAATGGCGACGTATGCAAACACGACATCGGCGGCTCGGCACCGGACTTTAAGAAGATCTTTGTCACCGAGTTCATATAAAATCCACGACACTATTATACAAACTGTTCATAAACGTGGAAAGACTGTATTCATCCTTGCAATGTAGCAGTGGCATAGATAAATTTGATACAGACGGAGAACATTCTTCTTGGGACAGAATGTGTGAAAATTCTTTCGTTTTTAAAAGATCATGTTGATAGTAAAATTCAAAAAAAGTACATAAATTAGAGCATTTAGATTTATGACAATCTTAATTCATTAATAGAATAAAAATGATTATTGACATAAATATTTACATCAGCTATCGCACATTGCGCATATTCTCAAGGCATGAGAAACGATTTCTCATGTTGTCCTGTTGTTTAAATAATGCGAAATCTATATTTTTTATATAAGCATTTTTTTAATTATGTCGCATCTCCGAACTTGTTATTAATCGTAAGTTGCGATCAATAAGCATCGGATGAACGTACATGCAATTATTGTAGACGTTCACGCAGCATCGTGCCTATTTTTGTAAAAATACTGTAAAATATTTTACGATACGTAGCGATAATTTATCTAGGACGGGGAGTTGATTTTGTAAACGTTACTTGTAAATATTTTGTATATTTGTATCACAATATTTAATATAGCGATTATGTACATGTATACAATTACGCGTGGTTCCACAATTAATCTATTCATTTAATTGACATGGAGAAATGACGAGCGGATTGTATAAATTAATCATAAATATATTTTACCTCTGGGTTTGTAAGGAAAATATCAGTGATTGTCTTTACATATCGCTTCGTGGTAAAACTAAAGTTACTTTAGTACAAAGTAAAAACTTGGTCTCAAATTTCCATTATTTTTCCATTAAAATACTTATGTAATCCTTAAAATAAGCTCAAATAAGTGTATGTGAAGCTAGCGTCTCATTTTGCGGAAACTTACAAACAATTAAGAGTTCTGGTTTCCTTTTCATTCAATAGTTCTAGAGTTCCTAGTAGTTTAAACAAATAGTTCTATAAAAAGTTCTGCCATATAAAAGCAAAAAAATTAATTATATATGTATAAGGTACTAAAAACAAAATTACAATGTAATGAGTATACCGAGTTAAGACGTCAGTTGAAATCTCGGAGTTCCGGTTTATGTAAAATATTTTTCGAGTAATTCTGAGCATATTGAAAAATTTTTTTAAAGAGTTCCGAGCGTTAGGATCTTTGTGTTATACTTAAAAAAATTAATATTATCCGAAAAGTAATCATTATGACAGAACAAGGTGAGACGCTGCGTGATCCTATAGCGTCTCAGTTTGTACTGACGCGTTTTTTGGCTTTAATGGCCAGAACCATTTGTTTAAACTATCAGGAACTCTAGAACTATTGAAAAGGAAGCCAGAACTCTCAATTGTTTGTGAGTTTCCGCAAAATAAGACGCTAGCTTCACATACACGTCACTGTTTCGACACTGTCATCGACAGAAAAAACAATATATAAAAAGATATCTTATCAAGTATTACACTTACGTGCCGAGAGAAAAAAGAGAGAGCTACAACATAATGTTTCTATTTCCAAACTATTGATTTTATCATTTTCTTCCTTTAAAATTTATATTAGGACAATTAGAAAACAAAAAAAATTATAGATAAGTTCCTTGATGGCTCAGATTCTAGAAAGCTAAAAATGAATGAAAGATGCGATGTGCACCTAATACGTGTGATTTTATAATTAAAATAATTAGAACGCTTCCTGTCAAGAAAACCCGCTGTCAAAAATAAGAAAATGAAAAAAATATGTATAAGATAAGATAAGATAGTAGATACGTAATAATAAATAAAAGATATAAAATATTTAATTAAAAAGTATAGAGATTTATAATATAAGATTATTCACTTTTATAAGTTGTATATTTTTGGATATAGATCAGCTCGATATAGATTTCTGAGCTTTTGGCGACTGAGTAACGAGAGATGAGAAAATTAAAATTGCAAAAATTATCCAAAAGAGGCTGAATAACGTGCAGGGGCGAGTGAGAAAGAATCGGATGAATCAACGTAGGTATATCTTCAACACTAGCGAGATAGAAAAAGCAAACAAAGTGAGTAAGAAAAAGGGTCATCAGAGGCGGCGCGGCGGTCGAAAGACAGAGAGAAGACTGGAGACTGGAGAGTAAAGAGAACGAGCGTGCGCCGAGGCTGTCGGGGACGACGGGGACTGTCATGGAGGCAGATCTGCCTTCTGGCAGGAGTGGCAGGAGTGGCAGGAGGGTTTCGACCGACGCGACGCGACTCGACCTGCTGCCTGCTGCACTCGGCATTCTCTTCTCGGCAGTCGGCATTACCTGCCAGCGGCCCAGCGCGCGAGCACGTTGGCAGGCGGCTGAAGTGAGGCGCTAAGGCGGCCAGTGTCAGTCATCAGTGTCTTCGAAGTCGCGGACTCCGATGGATCGTGGAGCTTATACGAGCAGTAGCGCGTGGTGAGTGATATCAGAACTCAGAAGTTCGGTACCACAAAAAACGGATTACGGAGCACAGCACGCGTCGCGAACGAGAGCGATTCGCTGCACGGCGGCGGGGACGCGCCAGCCGCCAAGTGCAGCGTGCGCGTATATCGCGCTGTGTCGGTAGAATCGCGGCGAGCGTCGCGTAAATTGGCGTGAGGCGTGAATTCGCGGTCAGTTACATTTCGGAGACTCGCGCGACGACGACGACGAAGACGACGCAGACGGTGCGAAAGGAGGCGAAGAGGCGCAAGGAGAGCGACACATCGCGATACGATCGATCCGTCAAAAGCCGTGCAGTAGCGGCACGCAACGCAACCCAAGCGGCGGCGAACGCGCGAGAGACCGCCCGCCCGCTGGCGATGGAGGAAATGTGCTGCTCGTGACGTCACGGAATTCCTCCTCGGTGCTGCTGCTGCTGCTGGAGTAAACGGCCGCGAGCACTTGTCATCGTGCCTTCTTGTTCTCGCGTAGCTGATACTCGCGGATACTTGCGAGAGAAAAGGAGAAGCCTCGGGGGAGCAGGAGAACGAGAGAGAAGGAGCGCGCGCATATCGGTATAACGACGGTGTAAGAGAAACGGAGCGAGAGAAACGTCAGGCAGAAGTGAGGCAGGAAAGTAAGAAAATAGATAGATAGAGCATAGAGCGAAGAGGAGAGACGTGGAAGAGCGGTGGAGAACGTGGGCGTTGAGTGATTGTTGTCGGTGCTAGTTTCTAGTTTCCATCGGGAGTCATGAGAGACACGAGCGATATGATGGAGGACGCCCTGTCAGAGGTACGTAACAACACTAACAACCGATACATGTATGTATACATAATACATATAATTATACATAAATCGATCCGCCGCACCGCGTCACGCCGTGCGTTCTCGCTTTCGCGCAAACTTTTAGAAATTTAGATTAATGTGCCGTGCGTTTCCGCTCTGCGAGAACAAACTCGTGTCTCGTGTCTCGTGTCGTCGCGTTAAATCTCCGGAACTAAGTGATATTGCGGCGTACTTAAATCGGTCCGAAGAATAAGGCGATTGGCAGTGCCACCAAGTACTAACCAAACCGGATGTTTCTTTCATTATTCTCACGGATTCTCACGATTACTTAATTTGATATCGAATCCTTCTCGCTGAAAGAATATTAAAAACCGACTGTAATTTTTTAATAAATCATAATTGGAAAAAATTTTACTAGAGTTTTTACATTTGATACTTAATCACGAAGACGATACATGACGATAGATTGCAAAGATGCCATGAATAATAATACTTCTCGATACCTTCGTCAGGTATAGGAAATATTGTCAATTTGTCGTGTAGGTTCATGTTCATGCAGCGTTTCACTTTGTCCTACACGAGTTCCGCCACTATATCTTATCAGATTTTGCGAGATCTATAGTTCTATAACAGTTCTATAAAGAGTTCTGCCATATAAAAGCAAAAAAATTAATTATAATAAGATACTAAAATCAAACTTACAATGTATAATGAGTATATATACCGAGTTGAGACGCCAGTTGAAATCTCGGAGTTCCGGTTCATGTAAAATATTTTTCGAGTAGTTCTAAGTATACTGAAGCGCTTTCTAAAGAGTTCCCGTTAGCGTTAAGACCTTTGTGTTATATTTAAAAAATATTATCCAAAAAGTAATCATTATGACGGAACAAGGTAAGACGCTAGCTTAAATATCAGAGTACTGGCTTTTTTAAAATAGTTCTCGCATAATTCTCAACGTATTTATGCATTTTCTAAAGAGTTCCCGGCACTAGCAGTGTTGTATAATTTTTTAATAAAGCCTCTCACACTATTCTCTCTAAGTACTCGGTGCACGAGCGATATTAATTTATTAAAAAATCATACAACATTGCTAGTGCCGGGAACTCTTTAGAAAATGCACAAATATGTTCAGAACTATACTAGAACTATTTTATAAAAGCCAGAACTCCGATATTTAGACCAGCGTCTCACCTTGTTCTGTCATAATGATTACTTTTCGGATAATATTAATTTTTTTAAATATAACACAAAGATCCTAACGCTCGGAACTCTTTAAAAAAAATTTTTCAATATGCTCAGAACTACTCGAAAAATATTTACATAAACCGGAACTCCAAGATTTCAACTGACGTCTTAACTCGGTATACTCATTACATTGTAATTTTGTTTTTAGTACCTTATAATTAATTTTTTTTGCTTTTATATGGCAGAACTCTTTATAGAACTGTTATAAAACTATAGATTTCGCGAAATCTGCTAAGATATGTATAGTGGCGGAACTCGTGTAGGACCAAAGTGAGACGCTGCGTGAACCTATAGCGTCTCAGCTCAATTGTTTGTGAGTTTCCGCAAAATAAGACGCTAGCTTCACATACACCTTTTGAAAGTTTTTAAATAAAATTTTGATAAATTTGCTACGATTAATTATTACATCCTGTCATGTATTTATTTTGATTGTTTATTTCACAGTTGTGTAACATTTTATCATGCTACTTAATATGAGCGTAGTTCACACGGACTTTAATTAAATTCCATGCGCCCATGATTTAATTGCGATATACTGCGTTAAATAGACATGTTTTAGCGATCAGTGGTATTGGACAATCTACGCATAGCTTTTTACTACATTGTCAATTTTGCTTTAGTAATATAACTGCACAATTAAATTGATTTCGTGATTAATTACCTCTCAATTGACGTAATCAAATAAGTAACAATTATCAAGATTTTATTAATTTAATTTTTATTTTATTTAGTCTTGAGCTTGACATTTGTAATATATTTCAAAGAATGGATTTTTCTTTTTCTTTATATTATTTTGTGCAGGACACAATGATGGATTGCGGAGGAGATAGCGGAGAAGATAGTGGAGGTTTGGAGGACTTTGTTGACTTAGCCACTGACATCACGGATAATTCACGTACAATACGAGGTAATTTATTTATTGTATACTTCTATTGTATTTATTTATATGTATACTTTTACATCTAAATATTATTTGTGCGTTACAAATATCCATGCCTAGATAATTGCACAATTATAAATAAACCATTAAAAATCTATATTATTTTTAAAATTCAGGATTTGAAAGAGTAGATATTTTTATTTCTTTGTTGGCGTTGGATTTATATGTGAATGACATCAGTAATCCGTATAATATACGAAATACAGTAGATCTTATAAAATACTTATAAAATGCGAGCTTGAAGTGAGAACGTGATAATAATTATGTTTGTGTATTGTGTCAATTGTTCAATGTGATTGTTTCTAATTACATTATTATTCAATACTTTCGTTATTTTTCCGTTTCCGTTATTTTTATGACTTTGTTTCCTATTTTTGTAACATTTTATTGTTTTCTGAGATATAAAACAATTTTGAAAATTTGAAAGTTTGAATTGACCAGTGAACACGATAAATTTAACCTCTTTTTAAGACACAAATGTGAAGTAAAGCATTGCATCTGCGAATAAAGGCGCGGTGGACTCTCGCGTTGAATCGACGACAATAACCGGGAGAATGCATTATTGTAACAACCGGACCGCGATTCGATGAGTAAGTCCGCCGCAATGAGGCCGACGCGACGGCCCGGTTTTGCGGTCCTGTGGGAATCCTGCCCCATAAACGTCCCACGGGAACTACCTGTCGCTCGAAACCCACACCCTGTCGCATCCGCTCTGCGAATCGCCGCATTTCGCACGAGTCCTCTCCTCTTTCTCATCTCCCTCGTCCTTGTGTGGTGTGTCATAATGTGATTCGATGCATCGGTACCGTACATGTGTGCTACTCGCCCGTTCACACACCATCGCGAGAGCGGTAAGGTCGTTTATTCGGCGAGGGTAACTTTAAGATACCTGTTCCTGGGAACGGGAACGATTTCGATCGAAAAGTGGCGATTGCGGCGATTAAATGCGTTTGGTCGCGGGATTCGGATAGAAGAATTTAATGAGTTGTGTGTGTGATTAACGTTACAATTATAGAAATCATCTAATAAACGAATCAACACAAATGAAGAAATATATTTAGAAAAGATCAGTCCAATTTTTAAATATATTTAAATAATATGATTAAGTTCAGATATACATCAATGCCAAATTAAAAATTAAAATAATAAAAAGACATACTTGAAATGCGAGCATGCAAAAATTTTATGTAAAAAAAAAATAATAGTCTAATTCCAATATACATAAATTAATATAGTAATTCAAATTAACGTAAACGACAATCGAAAAAAATTGGAAAAGAGTATACGTGTTTAGAGACAAATTATCTATCTCCTCATTATTACCATCTTTTCTCGACGTCACAAAGGTAGTCGATCAACGTTTTTCAAACAGGCCCGAACGTATATTACCCGCGTTGTACTTGTTCTTTTTTTTCTTAACGATAATAGAAAAGTCTGGACCAGTCGCGAGAGCAAGTTCGTTGATTCTTCTTTTTTTCATCAGACATCTCTTTCTCTCTCCCTCTTCAGGAGGCATCAATGCGACTCTCCGTGCCGAACGTTCCCACAGGGATACCCGCATTTAAATGTCCCGTGTCCCGTTCCTATAGTCTACGAGACGTAGCAAAGTTTGGATTGGGTTGGGTTAGGTTAAGTGACGATTTAAAAGGACTGAAAGGTACTTAACGAACGAACTGTTTGTTTCTACTCAAAAAATATGTGTGCGGACTGTAGGAAATAAAGATAGAAAATTATAGTACTACCATGACGTTATATGCCAAGAAAGTGCACCGATTATTGTAATAATTTGTCGCATGTGCAAGAGAAACTTATGTACCTATCGTACTCAATTTATAATTTATAAAATATTTATAAAATGTATCGTGTGTTAACTATATAAAATATTAATTATTTTTGACGTATGAAATTACCTCTGAATAACAGAATTATTTGTGTATTCTTGACGCAATTAAGCAAGTGCGATTTACGATAACACAGTCATAAAATTATACTCGATCATCAATAATGATGTAACATATTGTGACTTAAGTTATACTCAGATCGACTTTTATCACGGTCAATCAATATCGGCGTCATCGTGACCGTAAATTTGTTTACGCGCATTTTAAAGTCGTATTATAATCTATATCGTTTAGTGACATCGCTTGAAATTGCTCCGACGAAGGAGGACCATAATTCTTGTCGGCGAATAGAAATTTTTGTAGCTGTACGTACACAGAAAGCCGACATTAGCATAGAGAACTCATATTTCAGGAGAAAATCGGCCGAACTACAGTATAAGCGGCAACGCAAAGCTATTCTCCTAGCGAGCAGTATCCGACTTATATTCTGTGATTAATGACGTCGACCTAATAAATTTTAATGGCTTACTCGTGCGTTACCGCTTTACGAATAAATATGGGTACAAAGTTTCGCACTGTTACGCTACTATAGAAGGTATCTACGTCATTTGCACCTTATTAAAAGTTTTAATCGAGGCGACTTGGATATTGCGCTCCCATTGCGCTTTCTGGCGAATCATATTTTATCGCCTTGAAAATCTTTCAATTTAGCAAACTAATTAGATGGCTGTTATACAAATATGGAAACAAGCTTTTTTAAATATAAAAATAAAAAATATAAAATGTTAAAGCTTAAAAGAAAGTGGAAATAAATTTATACTTTATTTTGAAAAATTGCTATTAATATTTTATTATTTATATATTGCTACAACAGTTAATTTAATGTTCAACAAAATTAAAATAAAAAACGTTTACAAGCCCTTTTATTACAAGTTTATTACAATAATCTTATTCGCGGAATATTTGCACGCTAACTCTAGTATTTAAGAAATAGGCCAATCCAACATTTAAAAAAACAGCACGGATCCAACGTTATTATAGGAAATACCGGTGACGTTTTACAACAAAGTGCAAATAAAGATCGCTTCTTTTCTAGAGCATGAGAACTTCTCTTGCAAGTATTATAATATGATGTCGTAAAATATTGCTTTACACAGTGGATTATACCATTCTCAGAATCAACTTTTGTTTTATTGTTGTATTCTTATCTATCTTATTGTTACATTATTGATATACATATAACAGTCTGTTATAGTATTAATCTTAACTTTCTATTTTATTTCACATGCCATGCAAATTTTGATTCTAGAATAATTGATTTTGCCATTATTTTATCTACAGATATCTTCATGTGATCAGTCTTTGTTTGTTAAAAGAATTTTTCACTTCTTCGGGTTTTATTTTTTCGAGTCAATCTTCTCGCATTAACAGATAATTTAGGCCATTTGCAACCTGCGTAGATGCCGCCGAACGGTTACTGACCTTGTTAGGAATGGGCGAAGACGACGAAGACCTTCTGTCATCGTCGGAGGATGAGGGTGTTGAGGTAGACATCGATGAGCTCGAGGAAGACGACGAGGAAACGGATAATGCCAAATTGCTGCATCAACTCGCTGCATCCCTAGCCCAGGAACTCAAATACTCTCAAAAACAATCTTCGAGCAGCAGAGTGACGTATCAAGATCAAAGTGTGATACGTAATGTGGAGATGCTGCAGGATACGAGTTATCTCGGTCGCGGTTGCCTTCAAAATCAAGTGGACCATTCAAAAACATCTGTTTGTCAAAACGGTTTCGATCACAACGATCTTGATTATTTCAACGATCTCAATGAACAAAACGCGAACTTCACAAAGTTTACAAATTTCGGGAACCTCCGTCAGGAACACGGTCGAGCCTTTGATTCTTCGAACTTAGATCATCGCCTGTGGACGGACAATCCAGCAGTCACGATCCAGCAGACTGAAAAGTCCTTCAGCAGCCAGCAGGAGCAGAATCCCGATTCCTGGACAGCAGGATGGGATGCTTGCGCCACCGAGGCTCTCCGGTATCTCGTCGAAGACGAGGGCCTACCGCTTCATCATCCTACGGTTATCGCCATGAAAAATTACCTAGATCTGCAGAGGGAGAGAGCGTTCACTCAACACACCGGGTATACGGACACCAAGTCGCAGGACATGAGTCTGCTTCTGGATTGATGAGGCTTCAGCATTAAGGTAGCGAGCGATTAAATTTATTTCTTGCGACGTGTCTCATTAAAGAATTTTCGAGAGAGAAATCTAAGATAAAAAAATTAATCTTGTTATTTAAATAAAACGAGCATAAGGACGTGGCGTGTTGTGAAATCGTTTGCACAAGACTCTTTGCTTTCTTACATATTTCGTCCTCTTTTGAAGAAAAATTTCAATTTTCTTGAGCCATAACGATTTATTTAATATAATAAATAATTCGATTCGAATATTCGAATAATTTTAGCTTTCGACGATTATAATTTCGAATTATAAGCGTTCATACGCTGGATCGATATGAACGCCGTTTCTTTTTCGTAACGAGTTATTGAAAACCTTCAAGTTTCTTGAACGTCTCAATCAAGGATTAAGATCTTTTTTTCCATTTTCGTTTTCAAAAAGTGGTGATAGTTAATTCCTGATAATATTTCCCGAGAAGATGGCTTCGGGTATCATAAAAGAAAATATTTCTAGCAGTTAGAATCATCAAACTGTAGAGAAACGACCGGCGAATCACAATTAAAATTATTCTTAAAACAAATTCCTAGTTTAGTCTGTCATAAATAAAAAGGTCGAAAGAATTAAAATACAATAAACGGGATGACAGAGAAAAGAAAAAAAAAGAACGTTACGTACTTGATACGAGAAAGAAGTGAGATAAGCATCGGTGATCGCCGACAGAATATTGCAGAATGTTTTCGATTGTTATAATAAGAAGTAATTTTTTACAAATCAAGAAATTACGTTTATACAAATAATATAAAAATAAAAATAATTATTTATAAATTATATCTGCAAATGACATTTTTCTCTCAAATAATTTAAAGAATTTAAAGATATCTTTTTTGAATTGTGCCATTTTGTCGGCGATTATATGCACGAAACATTTTTCAGTCAGATCGTATACGAAGAAATTGGCTATACAGCAGTGTCGACAATAGAAATGAGAAACGTTTAGCCCCCGAAAATATTGTATATAATTTGGATTAGGCGAGAGACGACGAGAGCTCCGAGACTTAGATAGGAACTTATTCGGTCATAGATCAGCGAATCTTTATTTGTAAAAGAAATTACAACATATGGCAATAACGAGATCTCACGAGGAGTCCAATTCGGATGGCCTGAAATGTGTGTCTTCTTAATGACACTAGTAGTATAATAAAAGGGTGGTTTTGTTTAGAGTAATGTTGCTTAAACAACGATGCGTGCGAAAGGGTGCACGTCGGCCGCCTTAACACGTCTCAACCATCTACAAAAAGCTCATCGTGAAACCTCAGACATTTCCACATCTTAATCGTTATTTAGATCGTACGATCATCATTCCTCATGTACGGGAAATTGATCAGGATCGTACGTCAATTGCAGCGTTGAATCGATCCTGATGCGTTAATAAAAAGAGTAAAAGCAAACGAGATAAATGAAACTTGATCGTCAGTGACTCAGGATCGACGATCGACTTCGATCGTGCGTCACTTGTCAAAAAATCAAAGAGACTTTATATCGCGATTGATTGCGTGCAAAGGATCGAAAAATTACGACTGTGAGTGAATTGCGGAGAAATTTTTAAGTTTTTTTTTCCCCACAATTTTTTTATGGGAAGTAGTCGACGCGCGACGTTCTTCCCACGCGACCGAATAGCAAGCTGTACATATGTATAATATCGTTTTAACTTATACACAACTATTGTTACTTTTACAATAAAGCTCTGTAGATAACATTGACCAGTAAATAAACGACCGATAAATTAATTAAGCCCGTCGTCTCGTTCTCGTCTTCCCAGTCCTTAAACTTAAACTTGGCCGAAGTGTTCAATCTAACCATTCAATCCGCTGCAAAAACTGTATTTTTAGATAATTCTTAGAAATTTGATTTTAATTACATTTAATCACAATCGGATTCTAATAAATCAAATCAGGGGCACAACTCGTAAAATCGTAATTTTATCTCTGAAATATTCTTATACCAAACGTTATGTGTACGTCGCGTTTACGTGGTGATATAAATGTAACACTTTTATAATAAAATGGAAAGTTTTTAACAACGTATTTACTGAGCTAAATCAATATATTTGACTTTTTTCTCAGTTGTTGATTTGTCAGGAAAATTTTGTTTTTAATTTTAATTTGTCATAAATGCAATACGATATATATATGTGTATGTACATGACATACATGTTTTGAAATATGTTTATAAATGTTAATCAGTATTTGTAGTAAAGAAAACTAGACTCGACTAGCAAAGTTAGCTGTTTGAGGGCCCATTGGACGTTTCCAATGTATAATAACGTAACAACGGCCCGCGATGCGATGTGATATGTAATGGGACTTGTGGAAGGGAACATACGCGAACGAAGAAACGGTTGTGGATCTGGCACGCGACTAGCTTGAAAGGAATCGCGCGCCGTCCACCTTTATCGGGGTCGTCCGTCGAGGAGGGATCTCTCTACGCCAATGGGGCATCTGGTGTCGGTTCGTAGCACATGCCATGCATCTGCTCCGTCGAGGTACTTTTGTTGTCTTCGACGTTCGCGTCCAGCGAAAATAAGCCAGGGCAGCAGTTCGCCGACTACTGTTACCAGGAGAATCTATGTGCTTTCTTTCTTACCGTCTCGCAATCCTCGAAACGCGTTCGCCGACCTCCTGGCCATTTCGCGATTCTATGATCGCTGCTGGGTTTGTTCGAGGGAGACAGAAGGACTTGGTACCCGAAGAAGAGACCTGACGATAGGGGATAATAGATATACCGACGGATATGTTGTCAAGAGACATTGTAATTTCATTCTATCTTTTGCTGTATAAACATGCTATAATTTATCTTTCAATTAAAATATTCAAACTTTAGTTTCATTACAATCGTAATAAATATTGAATATACATATGTTGCTACACTATGTGATCCCACTGTATATACTGTCGATAATTTCTCCCCTTTCGTTCCTACCGCGGAACATCCTGCTATCCGAGATAAAGCATGCGGTTTTTTTGACTTTTTTGCCATATGAAATCGTTTCGGTTTTTTGAACGCATTGGGCCAGCGCGAGAGACGACGGAGGAAGGAGATGATGTACGCGAGCCTCGCGAAGGGGAGAGAACAGCTGTCCCGGGTGGTAACCGTCAGGTGGTATCCCGTCAGCTCGTCGTCAGCTGCGGGGGTGAGAATACGAAAAAAGGGTTGAGAGGACATTGCGCTCGGGCGACGGCCGTTGACGTTGCATTCCGCGGATCATATTGATTATATTGGAAAAAAATCGACGTGTCGATTTTACTGTTATAATCCCCCAACATAACGACCTAAATATTTTAGAAGTCAACCTTTTAATTGTAGAAATAAGCGACATACATATCACAAGTTTGAGCGTGAAAACCAAACTGTATAGATGTATAATCCTATGTTCTATTTCAGATTGCAATATAAAATTAACATATGACTACGAGAAATGCTTAATTTTATTACAAAGGCTGCAATAATTAAAAGATATGAATAGAAAAATAGAATAAAAAATAATCATCGTTATTAAAAAATAAATAAATAAAAATTACAGTTGAATGTGTGTGACATCTCAGCTCTTTCTTTATAAAAAAAAATTAATCTTTCTTGTCGCTCGACTCGAGAATACGGGCGACTTTAGAAAAACAAATGTCGCCTTAATCTCCTTGCTACATGGAGGTGCTGTGGGAATATCAACGCCAAAAACGAATTGTGACAATAATAGGCGCGGGTGGGCAGACAGGCTTGCCTTAAGTGACGCGTATTTAATTCGAGACGTCTGCATTCCGCGGCGCGGCGCAGCGGTCCCATGTCGAAGACGAAAGACGCCAGGCCACCGTGGCGAGCACGGCCATACCGTAGGCCATAGGGGCCATGTCCATTGTGACAGCAACGGGGAAATCAAGTAAATTGGCTGAATTGGCCCGTCCGTGAACCGGTACAGAGCGACCCAGCGTACGCAGATGCAGATATGCGATAGATCCCGTATTGCGTAATATAAAGCCCGCAGGCCATCTTTACCCGAAAACTCTCAAACGGATTATTCAAACGGTATTTGTAAAACGCAAAATTATAAAACTTATCTAAGTTTTACCTCTCCAATTTTAGAATTTCTTAATGGAGAAAAGAAGAAGAAAATTATATCATGATGTTTCGATATGATATGATATCTATACGTAAGAGTATTAATAAGTTTCGATTTACATTTATATTTTTGTATACGGTTGATAACCAAAGACGAAGAATTTTAAACAAAGAAGAAATAAAATTATTGATAATGCGTCTCGCATAATAAAGCTAACGTCGCAATGGAATTTAATGGAATGTGTATGATAAAATTTATTTGTGAGAGAGACAACTCGAAGAGTTTGGTCGGGCTGTGCAAAAAATTGTTTTAGAAACTAAAGTAGCGGAAAGAAGCTCGTGCATACCACTGCGCAGATGGTAGCAGCATGCTGTGCATCAAGAAGATGGAAGATATTTAAAAAATTCATATAATGAACGGTCGTTATTTTGTGCATCCATCTGCTGATGAAAAAGATACCTACGAGTATTCAATAGACTGTGCGTTGAATTCTACAGATGACAAACTTAATCAACTCCTTAATGGGTCTGCAAAAAGACATTGCGGAAAAATTACATAAACGTTCAATTTATTTGATCTGATCGAATCGAGCGTTGACGTGGTACCTCGGTATAGAAAATTGATCTTTCACGAAATCCGCCAGATGCGGATCTAATGGCCAATCTGTGTTCATTGTCTCGCCGCGTGCGTGTCGAGGGCGCGTGCACCTATAAAAGAAGTACAACACCACTTTTACAGCTGCCGGAAGTATACATCTGCTAACGCAGAATCTACTAACCGTGTGGAGGAGATTGGGCCGAGTCCTCGGCTAAGTCGCTATATTGCACTCGCGTCGCTTTGTAATTTTGTGTAATCGTGAAGACGTGTAACGTTGACACGGCAAATAAACCGCGTTCCTTACGTCGAGACGAATAATCAAGACGGTTAATTAAAATTGGAAAAAAACCGACGGAATGAGATAAAGATCTTTACACGTGGCGGGTCCGCGGACAGACGGCGGGGCCCACCTTTATTTTCGAAAAATAGCGGCAGCTGCCCGGAAGAAACGATCGTGGCTCGTGCTGAACACCTTTCGTCTCTAAATCGAGGGCTTGTGGATCCTGGCTCGTGGATCTTGATGAAGATTCGTCACTAAATATAAAAATTCTTATGCATATATATATATATATATATATATATATATATATATATATTGTATATATACACACACAAATTAATATGTCACATAAAAAGAATGATAATACTTTTTTGTCGTTTGTTTATTAATTAAGAAATTAAAACAAGTTAAAACTAATTAATTTAAAAATTTTATGTAAGAAGAATAAAGACAATTTGTTAAAAGTAGATAGTTATTAATTAATTTGTTCATTTACAATTACGGGAAACTGTCGTGAGGATCAATGTAGAATGAATAGTTACACAATCGAGTACAATGATACCTCTTCACTGAAACGCGAAGAGCTTCGTGATTATAACACCAGTTAATCAGGTAACCAGTAAACGCGCATAAAACGGCTCGTAAAACATAAACTCGCGTGCGTATCGATTGGAAGCAATCTCATCTCTTGTCGGATTTGAGGCGTCGCTGAAAAAAATCCGCGACACGCGAGTGGCAAGCGAAAAACCGGAAACGAACCCCAGCCAGCCTCGTCTCGTCTAGGGTGAGACTAGAGGGGTGAGAGAACGAGGTGATCCCTCCACGTATCCGGCATTGTTTCTCAACGGCACCCCCTCCGTCGTTCCCCTCCCATATGGTAGCCACATGTAGGTTCTGGGCACCATCAGAGGGGGGAAAAGTCATCGCGGAGATCCAGCTGATGGTCGACGCATTGGTCGAGCTTCCTCAGTTACTGTTGGACCGCACGCAGGTCTGGTCTACGCGTCTCGCTAGATAAATCCGGTTCCGATATAAATTGTTCCAGAAGAACGGAAATTCAGGCTGCGGAGGAGTAGGGCAACCTTGACCCTTGAATCGCGAGGTCGCGCGAGAACCGGCGGAAACCAAACCACGCGAAGGTGAGCAGCGAGAAATGATTAGAGGTCCGAACGCGAAGTCGAAGGCACGCAAAGCGAATATTTGATTCTCTGTTAATTAACTAACGGGACAATAATTAGATAACGGGTTTAGTAATAATGGATAATGGATCTCTTCTGCATTGTCGATTGATCATCGAGATATTATAGGTTTACATGAAACGTATAAAGTGATTTTGCTATTCGCATGAATTTTACACGTGAATAAACCAAGGGAGTAGTTTTTGTAATTATTATCTTGTTATAATTCATATTAATCATATTTGTTTATTAATAGTAACAATCGCGTGTATTACCGTTGCCTAATTATTTATGAAATTAATTGTTGTAAATGGTTGTAATTGACCGTTATAAAGCCAAATGATCTGTCGATATCGATAATTAAAAGTTAAGTGAATAATAATAAAAAAATAATGATTGCGGTACCGTGATATCACGGCAATTGGCACGGGCTCGCGTTGGTCGTTGAACTCCAAGTTGGTTAAAGTGGCGCAGGGGTGACGCAAAATCTGGCAATGGGGATGAGGATGGGGATGGGGATGGGGATGGGCATCCTTAGTAACAGTGTAATATGCCGTTCGAGTATTGATTTCAGACTCGGGGTTTAGGGTAGCGTTACACGCGTCTACGATGCATTCAGCAAACATTGGTCATGCTCGTTTCGTATAAACCTTCTAGGACTTCCTTCCGCTCGATTGCCGGCCAATCTGATACAATCAAAACGGAACGGATGCCGTTGAAATAAATACAAAGTCAAGAGAAGATAAAACTGCAGCATTCCTTGATAATTCTATTTGAAACTATCCGATTTTAATTTGTCGGTAATAGCATATCATTTCTTATTTGATGTCTTAGAAATTTACGTTGCATTTTACACATGAGATATAGATAAAAAATCATAAAAAAATATAATAAAAATCCTGCAAGCACCTTTGGGAATTTTCCGTAATTATAATCACTCGTTATTGAGCTCTCAAAATCTCGGGTGTCAAAATCTACCGTGTCTCTTGATAAAACAATGCGCGCGATAATTTCCTGCGCCGTCGATCATGGAGAATTCCAATGACAATATCGAATCATTCGATCGCAACTTCGTAGATGATACCGGATGCAGAGGCTGTGTGTCAGACTTCCGAGGCTGCGGTCACCAGCGGCGGCGACGAGAAGATTAAGGACCGGCCGGAAAAGGAAGTGGCGTCGGTGACCGCCTGGAACCGATATCAGCGACTAGTGGCCGCGATGGAGTCCCGGGGTGGTGAATTCAACCGAAAGTCCGTGATCGAGACGATCTTTCGCGGTAGCGATCTAGTCTACGTTACTCATTGATCGGCGAATCGATCGGACGCGAGTGGAAACCTCTCGCCCATTCCTATACCAAAGTCCCAGCCAGTATCAAATCGCTTTCGCGTAGTGGCGTAGAATTCGCGAGTCGCAACATAGTAGTACCGTTTGAATATGAACCTACGTACAAGTAGGCGAAATTTTCCATGAAAATAAAAATTATATTTATATTACTTCTTTCTAAGATAAAATAATATGGAATATATTATTACTTGATAAATTTTTATAAAGAATTAATTATTGCTACAAACACATTAGAAAACAGTGATTATTGATCTAATTAGTTATCGCTAAAAAATTAATATTTATTAGTTAAATAGTAAATAGTAAATAGTAAATTGACACTTGCGTCACTTGTCATCTGTAGGTAGATGTTATTATGAAGTTATAATACGTATATTCAAGTACTAGTGGGTATTTTTTTTATGTACTGACAATGAGATTGCTATGCGACGACGTCGAGAATAGGATGTAAGAGCGCAGTTTTGACGCGGTTAACGTGGCTGTGTATTATATGTAGTTCGATGTCGAGCGCACTATTTTTAGATCCACATGAGGGGAGTTTAATAGTTCCGAGAGACGAATGCTTTTATAAGTTTATACATACATAAAGCAAGTATCGTTATATACGTGCCTTTGGAAAATTCCAAACAAGCGATTCTTAAAGTCGAATATAAGATATAAGGTATACGCACATGTCATTAACGCTCAAGTGCAAATTGTATTAACAAATCAAACATTATTCCGATATATGCGACATTTTCGAGTAAAAATAAAATAAAATTATGTAATAACAGCGAATGTACACGCACCGCGAGGCAGACACATTAAATGCTTTCGAGATAAAATTTTGACAAACGTACTAGTTAATTATTAACATTGACGAGCTTGGAAAATTTCTTATGTGCTAGATAAAAATGTAGCAATCGTTTACTCTTTAAAAAAAAAGATTTTATCGACATTTATGAATGGTTATGTATACGTCATAATAATAATAGCGAATAATGAGTTAACGCAAACGAGTGCGCCGCGTTTCTACGCCACTGATTAATGCAATCATAGATTGAAATACGATTAACGATGCCAAACTGTGTATTACTAGTCAACGTGTGCATACTAAATCGTGAAAGAATAGGATAGATCGTTTAATAAGGCAATTATGACAACGGTGACGATTACGACGTTGCTATCAACGCGATAGACGACGGAAGGCGTATCTGTAATCGCTGTAATCTACCACATGAATTCATGCGACATTGGCTATGCTCAATCTTGTCAGCGCGAGCAACACTCGCTATATGTACATATATAAGGACAAAATAATATGCAAGAGGCTGAAGCTAATAATTATGATTAAACGTAAAACAATTATCGCTAATTCTGAAGTATTATAACGTATTAAGACGATTGTGTAATTGAATGATCCAGAGATAAATAATGTTTTAAACTCTAGGAACAAACTGTAAAAGAATTAATTTAATAAAATGGATTATATTTATTTGAAACTTCAACATTGCGTATTATCGATCACCATGATAAGTATTGTTTTTGACAATTTGAGCAAAGACATTAGAACAAATACTAAAGATTTAATATCTTTATTTGAGGTGTATGTGAAGCCAGCGTCTTATTTTGCTGCGGAAACTCACAAACAATTGAGAGTTCTGACTTCCTTTTCAATAGTTCTAGTCCTGATAGTTTAAACAAATGGTTCTGGCCATTAAAGCCAAAAAACGCGTCAGTACAAACTGAGAATAATTGTAAATGGATTAATAGTAGAAAATATATACTTTTACCTCTGTTTTGTATGACATGTATACATATGTACACATAATAAAAATTTTGTCGTCCGATTATAATAACAATATTCAATCTTTTCTTAAAGATTTTGCTACCGAATGGCCAAAAAGAAATAGTCAGATTTGCGAGTAATTTTGTTTGTAAAATTTTAAAAATTTGTCTCCTGCAGGCTGCAGCACGAAGAGCTATTAGTCAGTTCCGGCAGACAGGCAAACCATATTTCACAAGTAACACAATAACTGGCAATAAATAAAAGACAAAAGAAGAACGCAGAGAGACAACTAATTGTATTGCAACTAGTTCTATTGTACTTTTTGGTTGAAAATGTGGGAAAGTAGAAACGTCTCTGCTATCCACCAAGATTTTAGAGACATTAGTTTGAAATAAAATTTATAAGATATTAAAATTATATAAAATGGTTCGAAGAAAAAAAGGAAATAGTTAAAAAGATTCTTCTGGTGAGTGGTAAAAAACAAACTTGCCACGCGATGTCGCCAAAACGAATTCTCTTGGATCGGTGAAAGCGAGAACGCGGAGAAAGTTCGTGAATGAGTTGAAATGATCATGCCGTCGGTCATGACGAGAATTTATAGAACAAAAATTGCATCGAAATAAAAAAGAAAGGAATATAAACGGTGATTGCTAGTAAAAATATGGATCATAAATAACTTCTGCCGACATAATGATAAATTTATAACGAGATTACGATCTTTATCTATAATAATCGCCACGAAAGACCGTTGCGCGCTCTCGCTTGCGTGTATATCAATCGTATTTAAGCACATCCTCGTTTCTCGCTGTGATGACGTTATCATCCACAACTAATCCAGCCAAAAATATAAATTTTATTTCAAATTGTAAGAGCAAGGTTTGCATATATATTGTGGCTGAATGATTCGACTCGGTATATCGAGGTAGCCGACAACTTGCATCACAACTGTACCTTGTACTCGAAGCGGTCCATTCACCTTTCCGAGGCGAAAACTCAGAACTGCATCAGAGAAGCCGGTCCCGAAATCTATTTTCGCTCCTTCGTGTATCGATTAGGGCGTACTTGGCGTTTCAGTCGCCTCGATTATGCAGAGAATGATACGAATGCGAAGAGTCGAACACGAATTTGCATGCGTTTATTGCATTTTTTACGTCAGTAGTTTAAACAGAAAAAAATATCAACGACAAGATATACTATCAGTTTTCGCGTTTGCTACATTTTAACCTTCCTTTATGAAATTTAGTTCCGTCGATCTTCCGATCGACGATCCGTAAGAAGCGTATATATTCTCAACGACGGAAATTTACAATAATCTCTCGTTTGCATTTATCGGTCTACATCGCAATCGCAATCGGGCTCGCTCCTAATTTAGCGAAAACGAATATTGTGTGTGAAGCTGTGAAGATCAGTCGCGCGATCGAACGTATCATGCCCGTTTTAATTCAATACATTTCCATACCAAGGCACGTAGTGGCGAGAGACTGCGAATGTATCGATTCTGGCTATGATCACAACTCATTAAGGCTATTTTCCATAATGGCGATAATTAGCACGCGCAAGGTAAAACGAAATCGGTCCTCGCATATCTTAATATTTTTTGCGTCATTTTTCAGTTTTTACCACTAAAATCTTACAATATTTATTTGCTTTATATCTAATTTTTTTTTACTTTTAAATAAACTTTTAATAAAGATATGTATAAAGATATGTGTAAAACAAGAAGAGAATTTATTTTTATATTTTTAATATCTGTCACAAAATATTAAAAACGGATCCTATCTATGCGGCCCAATGCAAATCACAAATCGAATGATACCGTATCAAGTATCGAGGCATTTTTTATTCAGGCAGAACAATAAATGGAAATGCGATTCGATTCGATTAGATAAATTAATAAATGTAAATTGATTTTCTCGTCCTCCCATGTTGAAACGATTTTTGTCTCGTTTAAATTGTTCTTTGAAAATAGTATGCAACGCTCGAAGTAAATAGCTACTTATACGTATTTTTCTTTTACAAAAGATTCATCGAACCAGCTTTGTTTCGCACAGCTGCCAACTCGTTTAATTATATCACATCACAAAATAGTACGCGACACGCGGTAGAAATAAAAGTTGGTAAATAAAATTACATGTTGGTGCAGATATAAGGGCCGATATCACAGTCTCCGATTAACGTGATCCTCCGCGTAAACTCATTCTGCATCTCTTTCTAACTGTCTTCCTAGAAAGAGACGAAGAGTGAGTTTACGCGGAGGATCACGTTAATCGGAGACTGTGATATCGGCCCTAAGGCCCAGTTTCACAAATGTCGGTTAACTTTTAATCTTAGATTAACTCACTCTTCGTCTCTTTCTAACGTCCCCCTTAGAAAAAGACGAAGAGTGAGTTAATCTAAGATTAAAAGTTAACCGACACTTGTGAAACTGGCCCTAAGTGATCAAGAATGTGTGACTATCGTCTGCAAAAATCCGTAACAAGCCGCACATCAGGTTACTAAAATATCCTTCAAGGACATCGAGATGCGATAACAACGTAAAAATTAAATGTTTGGAAAAAAAGGACATAATTAAATTTCATTAAGTCTTTTTTCGCGATCCTGACCAAAGATAGATTAACCATAATAATTGGAGACGCGTGGTGAAAATCACAAAGCGCAGTTTTAAAGAAAAACCACGCTCTCGGAATTCTTTCGATTCTGTTGAAACGCAAAGCGTTTCTTACAAAAAGTGACAAGACGTATTTTCAGTCTCGTCTTTATCAAGAAACTTGCAGATATAAATAGAACGCAGACAGAATTTATGAAGGCGAGTAAGTATAGCACACAGCAAAAGGACACGTTTGACTACTTCGATGCAGTCGTCTCTTTATTAGTTGCCAGGCAGACGGATATAAAGGCATGAAATGTCATAGATAATATGTATGATAACAGATAAATAATATTCCGAATGCAAAAAACGCTGCTAGTGAAAATGGGTAGTCTTAAGAAAATGAGAGATTTTTCTATAGGAAAATATCTCGAGATTTAACCGAGAATCAAAACAACGCGCTTATTTTGTAAAGAACGTAAATCGGATCCATACGCGAGTTGAGTTAATTCTTGAGTATTATAATAGATAGGTATATAATAGTTAAAATGCAAGGATGTACCATTGACAAGATCACGTATACCATAGATATACATAATGCCACGTGTAAAAACATATTTTTATAAAGCTGAGAAAGCGTGTTTGATTATATACAACTGATAACTTATTGCTTGTATACTTTCTACGTTCTAATGTTTCAGATGAAAAAGTTTAGGGTAGCAATCTTATTAATCCTATTAAATAAAATATATATATATATATATATATATGTCTGGTCTTTGTGAAAACAAATCTAGTTCAGTTTGTTATTCTCATTTTCAAGAAGATTGATTAAAAAAAACGTTAACGTGAACGAGATTCAACGAGAAATGCTGCGAGAAGAAAGATAAAAAGATGACAAACGTTCAAAGATAATCCAAGTTCCGGAGGATTATTGGAACGACGTCGAGATTTCTTTCGCTGGTGCAGTATATACAAAGTTGAAACTGCGAAGAAACGAGACGCGAAGCAGACCGAGAGTGACTACTACATTTCATGCAAGATCGCGCTTCTCGAAGAAGACGTTTTCTTTCTCTCCAAGTTTCGAAGAAGTACGGACATCGAGAATGCAGTTAACTGCAGAAAAGGGCGCATCCTTCGCGCAATAGGATTCAATTTGAAATTCTACGTCGCCCCAGAGTCGTTCCGATAGAATTTTAAGCGAGAAAACTCGCGGCGAGATGACTCGCGGCGCGAGAAGATTGGAGTCGAGAGATAAATAAGTAAGTAGATGCCAAGCGAGAGAGGAGCTTAGAATCCAAAGCGGATCTAAGATTCGTGAACAGGAAATTACATTTATCCGAATCGTATCGGAGCAATAGACGCAATAATAAAAGACGAGGGAGGAGGGGGGTGGTGAAAACATGCAGACAACAAAGATAGTACGTTTCGCAGGCAGGGATTGATGTACATACGTGTAAAAATGATATAAAAATCCGGTAAATGTGTTATCGTGTTAATTACGCGATACAAATAACGTGCGTCTATGTTATCTAACTCGGCGCACGTAACGGTCGTAACGTAGTTAACGTACAGCGAAAACGTTATATGAGACGTTGTCTACGTTTGCTCAAACGCCGATCGTAGCTCGCATATCTCACGCGAAACTCCCCGATACGCTCCATTCAAAAAAGCGATGATAATACGCGCGACCGCGCGTACGTCGTCCATATCAGACTCATCCGTACTACGTCGTCCGAAAAAAAAACGAGCCCGCGACGAGCGTCTTGCGTCTTCCAGGAAAACGCTAAACGGTACCGACGACGGCGCCGGCGACGAGAAACATGGCGGATATGGCGAAACCGCGCGATCTTCTCGACGGGACGCGGGAACGACAATGACGAGCGCGCGTAGTGCGTACTCGCGTGAAACAAATATGAAGCGTTGCGTACTTACAGGTTACAGGAGAGGCGAGGCGAGGCGAGGCACGGTACTCCGATGTGCCTGCTCCGATGTGCACTTGGATGTAGAATTGTCTGGAACGCCGCGTCGGCCTCGATCGTGGGTCGATTCCACCGTCTGTCTGTCAACCGTCAGTTCAATATGCGCGAGATTTGGCGACGAGAAGACGCAGCTCCGCAAGCATCGCGTACACCACGCTCGGGCGCTGAACGACACGATTAACTCGCATTTTTCGCGATAAACGGTCATGTCGGTTATTCTGATTGCGAGAGATCGTCCAACGTACCGATACTCGCCAACACCGGCTCGCACATCACACATCACACCACATTACACACATCACGCTTGCTCGCGGCCGAATACGATTACGATTACGATTTACGATCGAAGCTGATCCGAAGGATCCACCCCGCGTCGCGTCGCGGCTATATCGCGCGATGTCCTGATGGGAACTGTCCTCCACCACCACCACCCTCCACCCCTTTTACATTCCTTCGCGCGGCGTACTTGCCGAAATAACGAAAACACGCGATTGGTCAAAATAATGAGGTGAGGCTCGAGCGACGAGCGTTTGAATTCCGAGAAAAGCTTCCTCCCCCCCCTGGCGACGAACGCAACGGCAAATAGAAAAAAGAAATACGGCGCGTTCCGCGAATATGTATATAGTGTATATACGATTTCTTTATGTAGCCGAATTTTATAAGAGATCAGGGGGCTAACTTGACGCGCGTATGTCTTTTTTTCTCGTATTGTCAATTACAGTTTTGACTACTAATCATCGGAAATGGAGTATCAAACACCACCAAACGGATTTTCAGTAGCGGGCTGTGGGGCCAACTTCACAGCCTCCTCCGTCTCGCACGCCCCGGGCCATACATGGGGCGGTAAAGAGGATCTCTCTCTCTCTCTCTCTCTCTCTCTCTCTCTCTCTCTCTCTCTCTCTCTCTCTCTTTCTTTCTCTCCGACGGGGAATCAACAGGTACAGGACTCCATCGTCGCCGGGATCGAAACGACGATCTGCTGGTAGTGCTGGTTCTCGCGTGTCGAAAAGTTGCAAAGATACTTCGCTGCCCTGTGCAACTTGGATTTTCTTGGACGAGTCTTTATTTATTGATAAAAAAATTATTGAGTCTGAGGGTCTGAGCTGCCTCTCGGTTCCCGGCTCCCGGTTCCTGGTCGTTCTCCACGCAAACTTCCTTGCTGGACGTTGCGTCGCGCCATCGCTTTCTCGCAGCATCCTCATTATTGTCGTCGCGACGCGCGCGAAACATCCAGCAAGTCGTACCTACTTACGCATGCTGCATGCAATCGTACGACAAAAACGCGTCTTCACAATTCATCGAGATTCTCGCAATTTATCTCTGAGAGGGAGAGATTTGTTTTTACTAATGAAAATCCTACTCATGAACCAGCGAGAAACAGGATTGTTTGTTTTATGCTTTCTCTCAATTTCGTTTCTTTACTTCATGTTTTTTCAGATGCAGATTTTACATATAAACGGAGAAAAAGGACAAAAATGTAAAACTATTAACGACCAGACTTAATGTTTCAACCATCTTTAATTTTAATCATATTTTTTTAATCTGATTACCTAGCTTCTTCACTTTTCTAAATCGCTCGGAAAGAAAATTATTTCGTTAACTTGCTTTATTCATACAGCTAGATATTTATATTCTCAATTTAAATTCTCTTACAATAAAGAATATTGTGCATACATATAAAGGTAACATGATATAAGATAATAATTATTAATTTTATTTTGGATCATAAATTTTATTAAGGCATTGTTAGAGTTGTCAATGCCTTAATACGACAACGCACCGAACATCCTTGTCGTCTCTTCTACCGTTCTACGACGGCATTATAAAATCCGATAACGCATATTTACGCGTATGGCACGTTTCGCGTCTCGTGTTATGTAAATGTAAATCGTCAGAGATATGCAGATCGTCACGAGCATTATTATTACATTGCTCCACGCGACGTAATGAATGTTACGTGCTCGAAAGCGTTTGCGCTTGATCCTCGTCATTTAATGCTTAGTGCGCTGATACGACGCCTCGAATTTGAATTTGCACCTGTCTAAAAAGTGTCGCCCAATCCTGATATATCTTTGTCGAAATAAGCGTCAACGTTCTATCTCGTGTAAAAATTTTAATGAATTAACACGTACTTTATTATTAATAAATATTAAAAATTGTAATATAAAGTGCATCATATACGTATAACATAATGGTTATGATATTTTATAAAAAGAGAGGAATACATACATAACGTATGTCGTAAAAATTATGAGTTTTAGAGAAATATAAATATACCAAATAATATAGATATAGATACAATAATGGAACAGTATGGTGTTTACTTAAAAATTGCAGAGCATCTTTTCTATCTTTCGTTGCTAAAAACGAGCGTTCCTTGCCGGTGTTCACAAAGCGGTTTGCGCATTCTGGTTAAGGGCAGGAACACGGACGAACAGCTGCTATTTCACCTGTTCGATACATTATTTAAATGCTTCATCTGCCTCAATCTCGAGATACCGCAAGATAAGCGACCGGCGTTTCCTGCTTTCTTACGGCTCTCACGCGAGATCTTCACAAATCTTTTTTAAGTCTGTAAATCCATCTCACGATTTTTGATTTATTGACGTTTTCACGTATTATATAAAAATATTCAAGATATCAAAGAGATCGAGGAAATCGAGGAGATCGAGGATAATATTCAGGAAAAGTGCAAGAAAATAATACAATAAAACGCAACGAAACACATGTTATTTAAAAACATCGCGTACGAACATGAATCATACTTCTAAATCACAAAGTGATACAACAAAGTGATATACATATGTATATCCATGTAAATCAAACCATGTTACATCATGTATCTGTATCTATATTTGATTTTTATTAATTATTGTTTTGTCAGATATATTTATGCATTTTAGTAGATATATAATTATTTTTAATGCTTATACGTATATATAATATTTCAAGTTTAAAATTATTTCTATAATTATATATAATTAAGAATAAATAACTTTACTTTAAATGCACGTTTTCATGTAAGTTTTTCATATATACGTTTATTATTATAAAAATTAATCTACATTAGAAAAAGATTCTACTTTACAAAAGTGATTCGTCTTTCGGTTCCAATAAATATAGGACTCATCTTTGTTACGTATTTCATAAAGTGGTCTATATCGAGCGTCCCAATTTTGTGATTACGACTCTTATCTTTAAAAATGTGATAGCCATCTCCGCCGTTTATTAAGAAACTTGGTACCACTATTCTATACCATTGATCGTGCACCAAATCTTCGAATACCGGATACTCGCAAGCCTGGCATCTGTAGATACGTTAAGAGAAATCAAAATTAATTTTCCACGTATTAATTTTAGACGTGGCATGGCATAGAATAATGATATTGAATGTATTTCGTACTTCCAACTTTACGAACAAAACAAATTTAAATTCTGATAATAAAAGATCTTACCTAATTTTAACATCGACCACAGTTCGCGTTTCATTAACTTTTTTGTAAGTAACTTTTAGCCCGGACCAGACTAGAATTTCTTTCATTTCTAGAATCTACAAAGAAAAGTAAAATTGATTTCATTGTTCCATTCATTATTTCTGTATTCTTGAAGAAAAGCCACTTGACATATTTACGTTTTGCATAATGCCATTTCATGATGCATGATTGTGTCATACAATTTATTTTAAGTTAGGACAAAGAATTTAAAATCTAGTATGTATCATTAAAGCTGTAAAACTTTCATTTCTCTTATAAAGCATCGGAAAATTATAGCAAGAAATTTAACTAACTTTTTTAATGGATTCTCCAGTTAGTTCAACAGTGTCCCAAGTGTTTTCAAAAGGGTGAACCATTATCAGATCACCGTAGGTAATCTCAGATTCCTCAATGGAAGTACGAATTCCTCCTGAATTCGAGCAGGCCACTGCGGCATACGTCCAGTGAGTTTTATTTTTAGCATCATCAACAACCTAAAATTAAGACAATTTGTAACTTACGTATTTCCATATTTCGAATATTAGAATATTAACAAAGCAAAGAGTGTCTTTCGCACCGCATCCACCATGGCGTCAGTTATAAGATTTCCCATATTGCATTCTTTATAACGACAATTGCGGTCAAGTAAAACTCTCGTCTTGCCAATTTTTTTTAACGCCGTTCCATCCACTTCCTCTTTCCATGGCTTCAAAGCTTCCAAGATTTCCGGGTCTAAATATATATTATATATAAAGTTATTTTACGTATTGTTTTAAAGCTATTTTTAGTATTGTATTGCATTTATGTTTCTCATAAATGATAATGATCATAAAACTCATAAATAATAATACAAATTTAATTCTTAAAATGTCAAAAATTTTACCTTCTTCGACGGATTGGTCCAGAAGAAGTGGATTTCCGTCCCAATCGACGACCTCGCCTTGGTCGTCGAACCATACTGTTAGATTACCTAAATACCTTTTAAAAAACGAATAAAAAAAACTAAATAAAGTTTTATCGCACGTACACGTGTATATGATAATACGGATATATAATACGGACTCTAAACATAAATTCTTTCGAGAAATTTGAAGTAAATTTATCTGTTAAATCATTGCGATAAAAACAAATTAATCAGACCCGACCTCGTGACATCAGATAGCAATTGACCTTTCTTAACGATTCTCTTACTATATCATCATGCCAGCTGAATAGCGTACTTTGTAAAAGCAGCTGCCTGAACAATAAGGACCGTTCTATCTGTTTCATTTTGTGTCACGACCACGGGATATTCATCCGCTGGTGCATCGATAGAAGGCGGAGGTCCTGCAATATATACATATATATAATAAAAAGAATCAACGCTATATTTAATTATGTTACATTAATAGAGGTATATATTATCCAATAATAAATTTAATAGCTTATGCATTTATCCTTAATAAAAAAATTTCATATAAATTTAATTCGATCATATTTAAATCAATACAAAAGATTTTGCTTTCAGACCACTATAAAGAAATGTATGTGAATGACCACCGACGATTACATCGATCAAGGGACAATTCGCAGCCATGATCTTGTCCACATTTAATCCACAATGGCTTAGAACTATAATAATGTCTACTCCCTTTTCCTTCAGTCGCTTAGCTTCGTCATTGACTGTCTCTACCTCATCCAAAAATTTTAATTTCTCCGTATTCGAGAGTAACTGGAAAAATCAAATACTTTTATAAAGTCGTGTTTGCAATATCTTGTGAGAGAAAATAATTGTGTTTTGTGAATGTATGAATTAGATCGATAAAAAAATCATAATTTATAAAGTTAAATAAAATATGTTTCTAACTGTTTATGAGACGAATGTAACGGATTACTCACGTTCGTAGTCGATAAAATGACGCCAATGACACCGATTTTGGTACCATTTCTTTCGATAATTGTACTATTCTTATATAAACCCTATAGAATATGAATATTTAATATTAATTTAAACTCTTATAAATAAGTAAATAAATCAATAAATATTATGAACCTGTATAGTTGGCTCCTCGCTGTCATCGATATTTGTTACTACAACTGGTGCATTGACATTTTTAAGAAAGGGAACAACGCCTTCAATTTTATTGTCGAACTCATGGTTGCCGATCGTCTATAAAAATATTATAAGATATTATATCATAAATATGAAAAACTAAAATTTGTAAAGAAAAGCAAGTTACTCATCATTAAATTTAAAGAGTAATTACGGCAAATACGACTCTGGCGCGGTACGCGTGGTGCGCAAATAAAAATTCCTAATATTACTTCAATTCATTCCTAAATACATTTTTGATATTTAGATTTTATTTATATTTTCGTTAATTATTATTATTTTATATGTATATCTAACAAAAATATCACGCGTAATCCATTGCACATATACGTATAATTACCATAGCATCGTGCGGCAACATATTCAAGAATAAGGCAGTGACGTTCCAACGATGGATATTATACCAAAGTGTCCCCTGAAAATGATCACCAGCATTCAGGAAAATCGCATTCGGTCGTTCCTTCACAAGCTGATTGACTGCAGTGTAGACTCTAGCAATACCTCCCACGCAGTCCTTTTCGTGACCTTCTTGGCAGGACCCAGAAGAGGAGCTCGTCTGTTCGAATCTGTTCCAACGTAATTTCTATTTTCCAAAAGTCACGCTTTGACGCTCCAACGAACAATGCGATCAAAAAAGGCATGCAAAAGTTAAACGAAGGGCAAGAAAAAGAGGCTAAGGCCACATCGGAAATATTATAATAACTTTATCCTTGACCTCGCAAATTCTCTCTGGGTCCAGAATTACAATCAATTTCGACATTGATTAAGCGCACGATGTTAAGATCTTTTAACGGTTACTAAGAATTAATGTTTCTTAACACCGATTAGTAATTTTTTTACAAACCTTTGACAATAAATTTATATAAAAGTCTTTATTTAGTCCTTAATAAAAAGATATTCCAAGCTATACGAATTGAATGCGACAATTAGATAGAATTAAATACAGTTGCTCACCTGGCATGAAAGTCATTTAAATGAATTATCGATAACTCGAACAGGTCTGATCTACCAGGATAAAAGAGTCCTCGCCCGGTGAATCCCAAACAAACTTGGAATAACAATGAAACCAACAGTAGCGCGTACATGTCGCACCTGTCGAGAAAGATATTATTAAGTAATTTGTAAATAATTGCCTATTTTTTCTGATTCATATGTAATTAAATGCAATGAGATTGAAACAAAGTACAGAACTGTGTATATCGTAATCTTTTATATCTGCTTATAAAAAATATTTAAATCTGATAATTGAGAACGTCACACTATAAGCTTGTTCGTTTCAGCTGAACTTCTTGCACAATTCATAAATCTTTACTCTTTTTCTTTTTCTTTTTTCTTTTGGCGAGAAAAAGAGAAAAGATGAACCGTGCGAGTTCCAGCTAAAATGAACAGGCCTACTTTCAAAATGATGAGATAGACGCAACGAAAAAAAAACACTATACTTATACTTACTAAGGCTGCGCGCGTTCCGATATTCACTGTCAGTACTCAAAATCTGTAATGTACGTTATGTAAACTATAGATTTTCAGTACTTGCAGTGAATATCGGAACACAGCTTAAAATGTCTTTCTTAACGGCACGTTACGAATGTACGTTGAATTCTTTGTCAACACGGAAATGATAATTACACTTTTTTACGACGTGCCGTTCTACTGTTTGAAAGATGATTGCGAAGATAGATAATGCGGGGAATTATGCAACTTGCAAAAGTCGAAGACGGAATAGCCTTGAATTTAAGCGATCGCCATCGATACATTGATATATATTGATGAGCGACATAATAATCCTTAAATTAGCAAATAATTACCTTTCAAATATTATTCTTTCAAATATTATTTCGATATTTTTATCTTTAAATGTGTCATTTTTATTTTAAATTCAGTAAGTTAAGAAATATATCAAATTATACAATTTATTCGTTAAATTACAGCAAGCTATATGTAATTATTTTTACATGTATATTCGATAGCTTTAAAGTTAGTCTTTTAATTTTTATCTCCAACACATTTCTATACATATAATAATATTAATGTCTATTCAACTAACTTTGTTATTAAATTCCGCTGTAATTTTATATGCATACGTGTGTGTGTGTGTGATTCCTATTTGATATATTATATCTATTCCAATTTACTCAAGTTTCTTCTTATGGTGCCTCATCATGAAACGATTTCGCGAGAAGAAGAAGTTCGCGAAGCAAGTCTTATCAGATATCAAAATGCTTTTAAGTACAGTTTGAGCGACCATTAATATGCGATATAAAAACGCACTCAATTTCTTGCTTTTCCATTCCCACTAATTATAACGCGAACAGGTATATAAAACAGGTATTACGGGTTCGTAAGTCGACAAAGATGAAATAATTGTACAACGTGAATAATGCAAAGTCAACTATAATGCAAACATTGAGAATAAAACGTCAATTAATAAAACGCAAATAGTCTGACATAATTAACAATCGCGATATACATACATAATCGCTTTAATCGCTCACCAAATAATATTTTTTTATAAAGGTGGAGTTATCTTTAGGTAAATGAGCATACAATTTACAGCAGATAACTAAAAGTTACGAAACGACGGATAACGATACGTAAGTACACGTGGCCGAATTATAACGCACTTTGTTTACTAATGAGTGTAAAATACCTTATTGTCTCCTAGTAAACCAGTAACTCGCGTGTCGAATATTCGTAAAGAACTGTGTTGCTCGTGTTCACCACAATGTCTTCGCTTCTTCCGTGAAAGACTGTTGATTATCACAAATCCCCTACCTCACGAGTGATTATAAAATATATATATCAGGGAATCTCGGCAGCTCGTGTTGTGATATCTAAAACACATTTTCGAATCTCGATATATCCAGATAATAAGATATTGATTTCCTTTGTGAGTATACTTTTATATAACGAAATCATTTCGTGCTAATTACATGCGATATCTTAGATTTGAATTTAAAATTTTCTTAAAAATAACATATAAAATTATATAATCTATACGTTTTACGCAATCATAAAAATATATATAGATTAATCTTCATAATATGTTTAAATATATTTTTTTATTTACATCTTTTGTTTCAAAATAAATATGTAAATTGCAAAATTGCAAAAATATACTGCACTCGTTTTTTAACATTTTTTTATTGATTCAAGTAAGATGTTATTTATATATGCATATTTTTAACTAGTTGACACATTGCAACATCTTACAGAAATAAGTGTTGCGTAAAATGCTTATCGTTATCGTCAATTCTTTCAAGTACCTACTATATGCATGATGTTGATTTTTAGATATATTCTATCTTTTGTTCAGCACGCGTTACTGAAACTGTAATTTTAGTATATTAAACTGTAACTTTAATACATTGACTTTCAACAAAAATAATGTAATTATTAAGAAAATAAAGTCTGAATTAAATAGAGGAAAGAAATTAATTATTTAAATATAAGCATACATATGTTTCAAGAACATCCACTCCGGATAACTTTCTTGGAACCTCTAATAAAATTCTTTAATATCTATAAATAATTTAATTTTTTTGTAAATACTTAAGATGGAGTTTTATATAACGTTGATTATGATTTCTAATGACTAAAAAGAATTCAGAAGATATAGAATATAAATTGAAAGAATTACTAATTAAAAAAAATTTCTATTATCATTATTTTGCATAAAGAGATGCATATAATTAAAAAAATATCTAACACGCATTCGAACTGGTATGAATAATTAAAACAGAATATCTAACAATTCTATGCGGTAAACTGGTATAGAAAACCAATACGTCTTGTCATTAATCTACTTATGTATACAAATTTATGCTCAATTGGAAAATGCACTGACAATGATAAAAGTTTCCGCAAGGTTAAATTTCATTTAAAAAAAAAGAAAAACTACAAAGCATTAATTAGCTCGAATTAGTACGCGGCTTTGTTATCCTGTATCGATATTGATAACGATATTGATAACATTATATGGTAGCAAATCGTGCATGACGAAGATATCATATCTATCTCTCCGCATTCTCACGTGATACGTTCTGACTTAAACAAAATTAGAATCACTCGTATTACGCAAACGTGATCATAACGCGTGACGAAAACAGTTTGAGGTCTGTCAGTAAATAATTTGCTTCGCGTCATGTCAATTTATGATGCGCGCGATTATTTATTTCTGTCTGACAAACAAAACACGTAACCGGTAATATAGACGAATGGGAGAACGAATGGCGAGCGTAACAGATGAGAAAGGACACGATGCCAAGCCAAGGAGACTGTTGAATAATTTAGCCAGCATTCTGGTTCTCTGGCAGAAAGATAGTTCCGTTCTACATATTTTGGCCGCGATAGCGTTTTAATAAACGGCATATAATTGATACCAATCGTGCGATCCAAATAAGCGTACATGTAGATTTCACCATTCTAAGATTGTCGAGGATACAATAGTAAACTTTTGTGAACCTAAGCGAAAGGTCTATTTTATTCAGAAAGAGATTCTCAAACCCATTATACTCATTATCAATAATGTAATATTAACTTTGTAACTCTGATAGACAATTTAAATCTAAAAAGGTTAAGCCTAAAAATAATTTAATAACCCAATCGAATATGCATTAATTTAAATATCATATTTACATAAACACACATACTATTTAAAATAAAATTAACTGTTGCTCATTCGTGTTACATAAGTTGCCCGGAAATTTATAAAGATTAAAATGGGTACTTAAAGGAAGTTCGAGCAGTTAATAATCGCAAATAAAAATAAAACTCACATTTGGGAATTTACTATCTCATTAAAAAGCATTATTTAATTCCGTAATATTTATCAACCACTCAAGTTTACAAATTAATTCGCACTTCTTATCGTTAATCAAAGCGAAAATCTTAAATTAAATCAACAATCAAGTAATAAAAAGATGATAAAAAGTTTAATAAGATAAGTAGATGATAATAGAGGGAAAATGTTTTAAGATATGCAAGATATTTTTCACAAAATATACTTATTACGTTGGTTTCTTGTCGGTATCTGCATTAATCTGCAACATTTCATAAAAATTTCTGTCACAAACAAATGATAAACGTATTTCTAGATTTCAATCTTAAGACAATTAGCTCATTCATAAGTGTACTGACGTCACTATTAATATTGAGGATACAAGTCGTTTAAATTAAAGTTTAAAAAACACAATTACGATAAGATATCAATCAAAATTAACATTTCGCACAAATAAATTATATAATTTTCGAATATTCCTAAATGTTTTTTTTTTCTGCACTTGGCTTGCTTTTTCAGAAATCTATTAGTAGTTACCGTTTTAGGTCAAATAAACAACAAAGAAATCGTTGCTCTTGCGCGATTAAACGGTCGTAAATAATTTACGCGCGATGAAACATCGATAAATCTTTGACACTATTAATGAACTTGCAATACTAAATAGATAAAAGCATCGACTACCGTTATTGAAAATAACGCTTTTATCGTACTAATTGTAAGATTGTTTTTTTTTTGCTCAAATATTTTTCTGAAAAATTATCTCAGTTTATATTACTTTTACATAGAGATTACTTTATGTGCAACATTAATAAAATAAAAATCTTAATAACATACAAAAGCAATAAATTTAAATTTTTTAAATAATGATTCTCTAATGATATCTGCAAAAGCATAAGCTTTCAATCTTACCTTTTAAAAAAGCTAAGTAAATCCACAATAAATGCTAAAGTTTAAACAGGAATTCCAGCAGAGATCGGGAAGGGGCCCGCGGCCCGCACGACGACGTGGATCGTGGATATTCAGTCGACGCTGGTCACTCGAGAAAATCGGCTCGTGTCTCTCATCGCTCAGAAGAGACCGCCGCGATAATGTGAAAAAGTGATAAATACCCGTATAGATTCTCAGCTCTTCCGTTATACAACGGTATTTAACAGCGCCTTTCATATCATTAAAGTTGTGGCAGTTGTGGCACTATCGTGACAACTCGACTACGTTGTTCCTTCTTCATTCTTTGTGTCGAATATTGTTCTACAAAATTTAAAGAGATTCTAATCAATTATTTTGATAGATCGATACTGATGCAATCGTTTCGGAAAACTCGATTTTACGTTACACCGCTTTCTCTAAAGTTGCGCTACGTTGCACGTGGTACACGTGTACAGAATATTACTTAGTGCACAGTAGTGCACTGCATGTCAGCGTTCACGATCAACATACGGTGTTGTTCAACCTCTCTCGCCGATCATCATTTATAATAAATCTCGTATTAAGGTATTCTAAAATGTTTCTAAAATAAATGATCATATATTTCGGGAGCGTACTCTATTACATCTTTTATATCTATTTTGCGTAATATATTAATGTAATTTTATCGATTAGTAGAACGTTCTGAAGAAGACCAAATAGGTCGAAACGTAAATGTTATATATACATATGTTTATTAAATTTTAATTTTAAACTAACATCTAAAATTTCTTTGCTCGTATTTTGGCCGTTTAACCTTCCTTAGCAAATGATATTATATAAACATATGTTCGCAAATGCTTCAGTACCGAGTTACAATCTTTCAAGTATTCGTAGTTCGATCTTATATTTTAAATACGTTTGGATACGATCAGATTATTACGAGTACCGTTCGTAATTTTGCATTTAAAAAAAATAATCGAAATGGTTTTCTGTAGATATTTTCCTGAACATCTTTTGCCCGAACAAAGCCACTATGCTCTGTTATTCCTATTTATCATTTATACATATACAAAACATTTATTATTTGTATATAAAACATCTGTGCCATTTTAGAATAATGACATGTCGTAATGTTAAAATTAACCATCGATGTTCAAATAAATTAGAATTATATTTACTGCTTAAGATCTCAGTTCGAACCTTTATTTTCGGTACTGAAGCACTTTCGAACGATACACAATATATTCTTTAATCTGTGAAATAAGTAGATAAACTTTTACAGCTTCTTATTTTATAAGCATCCTAGACAAAAAAATATTGTCATATATACAACGTAATATATACAATATATACAATAATATCTCATAATTATTATATTAATATATTAGTTAATGCAGATAAATTATGTCTGTTATATACTTTTTCTTCCCTTAAAAATGGAAGGTTTGTGATTTCGCAGATAATTCATATTAATACTTTTTTATATCTCATAAAAAAATATATCGTAAAAGTCAAAGAAAAAAATTCCATTTCGTCCAATTTCGTCATCTCTTTCCGTAAATTAGTCAGGCACGACGCCAACTATTAAATCGAATTCATTATTGTCCCAACGTTCTTACAATTAGACTTTTACGAGCCGTTGCAATTCTTGGCAAGTCCCAATGTGTTTTGCAATAGATCGTAATATAGTCAATGAACTTAGATTCTCGTATTTTATAAATGCAACACGCAAAAAGTGAAAATAAAACTTTGTATTTTTAGTATAACTACCCTGTTCACAAACGTAATTATTAAAAGAATAAAAGCAAAAGAGTGCCATTATGTAAAATAAATTTTATGCCATAAAGTAAATCGAATTATAACATGAAAGATATATATATATATATATATATGGAAAATACGCTTTAAAACATTTTGTGTTTCTCCAGATGCCATGCAGATTGGGAAACACAACGTAATAATTCAATCGTGAAAAAAATCGAAACAATGCAATAGTGCGAGTGGCTGAAACGAGAACGTGCTATCGACATGTTAAATACAAAAAAGAGATAAGAACGACAAAGAAGAAATTGCCTAACTGAAAAGCCTAACCGAATCGTAACGTGTGGAATCAATAACAATACAAGATGTCAATCATTTGGCTTGTAAATTGCTGCATTACCGTGTTACTGATAATCGCAAACGAGAGCTTCGCAAATCCCACTTTACGAAAGGATGAAGAATTCACTGTTCGAATCGTTCACACGAATGACATGCACGCGAGGTGATCTTATTTTTCATTTTTGAAATAAAAAGATATTAAAAATATTTCTTATTTTCATTGTAAAACAGAACAATTGTACAAATTTGATTGGGTTTTTTTCTACAAAACAAGGAAGTTAATTGTTCTTTTTAAATATATATAATTGCATTATTTAAATTATGTTTGCTCTTTGTACAGTTCGTATATTACAGTTTAATTCAATATATTCACGCTAACGATAATTATCGCCATCGAGCTAATCAAAAATGTTAAGACAGTTAATTACCTTCCACACCCATGTGTCAATTAGACATTGCATTGCACGCGTGGTGCTATTTGTCGAGACAATTTCCTTGTTTCTCTGACGTTATAATTTATGTGATTAAGTCATCTAGTTCTGGGATATCACCTTGAGAGTTTCGTTATGTAATATAATTTTTAGATTCGAAGAGACGTCGCAATTATCGACAACGTGTACGCCAGCGGACTCCAAAGCTGGGAAATGTTACGGAGGTTTTGCCAGAATCGCCACTTTAGTCCGTCAAGCGAAATCGGAGTCGCCTTCGACGATCTTCCTAAATGCTGGCGATACTTATCAAGGAACTGCATGGTACAACGTGTACAAGTGGAAGGCGGTTACTTGGTTCATGAACCTTTTGGCGCCAGACGCTATAGTAAATATTATCTTCTATCATATTTCTAAGCAAGACCCCGAAACTAGAAAAATATTTAAATAACTAAAAATTTTTTGCTAATTATAAGTTATTAAATTTTAAATAGAGTTTCTGCATTAAATATTTGCTTTAAATATTGCAATTTATTTTATGAAATAATAATAAATAAATATAAATAATTTGTCAAATCACAGCAATATATTTAAATAAAATAAGAGCTAGAGCTCCGTTCGTCATTGCATTAAATGAATTCTGACAGAGTTTGGGCAACCACGAGTTCGATGACGGTGTCGAAGGTTTGATACCTTTTATACAAAATGCCTCATATCCCATCTTGACGACAAATCTGGATCTTAGCGAGCAGCCGGACCTGGCCGCCACGAATCTAAAGAATAGCACAATTCTCGAAGTGAGCGGCAAAAAGATCGGCGTAATCGGTTATCTGACGCCGGAAACGAAAATCTTGTCGACTACCGAAAAAGTAATTTTCAAAGATGAGGTGGAGTCTATCAGGGAAGAAGTTAAGAAGTTAAAGGAGAAGGGTGTCGACATTCTCATCGCTCTGGGTCACTCGGGCTTCGAGGTCGATAAGAAGATAGCACGGGAGGTCGAGGACATCGATCTGGTGATCGGGGGTCATACGAATACCTTTCTATATCGCGGTCTACCGCCGGACGTTGAGGTACCAGAGGGATTTTATCCTACGGAAGTAGTGCAGAAGAGCGGCAGAAAAGTTTATGTCGTACAGGCATACGCATATACTAAATACCTGGGTAATTTCTCCGTGAGTTTCGATATTAAAGGAGAGGTAACGCATATAGAAGGAAACCCGATTCTTGTGGACACCAACGTGGAGGAGGTAAATTTGCGAAAAAGCGCCAAAGAGTTACTTGCGAATGACAAAAATATATAATCCACGTTATACATATCACTTAGAAGAGAACAAAAACTGCATGACATTTATGTACATACATACGTATGTACAATTATATATATATAGAAATAGCCGAAAACACTTAATACATATTTTCCCAAAAATATGAAAGCTCAATATATTTATTTATTAAGTATGATATTCATTATCGTTTCTTACCGCAGGCGGAAGATGTTCTAAAAATGATAAACGAGAAAAGAGGACCCATCGACCAATTACAACAACAAGTTATCGGAAAAACGCGAGTGCTCCTGGACGGAGACAGCAAAAACTGTAGACGACGAGAATGCAACATGGGCAACTTGATCTGCGATGCTTTACTCGATTATGTAAGACATCTTCAATCGATGTAATAAACACTTTCTCGTTATCGAAATATGTTGCGAAATAATCTTGAGAAAGATGATTGATGTGCTTTCCTTTTGCTCGTAGTACGCCGGGGAATATCTAAACAAGGATGGATGGACGGACGCTGCCATCGCGGTGCAGAATAGCGGCAGCATCAGGTCGTCCATCACCAGAGCCAGAGACGACCAGGTTTAATTAATATGCGCTCTACAATTTTAATTCTTGTTAATTTGCACTGGCAAACCTTATATAATATTAGTAAAATTGTTTACAGGTCACTCGAGGAGACATTCTAAGTGTTTTGCCCTTCGGAAACGTCATCGTCAAAGCTTCCATGACAGGCCAACAGCTTCTCTCGATGCTGGAGTGGAGCGTTCATAATATCGACAACTTAACTTCTACCGGGAATTTATTCGGCGCTTATCTACAATATTCGGGATTGCAGGCAATTTGTTTAAACCTAAATCTATCTAGCCCAAAAGAAAATTAAGTCCAGTCTTTTAAACATTGATTGATGGTTTTCACGATGGTTTGCGCATTATTTCCTTAGAGAAAAATTTGCATAATTTACAGGTGGTCTATGACGTGAGTCAACCACCGAACTCAAGGGTAGTTTCGGTTCAAGTTCAATGCGCAGCTTGCCGAGTACCGGCATACAGTCAACTCCAGAAGAATGTTACCTACAATGTCCTCGTGAATAATTTCCTCGCAAAAGGCGGAGATGGTTTTCACATGCTGGAAGGTCTTAAAACAACTCCCCTCAGTATGTTTACATTATTATTACAGCATCCATTACACACGGTATCTTTAAGCTTTCACTTTCTTTCATCATTCATTGAATATTTTTTCAATATAATCGTTAAATTTTAACAGGTGTCACTACATCAGAGGTATTAGAACAGTATTTTAAAAAACATAGTCCGGTGCACCCAGGCGTAGAATGGCGAATCTTGTACAAAGATAGCGGAAACAATGAAAATTTTAGTAATCTTGGGACAACGCATCAATCCGTTGGAATGACAATTCTGCTATCAATCATTACTTGGTTGTCATTGACATAATGAGAACACTATCTACTTAAAGACTTAAAATACTTAAATGATTCTAAATAATAAGCGAATTATGCATATTGAATTCTTTGACAGCTGTATATTTTACCATTTTACACTACCTCAATATTATCTACAATTTACACAGTTTTTATATCCTTCTTCATTAGTGCGCGTGTAACAGTGAGTGAAAACGTATAAAAAAAAGATATATAGGACAACAGGAAAAATGGCTGATACGAATTTAACACACAGTATTGTTCACCATAATTTTAATCTTTTAAAAATATTAAACATATCAAAAAGTTACACTTAATAAATATAACATTATGTATGTAAACCTTTTTAATATATCTTTTTAAAAAAATATTTTTTGTGAAAAAAATTCTTATGTACGTCATATGTAAAAAGTATTGATTTTTTCTCTCAAGAAGTTTTTGTAATATGGGCTTCTTAATGCTATTAATCGTACACGAATAAGGATGGTAATAATAACGTTGTTTCATCAGTCAAAAAATATAGCCCCTTTACTTCCTATGTGTCCGTACTTGTGGTATTTCGTATATATTCCCGTACAAGTCATATACCCGTTTTAAAGTCTCGATAACGTTACTCATTTCATGGCAAGGCATCGGCGCGCAATTGTGCAGTACTCGTACCATTTTCAGTAAGTCTTCAATTATGTAAGACTTATCATGCACCTTGCCCTTTGTTGCTAAATCAACATATATATTAAATTTCCTTAATGCCTTTTTTATTTTAACCTTATCCTCTGGTTTCTTCACTAAAGTCTGTACCCAAAACAAAACAAATCAAATATTATATTATCATTAAAACGTACACGTTGATCGTTATTAATTGAATTTATTTTTTACTATACATTGCACGACTGTAATTCGTGATATAAAGGCCAATCTTCCTGGCAAGGTATGCAATCACAGGTGAAATAATACTGTTTTAGTAGCTTCTGTTGTCTCGTTGCTCTTGGCGTAATAGCATAGTGTTTGCCATAATTGTCTAATAACTGTAATAAGATAATATATATTGTGAATAATAACTTGATTTTTATATACAATATAGTTTACATACAATAAAAATTAATAGTTTAATACCTGCTCGCCCTTTCGAATAGGATACATGACATATATCACTATGTGCTTAGGTCTCGAGTGCCTTAATATATTTGGATCGCAGCTATGATTAAATAAGCTAAAAAATGGCATAGCGGCTATGCCGCGTTCTACACAGTCTAAACCTTGCGTTTCACCAAACTGCAAATATAAAATTTAATTGACAAATTGATAAAATAAAATTGTAAAAGAAACGAATAATAAAAGATCATTGACACATCTGAAAAATATGTGAAAATAAATAAATTGCAAATATAAAAAAATATCGATAAAATATACTAGCATACACAGCCGATATCATACAGTGTGCATATTGCTGGGGATTATTTGCTGATGTCTTAAAATAAGGCCGCCAAAAAATGTAACGTCGTTGTTTTTCGCCAATGCGCTTAAATCCTCTGGTAATTTAGCACCAAATATCACAGTGCGCGTCGCTAAAAAGTATAAAATAAAGCAAGTATCCAAAGACCTCTTGAAGAGATCAGAGACGGATCTTTTTTCAGTATTCGTTACAAGACTATACACGCTAATGTATCTGTCGCTATGTAATTTCCCATCTCGAGAAAAACCTTTCGTCCGTGGATCTGAAAAACAATGGTATATTGTATATTGTGACGTACTCTATTATTTAAAACAAAAAAAAACTATAAATATTAAATACCATCATGTTCGTCAACTTCTTTTAGCATTGTCCTCAATTCCGTAATACCACCCGCTTCTCTTAGAGCGAGCACGGCAAGCCTTATACTAAATAAATCAAGATTATAGAAGGCATATTCGATCAAAGGAGGGAAGACAGCGCATTCTATATCATGACATTTCTTCCATTCGATAATTCTGCATTCTTCCGAACAATACATCGCGTAAGTGCAATAGTTACATGGTACGTTCGCCCAACATACTCTTAAACAATTTGAGCAATGCGTCTGCATATTTTCTTGCATTAATATTAACGAGTAAGGTTTTTCTACAGCAATCACTTCCCCTGGATCAATATCACGAGTAGCAACAATGTGTCTGCCGTAGCGATTATTATATTTTATGGCTACTGCATCTGACGCACAAGGAACTTCATTATTGTGAGACTGAGTAGCAGGGAGAGGAGGAGGTTCCGATATCTTTGCATCTGTATTCATAGTACGTAGCTCCGTCTGTACAGTCTTATCGCGTAAATTGTCAAGCTTTGCTTTTAATTTTTCTCGACTTGTATCATTAGAAGACATCTTATCTAGCCAATACTGCGCCTCTTTAAGTATATCTTCTACAGAATAATTTCTCAAAATTATTAAGCATTCTGTCTTACGCAAATAAAGCTTAGCTTTTAAATTATCAGGATAACTTAGGGCTAGGGCTCTGTCGATGTCCTGAATGCATTCCAAATACAAGCCTACGTGAAACAACACTGCTGATCTATTGGCATAACCAAGAGCAAGTTGCTCAGACGGATAAGGCGCAAAGGCTATACTCTTTGTATATAATTTCAGCGCATCGATGCACGTCGTATTATTGAAGATACCTTTGACAAAAACTTGATTGCCTTGTTCCCGCAATTTTTCCGATTCTTTGGCATTTTTTGGCATACCAGTTGTAGTAGGAACTATATCATATTCTTGCATTACATTCAGAGTAAATACTACACGTTCCTGATCAGTCTTTAGTTTCTTATATCGATCTGTCAGCTCATGATGCTTGCCTGCTACAATCAATCTGGTATTTAATGTATCCTGTATCTTATCCATTTCGTTTTCTTGGAAATATTTCACTGACACTATATTATTCTAATATTTTTATGTATGCCTGCACGTAGGACAGAATCTAGAAAAAGAAACCATCCATTTTCTGACAATCTGATAATCAACATTGTAAAACAGTATATTAAGTATATATTCAATTTTATTATTACTGTTTCCAAAATATTTGGATCAAAGATAATTTGATATCGAATGCGATATTTGCATCATAGACATTTACATTTTTTATTAAACGTACTTCTATAAGGTATCCAATATTAACTATTATATTACATGTGTGTGTGTGTGTGTATTATAGTATATACACACACTATCTCGAAATTTGCAACATTTTCTTTGTTTTATTACAGTTCATCGGTATATTCATAAACAAAAGTATAGTCTATGATCAACAGAATAGCTAGACGCTAAACCAACGATAAATGATTCAACTTGTTGAATGTGAAATGTGACTCCGAAAACAATTTCGTTCCTACAACGATCTTTATTTTACGATCGTAGTCTGATCCACGAGTTTATCCACGTTTATCGAGAAGACAATAGGGAAACTTACCCGGCTGAATTGCCGATAGAACAAAAAAACCACTTCTTTCTCTGTATGCTCCGTATACCGAACTGCTGCCATGTAGATCTGGATTCGGCTAGGATCCTAGGATATTCAGGCCTTCTGGGATATTCTTGGAGTTCTTGGACACATTCTTGGACGCCAGCCAAAATTTAATAACAAACGAAGAGAAGCCTGAGAGAGGCCATCCTTGATCCCGGCATTCCCGGCCTTTTTCACGAGACTGTCGAAACTGTCTAACCAAAGAGAAGAATGAGAGGCGCAATGACGGCGATTTTCTTGGGACGCTTTTGCTAGGCCGTACAGTAGCGCCACACATCCACTTTCAGGAATTGGAACTACGAGTCACATCCACTTTTCGATACTGTCGATGAATTTGGTTCATGTCCGTGCTATGTATACATGCCGGGAGCCACCACCAAATCCGGCCGAATCACGTTCGGCCGCTCTCGCCGCCCGCCGCGCGTCGGCGCGGCACGTGGCACGTGGTGTGCCACGTGCGTGACATTCATTTACGCGGCATATATCTCGCCATGAAAAAGACCGGGATGGCATCTCTCAAGCTTTTTTTGGTAACAAACAATAACATAGTAATTATTTTAAGTAACTAACGATAGTAACGATAATTTGGTGACATTTAAATGCCTATATATATATAACGCGGAAAATTTGATTTAATTAAAAGGTAATGTATAATTAACATAACAGATGTATATAATATAATATAAATTGTATTAATTTGTTATGAAATAATTGCGAAGTGTTGTAATAGCAAAATAATAGCAAGATAAAATTTCTATTAGATTAAACAGTGATTTTTTTGTTTCATTGCATGGCATCAATAAGTAAAGATTCCTCAAGTTTCAGAAATCCTAATATTTTTAATATCTCTACTAACACACAAAAAGGAACGTATTCTCCGCGTATCTGCACATAAATTTCTTTGCGCAGTCTCGGTACCGTCGGTACCGATCGCAATAATCAGAAGCGTTATGTATACACTTACGTCGTCAAGACGACGTATCGACTCCCTCGCTGCAGTACATACGTGTATACTTGTTCGATACATGTATCGCTGACAATAATCGTCGAACAAAAGATTGCGTCTGCAAATATGACTTTACATTCGACACCCATCCTATATTTGAATATGGGCGGCGAAATGTTGTATGTTTTGCGACAGAGGCTGAAGGCGCAAAAAATCGACGTCGACAAGACAATACAAGGTGAGAGTATGTACACTCGAAATTTCGAGTACCTCGAAAATATTTTATAAATATTTTGCTAATATTTTTCTACAAATATAATATGATTTATAATTCCACTGATGATCTTTTATAACGATTTTATAGCAATCTTTTACACAATTATAGTATTATATTCTGACAATTTTTAAATATCTCAAACACAAGTTCTATCATTCAATCCGATTGTCAATTATTATATTACGATAAAATATTGTATATCATTATTTGCTGGAAAGACCTCATATATATATATAATATTAAGATAAAAATTGATAAAAATTGATTAATTTTGTTATACTCTCAAAGTAAGATGTATAGCAGCACTAAAAAATAAAAGAATTTTTTTTTAGATATTTAAAAGCGCGTTAATAATGTTACGCACATGTGGCAAGACTAGTTAATACAATAGTTTAATTACAGTATTGGACGACGTAACAACAGCTTTGCTCAATCCTAAGATACTGTCGCCGATTTTCGAAGAATCGCCGATGATCGGGGTATCACAATTACGCGCTACTTTAGAGAGCGTCGCTCTTTCATCCATCATGAAGCTGGACAAGAGCAGTATGGACAAACTGTTCGATCTGATGATCATGATGGTGAAATATCAATTGAAGGCAGCTACTGGGCCACGAGAAGTTATTCTTATCATTCTGAATCACATAGACGCAATGCGCGACATGGTCAGCGATGTAAGTGCGCAAAAGTGTGTCAGCATGGTGCATCAGATGATCGTTAACGTGAGTACAACTCATTGTCAGTATAATCAATTTAGCAATATTTAATTCAACCAAGGATTTTTGTCCACTTTCCAAAACGCAGTTTTATGGCTGCCTGACCTTTGACGAGGTCTGGAATGCACGGCAGAGTTGTCTGAAGGAATTAGAGCCGTACAATGTGCGAGTCTCGATTCTTCTGCGACGCGGTCTGCAAAACGATGACGCCAGCTTCAATGTAACACCTCAGAAATACGATGAGAAATACGGAGAGCATAGAAATACTCTAGCCACCATGAGGATTAAAGACGTGAGCCCTGAAACGTGCTGTGGAGGATCCCTCGATACCTTTGGTGACAGAAAAACATTATTGGGCAAAAATATGTAAGACAAAAAATACGCAATGCCGAGATCACAGTATAAATACACAGTAATAATTACTTATTTTGTTATATAGATATTTGCCAACATATGGCATAACGGAAAGTGCAAGGAGAGACAGCCAACAGTTATTAAGAGATTGCGGTGCAAAAGCAGAATTAGGTATGCTGGCTGTTCAACTGGGGACTGAGGAAACCAATTACGAGAGACCGTTCACGCTTAATTTACTATCAAACATGGACGAGGAGAATGTGAATAATGCGAATAGGGAAATTGATACTGAGGGAAATAACGCTAAACGAAGCAACGCGGGAAACGAAAAGCCGAAATTGAACGAGGACTATAAAGCCAAACTTGATACTGTATATGCGGATTTTTTCGAGGACGAGCACGAAGGTTTGAAACGCAGCATGGATTTGCTCGATCTTCTCGACGAGATCGAATAATTTAGGATTTTAACCGATAAAACATAACGCGATGCAATTATTTTTCTTATATTTCCTTGCCTATTTATACACCAATATTTCTATTATTTCTATTAGAAATAAATACGTTCCCATGTGAAAAACATTATTCTCCTATTTTACAAAACATATTTCAGTTTGCTTCGATCTTATCCAAAGCATAAGAAAAACAGTACGTATATATTGCAAAATCCTAAGATGGTAACTTTACAGGCTATTACACAAATGCACTGACTGTAATTACGGAAAAGTAGAAAATAGATTCTCTGCACGCAAAAATATATAAAAACTTTTTTAAGATTTCGTTAAATCTAAAATATACTTGACGCCCGTCCGGCCGTTGAAACTGAGCGCCTTAGCAATAGCTTCTTGATATTCGCCGAAAGGCACCAGTTTATATGGCGGCGGTTGCAATTTCTTATCCCTAAAGAAACCTGCTAAATTTTTAAACATATCCACTCTCTCCTGAGATTCCATATTTGTTTTCGTCCAAGCTGTCATCCAAAATCCTTTTAACGATATATCCTGGGAATATATTGCACAAATTAGATTTGACAAATATTTTTTGCAATTTTCAATAATAAATATAATTCGGAATTACCTTAAAGATAAGTGCGGATATTGGTACAGTTAGTGGTTCTCTGGACATCCCGCCGTAAGTCACCATTGTACCACCATGAGCAAGATGTCTCATTACTTCGTGCGCATTCTGCCCTCCGATGCAGTTAAGAGCTAACTTCGGTGCAAGTAATTTCTTATTTTTGAACAATTGTGTATTTCGGACCTCCTCTTCGGTTAATACTTGATCCGCTCCTAAGGTTGCCAATTGATTCTAAATAATTCATAATATTACATGTACATATTATAATATTTATAATATAATAAAAATAATAAAACAATTAATATTATTAAAATTTGATACAGGCAAATTTTAATGTTTTTAAATTATAGAGACTTTACATAGATAGCTATCAATTAATATTATACCTTTAATTCCTGTATGTTTGGCCTATCTCTAATAACACTGACAGACTTATAACTCCATATTTTGCATAACTGAATGACCAGCTGACCAACCGCGGAATTGCCACCATTTTGTATCACAGTGTCTCCAGGCTTTAATGAAACAAAATCCTTCAACATTCTATAAGCTGTACATGGATTCACGTTCATCATACTGGCTATGACTAGATCAACATCGTTTGGTATCTATAAAACGAGACCAAGGGATAACAAGCGCAACAAATGCATTATTCCAAGATGATGTAATAATAATAATATACATAGATGTACTTTCATAACATCCTTGAAATTGTAATTGGCTTGCGTTCTCCATATTCCAAAATTAGGACCATTTGGCACCACCCTGTCTCCAACATGCAAATCTTGAACATTAGAGCCAACCGCAACTATTTCTCCAACTCCTTCATTTCCCGGTACCGCTGGTAGAGGAGGCCTGCTAGGATATTTTCCTTGTATCGTATTTATATCGGCTGGATTCACCGGGGATAGTAACCATTTTACAGATACCTGCATCATAAAGATTGATTTAACTATTAAGTATACTATTGTAGAATACTAAAAATTGATGGGTGAAAGCAGATGAACTTTATAATTGCAATAACAATTACTTGATCGCCCGCTGGTTGTTCTATCGTTTGCGTCGTTACTTGAAGAACCTCAACAGGTTCGCCGTATTCTTTGTAGAATAGAGATTTTACGCAGTCGGTATTAATTGCAGCACTCATTTGCCGAATATTTGTCAAATTACTTTTAACTGATTGTGAGATTGACAAAGATAATTTGCTTGCAAACATAGTAAACCTATATCGAGCCACGATGACGTTCGTTGACATTCGATGAGACAATTTTGGAGAAAAATTTGCCGTATAGGTTATGGTTATATCTCGAATTGAAGCGATTGGCGATTGTCCCCTCGATACTCGATAGCAGAAAGATAAAAATATATCTTATTTCATGAGTTTTGGTACGCACATTTTATATAATAACATATTATTCTAAATTATAAAACAAGGCAAAAAATACATGATTGATCCTTTTATTGGGAATAAATTTTTATTTATTTAGATATTCATATTCATAATTATTACTAAATAATATTCATGATAATATGAAATGCGATATAAAAGTGATGCCGTAATAGTATTTTATTATACGAAGTATATTACGATATATCATTATATAGTTATGATCTGTTAATATATTTACAGTTTAAGTCTGTCTAGTAGTCATTTTTTTTAAATATTTCTGTCCCAAGAATTTCTTATACAATACTTTTGTTATCACAGTAATAAATTTTAGTACTTACAATATTAAACTTTCTTTTGGACGTGACAAAAAATTTTCTGTTATCTTAAACCAATCTTAAAGGAATGCTTATTGCTTTGCGATACTATACTATCATTATATTTTGTAAAATAATTACCATGTTAATAATTAACAAGAGATAAAATAAATTATAGTTTTATCCGAGCTTTATGCATGTAATATAATTTGTTTTTTAAATTATTAATAGTAGTATTATAAGAAATCATAGTTTAAATATAATCATATAATATTTAAGTTTATCTTCTCTGAATTTATCTTCTCTTCTTACCAATGGAGAATGTATTAAACATTTCCATATCTATTTATACACTTTGTTATAAGGTGGTCGACGTAACAGCACTAACACCATGTACTAAAACTGTCGGTGGTAAGTCGACAGTTAATTCTGTCAAAGATTGTAGATACTGTCGATACATATCATCCTCATCCCAAGTGTTCGAGGCTGGCGGTCCGGGCAAATATATAAATGTTGTCGCAGTTTGAGAAGAATATTGCCTTATCAGTTGATTAACGCTGAGAAGTAAAATTAATTAATTAAAAAAACATCTTTTTGTTTGTAAAAAGTTGTAGTCAAAGAATCAGTTAAATGCTTACCCCAATATATAAGCCCGGGACACGTTACTCAAAACATTATTGGACTCTGTACTTGATTCATATTGATTTTTTGGCTCAAGCAGAGGCCTACCCTTTAACCCTCGGATTTGCTCTCCCCATTCCGGAATTTTTTTAATCGATGCAGAGATTCTTAGTAGATTTAATGATTTCCGAATTCTGTGCTCGTTCGAGATTCTCGGGTATTCACTCATCGAATTAGGAGAATCTGAGATACTTAGGCTTTCACTGCCATCCGCAGTTTCGCAATGGAACACTCTGAGATGTAGGTTTTTCCAACTGGGTACCATGTTGATAATACACGCGAGTTGAAGCATGAATAACGACGTTGTATCGAATGGATCTTGATCGGTTGGTTGGAAAAAGTTGACCGGCCATACATCGATATATTTCAAATTTGAGTTTCTAAAAGTTTCAAATACACATTACCGTGTAATAATAGAAATGTTATTTCAAATATTTTCGCGATGATGAATTTCTACTTACTTCGTTAATTGCGCTTTATTTAACAGATGAAAGTTTCTGCATAGACACAAGTTCTTCTTCATCCTCAGAACATCCGAGCACATTCCGACATATTGAACCGGATCTAGATTCTTTTCGCCTGTTGCTTGTCTTAGAGGGAACACAGTGTTATTCGGAAGTGTTGTACTATTTTCAAACATCGTCGTCGCGTATTGAGAATCCAAGAAAAAGTCCCTTGGCGTTTCTTCATCATAAAAACCAAGAACGATCGTATTCGGTTTCATCGCACCCATGCCAGACAGTCTTATTAAATGTTGCATGCCTTCGCGCACCGTTTTCGTCACGGTCAATTCGATGAAGGCTTTAACTCTCATATGGTCAACTAAACTCAACCAGTGCGGATATTCCTCTATCGTAGGATCGCTACTCTGACCAGTAAATTCACCAACCTTCACGTGTCCGATAACATACAGTCCTCCTTTCTTCAAGTCATTCACGAAATCGATAAGAGGACAGGCGGAGCGCGGAGACGCGACCATCAGTAACATTTGTGGACGCCAAAATTTAACGTGATCCTTGCGCGAATCCAACATCAACAAGTATTTTCTGACTTGATGGAATATCAGTGCTTGAGATATACTGCCCCACGGTGCGTTTTTACTCGGCGAGAATAAATGTAGCACAATGATCAATATTAAGCATAAAATTATGCTACTGGAAGCATAAATGCTGTTGATTATAAACATCATTATCAATGTTCCAAGAAGACCTATAGTCGCGGTGTGCCACGTGAAGTACGTGAATGTTGGCCTGAAAAGAGGAAAGATTTAGATACTTGTGTGAAGGACAAGTTATATATTAATCGTAACTATAACGTAATTTAGTGCATGTACTGAAAACAGTATACCTAAAGTTTGGTGCACTAGCAAGTTCCAATCCAAGACACGCGAGATTGGTAGCGAGATAACTTAGAAGAAACAATACCGAATTAATTTGAGCAATGGTATTCAACGAGCCGATAAGCAAGATTGTCTGAACCAAAATCCACGAAGTTAATACCGCTGCTATTGGATTGCCGCGCCATGTGCCTTGTATGATGAAATTTAATCCCGAACCTAGACAAGGAATAAAGCAAAGATATTTAATTACACAATTAAATTGAATTAAATTCTTATTGTCATTGTAATTACTTACCAAATACGTTGTCTTTGGCCAACGCTTCTAATACTCTGCTAGAACCTATCAAATTGCTTAAACCAGCGCTAAATGTAGCAGTGAGAATGCCAACGGCGACAAATGGCGGCCAAATATTAATCGGCATCATGTACATAAAGTTGTTTTGCAGTAAAAAACGGCTAGTAGTGGCAGCCGTTAAGACAGACAACAAAATGTAGCATATGAACGTAAATGATACCGCTGATAATGTCCCACGAGGAATATTTCGGCCGGGATTTTTCAGCTCGCCTATTATACGTGTCATATGGTCAGTATGTACAATGTACATTATATCAAATATAAATAAATAGTTTTATTTACCGCTCATATTTGCACCGGCCATTATCCCAGTTACACCACTGAACAGTACACCAAAGACGCTCGCAAAATCCGTCATAGTTCCTCCGCTTGAGTAATCGGCACTGTAATTCGAATAGAGATTGCTGGAAAGCGTAGAAGACAAAAGACCCGTGTAACTTCCATTTACGTGCTCTGTTATATTTTGTACCAATGTATTTGCATCTGGTATTGGTATCTAAAGGTATGATAAATAATTATTTATCAAAAGTCAGTCAGCCAAGTTAATATTGAATATACAGTAATATTTTCTTACATTCAAATCAGAAAATTATTTACCTCTATTGCACCCTGAGTCAAAAAACTAATAAAAACGCTACATAGACAGATACAGACAACCGCCAAGATCGCAACACTGGTTTTCGCGAACATTGCGGCTCCGATAAGACAAACCACAAGATTGGCAGTATTTAGTATGGAACAATATAAAAATCGCCACCATCGGCCATCTGGTATAAGTCCAGTTTTACCGCTCAAATAACCGGAAGGGCCAAAATTTTCAACCAAACCCTCAGCACATCCAGAGATACAAAGCGCACTGGATACTACATTGGCCATAAAAAACAGAGTGCCAATAGAGCCACCAAATTCAGGTCCTAATGTACGACTGATCATAACTGCATATAGGATTAATAGGAAAATATTTTTCATATCTTTTAAACTTAATGTTCTGCGTGTTAAACGTAGCAATATTTTATAATAAACCGAGAACGTAGTTTTAACAATCAAAGCAGCCTATTATAATCATTATCAAATATAAGCGCGATGAAGTAAGCCACGCTGCTGATAAGCTATCTTGAAATGGATGAGTTGGCATAGTTGATCTATCTCTGTCAGATAAATAAAGATAAAGATAGAGAATAAATAGAATTAGCGTATAGCTCAAAACAGGAACAAAAGGATACAGTAAGCGCCACCACCCTCTACAGCGCCGTTGGTCGATATAGCGCAGACAGACGCGACTGTGAATAATAAAATACCATATGCTATAATGAACTGAACTAAAGTCACAAATAACCCTGCATTGCCCACAATGTATCCTGTAAAAACGAATATAGTTGATATAATTAACAGATACTCGTACTCTAGATAAATATAAAACTTTTATGACGTATGACTTACCCATTCGTATAAAAACTAAGGCACTGAACATAGACAGTGTAACTGGGCTAAATACACCGGCAAAAGTTCCCAATGTACGGGTGTTGTCCACACCAAGAGTACCAAACTCGACATAGCCATCTCCCTCCGAGTGTGCCGTCCTTCCAATCTTAAAAATATTACTTAGTCGTTGAAGCACACTCCTGCCGTTGATCAAAGGAGCTTTCTCACTTGTGATCCTGATGTGGACAGGTTCTGTGTTTGTGGAACCAACTTCCGATGCAATCATCTTAAACGTGCTGGATAAAAAATTTCAACGTTACATAGAACATAGATATAATAAATTTAATACGTAAAAAGATCGTTCTTCGGATATATGAAAAATTTATATGTTGCAAAGTTGCAATGCTTATCAACAACACGTAGTAACTGTATATATAAAGAGGCGTTGCATTCGGACTAAATGGAGTTAAATTGACGATCGATTGGATATAAAATACACTTACGCAAAAAGTTGGAGTAAGTTTTCGGAATGATATCATTCACCAACATACACACTCTCTCTCTCTCTCTCTCTCTTCACTTGTGCGTATAAGAAAATATAAAAGAATATATATCCGACTTGGTCATACGACTATGATGTCATGCGTTCGACGCTGTTCAATGTCGAACGTCAACACTGCAACGTCAAACGTCAAACTCGCCCCTCGATTTAAGGTTAATAAACTAAACTTGCATTACACTTGGCGTCACGACGCCGCGACGTCATATATGCATGCGTGTCTGAAGTTGGGAATTTTCGGGTTACAATGCACACGAGGCATATGAATGATATGAGTCATTCGACACAAAAAGCGACCAACTTTAGATATGAAGCATCTATAACATATGTACTACTTGTATGACTGTTATGTATAGGGAAACTGCAGATGAAGATGAAAATAAAAAGGAATTTCGTCGATAAGTATACGCATCATTCGTTCGTAATTCCGTTTTCTACATTCTCAACTGTACGTGTGTACATACATACCACGCCGCGGATGTGATGTGGATGTTAAATATCGTCAGTCGATAACTCGTAATTAAGTTTCGCGAGATTATTGGCCGCGTTCAGCAGACACAACTGTTGAGTTCGTCTTATCAACGCTCTGCGTTGATTGGTTGGTTCTAAAAGTAAGAGCCAATCACGTTTGACTGCTACTCAGCGGCTTGGTCTGCTGAACGCGCCCATTGTCGCGGGAGGCGGGAGTACGCGTCTACGTGTCTACTCGTCAGTATCGTATGATAAGGAATGAATTAATGAACATACGCATCGTGTCGTAATTTCTTTTGGGATTGGTACACGCAGATATCTCATTTCATGGCTTTGTTGAAAGGAAGAAAGATGAAATGAAAATTGTTCTCTTTAATTTTTAGCTGCAACAATCAAGTTGTACAATGTATGTCTTTCGCGCAAATAAAAATTGAAAATAAAGTAGATGATATCAATTAGCATTTTGAAAATAAAAGGCGGAAGGACGCGAAGAGAAATGGTCGAAATGGAAAACGAAGATAGACCGATAAAGTCACTACTCTATATCAACAAACGCGAGCCTCAAGCCTCGAGCGTTAATAATAATTGGTGTCGATTCAGTCGATTGTCGCATTCAAGATTCGGGGGTGGCAGATGGCTGAGATGGCAAATGATGCGATTCGAGTTTTGCAGATGTCCATTGTCCACGGGACCAGCGACCAGCGACCGGGCGACCACCCACCGCGTATTGTGTTGTATTGTGTTACCCGGCACCGCACCGATTTGAGACGCGCGCGACGACGATGATCCCTATACGTGACTGCGTGCCGCACACAACGATCGATGAAGAAATCAAAATCGGGAAAGCCAGAGCCAGCGGACAATGTAAAGAGTGTAAAGGAACGGGGCTCCTTTATCCTCGACATCCTCCGATCATTTCGGCGAAAATAAAGTCGATAAAGTGACGAACCGGGCGAAGGTAAGGGCGAAGGGCACATTGTGCCTTGTGCTATATTTATATTATTATGGAACCGCGGCTCGCTTCGCTCTGCCGAAATGCAAGAATCGCGAGTTGCGAGGTCTCTTTTATATATACTGTATAATATATACAAGCGAGTTCTCGTCTCTTATAAAAGACGGGCCCACTGGAAAGCAAGACCAAACGAGACTGATAGGCGTCGTATATGATAACGTTATATTATGTATGTGTATAATAAACACTATAATAACACGTACGACTCTTCTGACCTCTGATTCGCGTTTCAATTTTAGCCGATTGCTGGACGATTTCTGCACGATCATCCTCATTTTTTATGCGTATGTATTCATTCGCTGATCGCCCTTACAATTGGCCACATCGAACTAGGTTCGGGCCATCTATCAAGAAAAGAAGCCGAAAAAGGTCATGGCCGCTGCACATTTCTCTTCCGATTACGAACCAATGAATGTACATTATCGGCATCTATCAAAAACTGATTACTGCAGCGATTACCGAGTTAATCTTTGAAACGATCAAGTTATTTGGCCACGTTCTTATCTGTCTGCAGGATATTGACAGAGGTGAGATAATAGGCAGCGGCATCTATTATTCGTCTTTCGTTCTTTCGCACATGATCTTTAGCATCAGCTGTGATGAAAGCTCAGGGGAATAGTTAAATGTTTCCATTTCCCTAATCGTTTTTATTTCTCTCGATTCTCCTAGCAAAATTTAAGAAACTTTAAGTAAAGATGAATCTTTATAAACTCTAGCTTGCATCACATCACTTTAATGTCAAATTTTGCTCAACTTTTAAATTGGGCGGTTGCGGTTCGCGTGGCTATTTCTCAACCCTCGCCACTTTTTCAGCCGGGACAACCTGCTCTGCCGTCGAGAGATTCGTGACGCAAACCAGCGTAGTTTATATGTATACTGCAGATGTTCCCAAGAGTTTGATTCATCCTGGTGCCTGATGGTGGTGCATTGGCGTCTGGCGCTAGATTCAGGCAGGGCAGGGCAGAGCTCAATGGGGTGTACTACCACCAATACCACCGAGACCGATGTACGATGTAGAATGTAGACTGTAGACTGTAGACCGAGTCAGAGCGATGTATAAATCTACGAAGCATGAAACCCTCGCAGCAGGGTTCGGGATTCGGCCCGATTCTCAGGAGGCAGGGAGAAAGATGAGAATAATGTGTTTAGTTTCTCCCTCGCACATCGGTCCCCCGCTGGATACGATTGAGACTTGGCCGGATTGAGCCACGAGAATCGCTAGAGTGGGGATGAAGCTATATAACCTTGGGGTTGGTCGCCGAGGAAGCGAATCCTCCGAGAAAGACGCGCGTGCGGTTGAATGCAACGCGAGGGCGGCAAATTGCGTCGTGGATAACAGTCATTCGGTTTTACCAAAAAACCCCCGAGGGAAGATAATGCTCGCGTAAATACGCGTATTTTCGCTCATCGTTGATCGACGATCGCCAAGACGAGAGAAAAATGGATTTTACAATGGTGTTATCTATTGTCATCGCTATTCTGTCAATGAGTAAGTACCTGTACATGAGATGTGACTTGCATGTGAAATGTGCGAAAAGGAGAGGAGCGGAAAGAGAGAGAGAGAGAGAGAGAGAGAGAAAACAAAAATACTCGAGCGAGCACTCATCATGAATACGCTATAAGAGCATTTCTGCGATGTCTTGTATTTGAAATATAATTAACTTTAAATATAATCGTAACTATCGTTCTCCCTATATTCGCTACTCGACGAATGAATAAAGCAGCCTTGTAAAGAATATAATATAATATTGCGGTAATTATTATATACAGAAAGTTTAATTGTTACAGAGGAAAGGGAAACGTGGGACACATTGGAGTATTTGAAAAAGACAAGTGGCACATGTGCTTGAGACACAGGAGCACACGAGACACACGTGTGCGCCACTAAAGAATGTGCACGATATAACGCAGCAGATGTGGAGAGTAAAATTATTTCATATTGAAAAGGATGTTTGATAGCAGCTAATAAAGTTGCTTCCAAATTACGTGACAAAATATATTCAATTTGTAATTTCATTTAAAGCGAAAATTAATTTAATAGAGAAACGAGACAAGACTAATGGCACGCGCGCGCGAAACTACACGAAAGTAAGTAATGCCTCCTAATTTTTTTTTCGAGTCTGGCGCCATAAAAGATTTTACGTTTCACCGAGTTTACGCGACTCAACAAAATGCAACTAGAGACTTTAGGTAACATCTCAGTGAAACGCAGTGAAAATTTTCTATGGCACCAGATTTAAAAGAAAACAAATTAGAAGGCACTACTTTCGCACCGACCCTCGTATATACGCGTTGCTTAATTTTTTTACTCTTGAAATTTTTTGACAAGAGCAAATCTAATGTCGCAAATTCGCGTCGCCGTCGTCGTTGTCACCAACCGATCCATCGTTGCATCATTATCAATCGCTGTCCAAGTTCCAACGCACAGAGATAGAATATCAATTGCCAACAATCGCAGAGAAACGATGGCGAAGAGGAGAATGACGATGGCGCGAGAAACGCTGTACGTCGATCGAATGTTAAATAGTCCTGAGAGCGTACCGAGCATATTCTTTCGTGCATCATTTCTTCTTACAATTAACACTCCCCTGTTGCAAACTACGTGTCGACTTCGCTCGGCACGCGATGGCACTTGACTGTATTACGCCTGCCGATTGCGCGTACGAATCAACCCTTGACACGCCTCGCACGTTCCAACAAGTTGAAATTTTATCAGCGTACCAATAATAAATTAATCAATCTATTTGTTCTTCCTTTTTACTAGTCCAAGAATCGTGTATAGGCATCAAATTGCATGGCGAAGAGGAAATCTTCTTTTTGACAAATTCGCTATTATAAAATTGTAAAAATCCAAAATTTACATCTAACAATAAAATGTATATTTAAATTTCGCGTTTGCATATTCTCTTTTTGTAGCGTGAGACCTCTAAACGGATGCAGCGTTTTCTTTTTTTTAATATATATAAGGTGCTTGGAGATCCGGATATCTAAGACGTCTATCCGAATTTTTCGCGTTAGTTATAAAATTGTCATATACCTATTAAAGATTCCGCGGAGGCAAAGATCGCAAAGATTGGCTCCCTCGTCGTCGTGATTGGCGAAAAGCTTTGTATCCGATGCTCGATCGTAGAAGATCAGGGAGAAGATCCTTTTTTATCGATAAACACATTACCTGAATATAATGCAACATATAGGTGAAAACACATTCGTCCTTCCTCCAATGCCTGTTTGGCTTCTAAATATTGAGCATCACTCTCGGCGGGTGGTCTTCTTTTTATCTGACGACTCGTCTCCTCTCGTACAGCCAGTTCTGACCGAAGCATTCTTCGGCCGTTCATCCCTCTCTCTATTATAATGAGATATTCCCACGAAGAGATATATCTCTTCATCTTTCATCCTCGTCGTACGGCTGAATTGTGTTACATCTGTCTTATAGTGAGAACGAGTCACGCTTTGGCCAGAGATCCAGAATCCGTAAATTCGTTGGCGCACTGCGATAGGGCCATCAAAGCGATCGAACAGGAGGATCGTGCGACAATCGTGGACGACAGAACCTCCAGATTGTATTCCACATGGCTGTCTCAAGAGTAATTGACTAATTGTGGTTTTTTCCCCCGCGCAGAATGTATCGTTATAGATAATTTGAATTTACAAATAGAAATTGTATAATGAGATTTTTTTTCGTTGCAGATGCGAAGTGCGAGCCGGCCCGGAGTATATAATCAGAAAATACACATTTTTCAAGAACGGCACGTTTCTCCTGCTACGTTATTATTATGCCGAGGAGTCGTGCAGCATAGCGACGCATACTGTCACAATTCGGGGTTCCATCAAGTTGCTGGGATCTTCGACCGTTGTTTCTGGCGCTACCAAAACGAGATTTCACATAGATGCCATTAATATTGTACCTTTGAATCGACAGGTATTTCTCCAAATCAATTAGTTGGAAAGATGATGTCCAAGTGATAGAAATGTTAAAATGTGCGAGAAGCAAAATCAATATTTGTGTGATTGTCTACTGAAAATTGATTTTACAGGTGGCTCACAAGTTTGGACACAGATTGAATCTGACTTGCGGTCCCCAGCCGAAATGGCGACCTTACGTTGCTGAAGTGGTTTACGAGCAGCCGCGGCAGCGCTCGGCGACGCCGCTGTGGCAAGGTCCGATCTACAATTCTCTGCAAGCTCACTCATTTACGAAGAGGCGGCTCGGTATAAACTGTTTAGAGCCTTTCGGGATCGAATTCACTGAATTGAGGCTGCTGAGAGTGCAAAAGAAGCCGTTCGGAAGCTTGTCCAGCAACAATCGATACCATAAGCTTCCACAATTCCAACTTTTTTTGGCCAGTTCCACACCCAACATTCACTCTCGTTGGAATTACAAACCTACCTCCTTGCAGCCTACAGCCATGGTCCGCGCTGACACGGTACGCTTGCCCAGACCCTTTTAAATCTTGTCATTCGTATCGTCCTACGTAGATATAATGCTCCAAATTATCACGCATCTCAAATAATGTTCTTTTGCTGCGAAATATCTATATCTATATGTATATCTAAAGAGTAATCCTATTTTTACGATGAGAAAAGCACAGATTATTCTCGCGATAAACGATACGCATGATTGCTATGTACAAGGATAACAAACCAAGAGAATGGATCGAGAGCGTTATTAATGCCGACACCGTTACAGGCGAGCGATTGCCCGATATGCAGTGGCGTATCTCGGAGCACCGAGTTCAGCCCACCTCTTCTCCACCAAACGGCGGCTCTACCCGCATTGATCGGAGGTTATTGGCATAGTGAGAGGTGCGAGAGCTCCGAGGGCGGTATCTGGTCCAAACGTCAACTTCAAATACATTCGGGAGACAGATTGTGGACCGGTCGATGGGACTACTACGACGATCCGCAATGTTCAACGTTTCTGTACGCGATTACAGCAGCCGGAAGTTACATTCAGCGAGCTGGAAGACAGAGACGTCACGAAGAAGTCGATCAAGAAACTTTCCTCGGCCGCTTGCTCAATGTCTCCACGAGACCCTTGTTCAAAAGGAGTGTCACCAATCCGTCAACTATTCATCCTCTACGAAGCATAGATCTCCATCGACGTAACAACTTGTACGTTGCGAACGGGCCAAAAGATGAGAAATGGTCTGTTACAATAGATAAAAAGGTACAAAGACAGGAAAGATCGTTGACTGATGGCGTTCATCGGCTCTTGCGCGACGAGAATCCCATAGTTCGATCGAGATTCGCGGCAATGCTGCGAGATGATCGGATATATGAGACCGCTACCAGAAAGCCTTTTCCCACCTGGAGCACCCTTTCCGGTACCACGGAGCTAGATCTGCACATTGCCGAGAGCATTTTGATTCCCGGAGACGCCACGGTATCCGCTCGTTGTAGTGCCGATCGGCGGCTCGGCGTGCCGCTCACCACCTGGCCGAGAACGTGCATTCCTCGCGCCATCGAGGCGCCCTCGACGTTGGGACTGCGGGCTAAGCTGGACGTCAACTGGAACGGTCAGTACATCCTGCTGTTGGGCTCGCGAGATGACAATGCCTGGGAGGCTCCTCTGCGGCAATGCGCGCAGATTCCACCTCGCAATTCTGTTCTACGAGCGCATCTCCGAAGAAGCGTCGGTCTTCGATTCGGACTGCTCTCCTCAGCGTCGTCGAGCCGAATCTTTGGAATCTCCGCTTGGCTCCTCTTATCGCGAATCTTGCAATGCTCCGTGTATTATCTTGTACGGTGATATTAGACGTCCGAGTCGTTATCTTCGTCGAGGAGCGTTTGAATTCGGAATTTGAGAAAGAGATTTGATGAAATATATATGGAGTTTAAACATTCCAAGACATTCTCCCCTTTCGTCTTCTCTTGGAAAATTCCGTAGGATCGCGCGCGTAAGTTTGTATATGTGTAAATAGAATTGAAAATCGAAAGATCACGGCAGTAATTCCGGTAGAGAGTGGCGCAATTAAATTAATTACCCGTTTCGTTATGCAAAAGTATCATCGATCGACTTTAAAAGAGCGCGTAATAATAATTCGTGGATGAAGATGGCCATTATTACGCGATGATTACGATGACATATCGTATAAGCTTACCCTACTCTTTCGCTACTCTGTATTAAAATTGAGATACATATCTGCGATTAATTGTAATTTAATAAATTTAATAAATTTAATCAAGCCGCTACGTTGACAATAAGTAGTCTTATAACAGATTCGAGCCAAATCCTATCGATCCTTCGCACCGATTGTCTCTTCCTTCCTTTCGATTCCGCGTCGGGTTTAGCATAATAAATCCGACGTTATATGACTGGCAAGAGAGTAGAGTTCATAACATCTCTGTCTCACACTCCAGTCGATTACTCCAGAACCATTAATCAAGATACCATGTTTCGTCATTCGGATCCCGTGCAGATACGTACGTTATCAGATACGTGCTGGTTATAAATTAATCTCTTACGGTGGAATTATAACACGCGTCGACATATTTGCAAGTCAGCAACGTCAGAATTGCGTTTTGTCCCTCGTTTCTTACGCCAGATGAAATGGGCCAGGGGTGACGGGCACGAGAAGTAGAGCGAGAAGAGGAGCTTGGCGCATTATATGTATCGCGCGTCGCGCTATCCGGACGATACTCCCTACTCTACGTAGGAAAAGGATCGACCGTTGATTCACTCTCGATAATTGACAAGACGAGGAGATAGAGCGATGGAGAATCTCCTCGCCACCACTACTGGCATCCCGTTTGACCAAACGGAGAATTTGGATCGCTTCGTGTTCGGATGGCTAGACTACGCGCTCTTCAGCCTGCTGCTGCTCGTCAGCCTTCTCATCGGCGTGTACTTTGGTTTCTTCAGCAAGCAAGACAGCACAACGGAGTATCTCCTGGGCGGTAAACGAATGGGATGCTTTCCCGTCGCGATGAGCATCGTCGCTAGGTCAGTGACTCTTGGCTCCATTTTGATAAACGATTGAAAGAGATTGACGGAACATTGATTGACATCCTCTGCCCGCATGACCAACTCGACCCAACTCGCTTTCTTTTAATCTGCAACATTTTTCCAGATTTTTTTCCTTTATCCTCGCGAATAACTAATAACGTGAACTTGCATACCCTTCAGCCACATCTCGGGTATCAGCTTGCTGGGCATACCCACGGAGGTTTTCCAATATGGGAGCCAATATGCCGCGTGCGTGATCACGTCGATCCTGACTGCCGTCATCACCTCTTACCTCTTCCTGCCTGTGCTCTACAAGCTGCAGCTACCCAGCACCTTTGAATATCTAGAGCTCAGGTTTACCAGACCGGTCAGGATCCTCTCTTCGGTGCTATTCACCATCTCGCTCTTCACGTACTTGCCCATTGTCATCTACGTACCTGCCCTCGCCTTCGCGCAAGTCAGCAACCTAAGCGTTCACGCGATAACGCCAGTGCTCTGCATCGTATGCATCATTTACACCAGCATTGTAAGTGAAGGACGCAGATCCGGCCTTAAGTCTTAACGTTTAACTCTAGTTTAACGTTCCTGAATTACATCAAGTCAAGAGTCGTTATCGGTTTTGCCGTATTTAAACATGGATAAACCAAGTAACGATGCGAGCCGTAAATGCCGTGACCGCGAAAGATGGATTTTCAGGATGGAGTTATAAAATAAAATTTTACAACTCGAGTTATTTATCACCGTATCCCAAGTATCTACGAAAACTTTGAGATTTATGTAGAATTTGAAGCTCTTCGTACAGTGACAAGTTTTGAGTTTTCAAGTTTTTTAGATTTTCTCTTCTTTCAATTGCTTTTCACTCTGCTTTACTTCCGATGAATTCACATTCGTAGGGTGGCCTAAAGGCGGTAGTATGGTCGGACACTATACAATTTTCCGTGACCGTCGGCGGACTCTTTGCGGTTCTCGTGCTCGGTACACTGTCCGTTGGTGGCATTGAGCAAGTGTGGAGCATTTCCGGCACAGGCGGTCGTCTCGTTTTCTTTGAGTAAGATAAAAACAAGGATCTCACGCGATTTTCTTTTTATATATTATTTTATATATTATTAGTATACTACATTTTTCTATACTACCATTTAATTGAACGCTCCCTTTACTCCTTTTATTAGTATGGATCCAAGTCCGTTCGCGAGGAACACTTTTTGGGGTATGGCTATAGGTATGACGGTAATATGGCTCGGAAACATCGGTATTCATCCGGGTACGGTGCAGCGATTCCTGTCGGTGCCTAGAGAGATCGACGCCAAACGGTAAGCCTTTTTCAATCTCACTCTGGACGCGACTTACAATTTGCAATCCATACTCGTTACAACACAAGCTTCGCTTATTCGCTGATTTTATCAGCTGCCCTGCTGCTCCGGTGTCCTAAGCTCCAAGTTTTAAAGCGCGCTTTATAGTAGGACTCTGAAAATTTAAGAATAACATATTTAATCGCTCTCTTCCTCTTTATCGCATACACAGCAGCATTGTGATTACTGCAGTAGGACTGATACTCGTCAAACTGATCTGCGTGTTCACCGGATTAATCATGTTTGCCAAATATCATGACTGTGATCCTTTTCTGACCAAGGTACAATGTATGATTTACATTATTTACAAATTGTCCGTATAAGAAAATATTTAAACGTTGAAAAGACGGGAGGGTGGAGGGGGAAGCGCGTTTGTCGACTTTCTATTTTTTCGTTACACGCAATTACTTATGATATTTCAATCGCAGAAAATTATAAATCTTCTCATTCGAGCAGTCGATAAGTCGCACCGATCAGACTCTACCCTTTTACGTGATGGACGTTGCTGGGCATCTACCGGGACTTCCGGGATTATTCCTAGCGGGCCTAGTGAGTGCCGCGCTCGCGACTATGAGCGCCAGCTTCAACACCGTGTCCGGTACCATTTACGAGGATTTCATAAATTTGCGGATCCCGGATAGCCCTGAGAAAGAAGCTATGGCCGCCAACATTATGAAGGTGAGCTACGTGAGATACGTATCGGTTAATATATAATTTTTCATGCTCTTTTAAGAGGCAAATCTTTTTTAAGAAACTCCTTTTTTTCGAGAGATTCGATTTAAGGTTGATTAATTTATCAATTATAATATAATCGATTTAAGATTGATTAATTTATCAATTACAATATAATCGACCTTCCCCTCAGGGCATCGTCGTGATAGCCGGCGCGATTTCGGTTGGTTTGGTGTTCCTGGTCGAGCGGCTAGGATCGGTCTTTCAAATAGCCGTAAGTATGCGTGGCGTGACCGATGGACCCTCGCTGGGCCTCTTTATGCTAGGAATGCTGGTACCTTGGGCGAACGCGAAAGGCGCGTTGTTCGGCGGTTACGTCGGTCTAATCAGCATGCTTTGGCTGGTGGGAGGCGCTCAATGGCACACCATACATGACAGAATTAAATACAATTCGTTACCTACATCGACAGTTGGTTGTTCGTATCCGTTGAACCAAACCCTTCTGACCGCGACAACGCCTACTTGGGTGGACCCGAACGAGGAACCTATGATACTCTTTCAAATATCCTTCATATATTATAATATGATAGGAGCGGTGATCGTTGTCGTCGTCGGCACTATCGCGAGTTATGTCTTTGGCGTGGATCTCGAGAGCGTAGATCCTGATCATATTTCGCCGATGTTGAGAAGGTACGATCGGTTCCAACTCGATTACAATCCAATGTGTGCATGCATGTACAGTAAGGTGCATTAATTCAATGAGTCATAAAATTCTGACTTATTGGCCGCTGGGTTTTTAACAATTATTAAAGACTCAGTACATAAACCTCGAGTGATGATACAAAATGTTGATTAGAGTTTAGGCTTTTATCCAAGCATTTTTCCAAGTAATGATCACAGTTAAAGAGAAAGCTCCAAAAGTACCCGTCGTTCATTATATAATATAACGTCTCATGAAATATTAATGCTGTTTTTTTTTAAATAAATTAAAAATAATACTCTACATGCATACATGCATTTCCGAGATAACTACAGCGTGTAATTGTTACGTGTGCCTAAAATACTCCTAAACCTATCACGATATCGATGTTTTCTTTGTGGTAATCTCTCTCTTATTTAAATTTATTTCTCTAGGTTTCTTCCTTCTCGAAAATATGCCGAAGTCTCGTTGAGAGAAGTGCCGCCGTCGTTCAACGTTGCGCCGGAGAAAATCAAGTAATCTCAAGTGCGATTCGTCATTATTTTAGTCAGTGGTAAGCGAGCTGGTAGGATCAGCCCGAGAAAAATCTCTCGAGTAAACGGTAATCTTCATTCTAGAAGAATCTCCACGATTCTAGACGAATCGTCAACGATGTTTTCGAGTCCACCGCGGTCACGACAAAGGGGTGTCGGCTCTCTTATTGATTAACAGACGCATGCGCCAGCTACCCTGGTGCCACACATGCCGCGATTGTTTTTGATCTCTCGCAATCAGTCGCGTTCCCAGCCAGCGTTCGTTTAGGAGGCAAGACGTCGCCGACGGTTCCTCGGCGACCGTGTCCTCCCTGGATACTCTGACTGAGGAAACGGAGATTGAGCGTTACGAGAAACGTCTTTGATTGAGTATCACCGTGCGGCGGAACAAGTATCGTCACCATTAAATTCTGCTCGACGTTGGGAAAAAGAGTATCTTTTAGCTGATCGCGCTACTTTTATAATAGACCTTTCAATGTTGTTGGGAGGAGCGATAGACTAGTAATCGCGAAATTAGTCGCTAATCGCTAATCGCTAATTGTCGTGGACGTTGGAGGTCAAGTTACGTCGCTGAAGATGTTGATCGGGGTGGCTCGGGGTTGGCCGCGTGTCCTCGTATATAGGATGGCCGCGCCTACACGTGGAGCGAGTGTCGTCGCGAATACCGAGCGTTCTCGGTCCGACCTCGTAACGTTCAACAAGTACGAGTGTCGATATACCTCGCGGCATTCTCGCAGCGGTTTCACGATCGCAACGTTTTTACAAGCGGATGACATTTCATCGTGCAACATCGTCGATACCTTCGAGTGATGGACCACCAGGAGCGTCGACGTACGCTCGACATATCAAAGATCAAAGATCATTACGTGACGAACCGAGGGCTACAACGAGCGAACATTCTCGCGTACGTGTCGAAGATGAGCGTCGAAAATCCAGAGTAAGAGATTTATGACAGACAGCAGGACAGCACTGTCCATCTATAGATTTTAATTAATGTCTATCTGAATTCTTAATAAGGAGTTGTCACAAATTGTCGCGATTCAAGGGAAGCTCTAATCTAATTAAGACTTTTAATCTTTTCGCACATCTTGACTCAATTGATCTACGTGATGGAGGAGTGTAAATCCACAAAGATATTGAGAAAATTCCAAGTTTCACTGATATTCCAAGATTCGCTTACATTTGATTATGGTACGAATGTGATACAATATATGGATAATTGTTCGCGGAAAGTCGATAGAGCGCAAGAATTTTGTCGATTACGGCGGTTTGAATAGATTCAACGCGGTGGAAGGAAAAGCCACCCGGAAGAGTTTTGAGACATCTCGGTCGTTGTTTGATCGGCCAATCGGTAGGCAGCAGCAAAACGGCTGGCATGCCGAGGCACAGCCGCGCCTCGCCTTTAATAATAGATAAAAACCGCAGGCATTCGTGCCGGAAAAAGAACAGAAACCGAGAGCATCCCAACAGAGAGGAAGAGAGCGAGAGAGGGAACGGAGAGAGAGAGAGAGAGAAAAGAAAGAGGAAAAGAAGTACAGCCTTCAGTTTGGCTTAAAAACGCACGAAAAACGCACCGTCAGTTAGCCGGCCAGTCATTATCAGTCGTCACTGTACCCGTGTCTCAATCTCAGTTGATTTGACCGAATTTTCATCAACGTGGAGGATATCACCTAGTCATGGAAAGGAATAGGGAGACTGTTCGTTTAAAGTCCAAGAATATCAAAATAAATATCTCTCTTCTGTCGGTGCGATAACTCAAGGAGCGATGACTCTCGTCGATCTCTAGTCTATCGCGAATGAGTCGCCATTGAACGGAAATGTCTTTAAACATCCACGAGTTTCTAACAACTTGCGTTAGAAACGTTATTAATTGTTCTCCGAATTAAAATGGTAGCTTTTTCTTTATATGATCGCGCGTTGCGCAGTGTCAAAATGCCAGATGCCAAATAAAATAATCGAGTATCGAGTCAAGTCCAATAATCGTGTTGCCCTTGCCGTCATGAGTCATGAGGATCGTTAGAGATCCGCTTTGGATCTCTTCTCGAAACCAAAGACGATCCCGGGTGACGATGCGATGAGAGGACGAGCGGGGTATTTAGGTATTCCTTGGATATGACGTTGCCATCGATGCAGAGAAGCTTGCTGGGATTGACGGTGCTGACGATCGTTGGCCTGACGACTTTCCTACTCAGCAGGAAGCTCACGCTCGAGACGCGCCGGCGGGACGGCTTACTCCTCGATATGATCGCTAACATTAGCGGCCACTTGGATCGACTTGACAGCGGCTTCGACGATATTGCTGCGCAGACGGGAATTACGCGGAATCGCCTGCTGCAACTGGTCGCGCTCCATAGGGAGAATCTCTTGGCATGTGCGTTACTCGGCGAAAAACGGAGGCAGATGCGAATGTCCAGCGAAAAACCGGCTAGGAGAAGAAGACGACGGTTCGTCGTAACGCACCATCGATAATCGACTCGAGAGGCTTTTATCGGATGTGAGAAGATGCGGGACGTATTAAATCGTTGTGTACCAACAAATTATGCTGCGTTTAATTATAATCTCTACTTATTATTAAGAATTACTCTTCTTGATATCGAGAACGATGTTACGGTTTTTTTTCCCTTTTTTCTTTTAGCACGTTTCAGGCACGCGCCTAGACTATAAGCACGCTATATATTCTTTCTCCCATTAAGTTGCTTGGCTATTAATTTCCTATCAACTGTTATTATTGATTAACTAATACATCTACGTCTCGAATCATATGGAACTCTCTCTCTCTTTCTCTCTAGTACTCTAGTACTCTAGTAGATAGGACCGACAAATTAACTTGGTAATTGGTGAGACAATCATACGTTTGCGAACGAATCGACGTTCTATTGGAAAAATGTACGTAGCGTGGAACATATCTTGAATAATAGAATCTATTTTCAGTGAGTAGTAGATTACACGATAAGTCGATCACCTTATGATAAACCAGATGTTCAATTAAGGTGGGGGCCAATTAAGAAATTCTCGATCATGGAGATGCTCACGCGAGGCAACGGTTGTTGTTTTAGAATCCAGTGTAAACTCGGAATATATATGTATTGTATAATGTAGAACACGGCTGTGATCGAGTAATATCATCTGTCACGCAAACAATACTTGTTACAAATTATTCTACATGTACGGAAGAGCCGAGGGTCGTCTGTCTTGAATTGATATTTAAGCGGATCGCTTATGTATTATGTATAATTATGCATGAGTTTTCATTATATCATAGAATGTTATCACACGATACTCTTACTACAATGTTAGCGTGCTGTGAAACAAAACGTTATCTGTCAGATGCAAATGTACATACATATGTGTCAAGTATTCGCGTATTATATAGTTTGCTCGTATGGAAAGTACAGATTGTTCCAGATTCGGCGAAGAGGTATATACCTCGACCAATTTCTCCGTCGGAAAGAGCCCGTGTTAATACGTCAACGGAGTTTTTATTGAAAAGAAAATTTCATCGGAGATAAAAGAGATTCAAAACTCGATCACATGATGAGATTCATTTACCGTTTCCGAAAAATTTGGATTCGAGAAAGCCGATCTTAGGATACCTTTCGCAGATCTGGGACTCTGGGACACTTTGTGTATTTATCGACATATTTAACAGATCGATAGACTAGTGATTTGGTGCAACACGCGCAAGTATAATACGATATACTTATTATATGGTTGCGCGTCAATCAAATCAGCATTACGATTCGACGTACTCGCTTTATCACTTTTGTATGTATTTTTACTTGACGCCGCGTGCGCACACATCCACGCACATGGACACACACGACATGCGCGCGCGCGCGCGCGAAAGAGAGGAAGAGAGGGAGAGGGAGAGAGAGAGAGAGAGAGAGATGTGCAATTTTCTCTCGCAGAGATCTTAAATTGTATGTGTAATTATTTTTATAAATCGTCTTTTGCGTGGGTGTGTGTGTGTGTGTGTATATATATATATATATATATATATATATATATATATATATATATATATATATATATGTATATGTATGAAGAAAGATGCGAATAAATTTATGTTTACGTGTATTTAGCTCTCGTGTTTGCTTGTGTCTCCATACAGCATCTGTCTTATATAATCGTATAATTGTATAATTGTTGAGCGGTTGGTTATCGATTAGTATATCTTCTCGTCTCGCGAAGAGACGGGCATAGCATGGAAACGCGCCAGCATGGATTCGAGCCTCTCAATGCGAATTAACTTCTCGATCTCTGGATTTAAAAATTCTTAAAGTCGTACAGTTCGATAAACTTTGTTTTTCATCGTCTCTCTCTCTCTCTCTCTTTCTCCCCCTCACTCCCCCCTCTCTCTGTCTCTCTCTCTTTCTCGATAACTGGATTGACCCTTTGACCTCTTGAGCTGGAAGCTCCACGTTAATTTCAATTAGATCTTCTTCATCGTCGCACGGAACAATTATCATTTGCCGCGAAGACAATTCTAAAAACGATATTTATATGTATATTACTGTATAATTATATACCTCAAACTGTAAGAAAATATATTTCGAGAATATTTTGTAGATGTTATGTACTTGACATGTGGTATCATCGCCACACGTTACGTTATCTTTCGGCCGAATGAAATCGCCTCCTATCAGCTTGGCGATAATAATAACGCTATTTTGTACTGACGGCGACGTCGTTGTAACTTGGTTGTTGTTGCTTACTTGTGTGTCGTTGCAACGCGCTGCAACAACGAGAAATAAATTGCCGCAACTGTGATATCTTGTTGCTGTCTTCTGATTGCAGTATCATTAATCGACCCCAGTTTGATACGACGGCGACGCGACGCGACGCTCAAATAATAAGCTATCACGTTTTTCTCTTCACGACGTTTGCGGCAAAGTTTGAAAGTCATAAAATCACTCGGAGATACAAAGTGCGAGTTCCCCCAAGTACGCTTCCCCCTCTCGCTCTCTCGATCTCCAACTATATTACATAAGTATATTAAATTATATACGGTGTCTGTATTCTATACTTGGTACGCGGCCGACGCCGATGGTCGTGAGTCCGGTGAGTCACGAGTCGGTCGAAAGCAATTAAAAGCAGTCGACAATACTCTTCGCTACTCGTCAATTTGTCAACGGCGATGGCGGAAAAGAGAGGAGGTAAGTACTCGATTGCATTCAATTATCAGAATTAAGTGCTGTAGTCAATTTAGTAGTAAAATATAACATAAAACGCGCAACGTAGCCCAAGTCTACCCTAAAAATTAGATATACATAGACTAGCTGGCATCGGATCTACTGGATGTGGAGGGATCTAGATCTACAATGATCCCTCTTGTAGTTATAGTAGTTATATACATATATAGAGTACAATATTATATACAGAATATATACATGTATGTATATATTGGGGACGGCCGGTTTAACATTACTGGAAATGGCCTTGATCGTAGCGTGTTCCGGGCCGGGTTACAAGAGTCCGAGGGCAGCGATGCTCGAGGGGCCGCGCGAGAAGCTTCTGTACGTCATCGGTATACATACGGATCCCGAGAAGGCCGATGTCCTCTGCACGGTAGACGTGGATCCCGATAGTCCTACGTACTGTCAGGTACCACGTTGCAAACGTTAAAACGTTTGTAAATTAAGCGAACCGTTCAACATACTCACGGAACTTGAACTTGCATACCCGCAGATAATACACAGATTGAGAATGCTAACGGCTGGCGACGAGTTACATCACTCCGGCTGGAACGTTTGTAGCAGCTGTCACGGATCACCCCGCAAACGCGACACGCTGGTACTGCCCTGTCTTATGTCGGACCGGGTCTATTTGGTTGATACGAGCGACGAGAAAATGCCCCGGATCAAGAAGGTACCGTATGGAGGAGAGATAGACGGTAGACGATAAACGATAGGCGTGCGTGCGTCCGACGTTCCCTCTTTACTTACCCTGCACCTTACATGTTTACGTATTATGGAGACGCGACGATACAGATATGGAGAAGACGAGATATAGAATTCGCGTACAAGAATCTCTTATTCGAATCGAGCGCGAGCGCACAAGTTGCATTTCTCGTAATTTAAGTATAATGTACATTCTATTTCGTTCGAGGTTCTGGAACCGGAAGAGATGCGCAAATACGGGATATCTACGCCGCACACTTCCCATTGCTTGCCAACCGGCGAGATAATGATCTCCACCATGGGAAATCTCAGTGGCGACGGATTGGGCGAATTTTTCTGCATCGACGCAGAGACCCTACAAGCGAAAGGCACATGGACCAAGAGCCATGAAAAAGCAACTTTCGGATACGACTTTTGGTACCAACCGTATCACGATACGCTCATCGCTACGGAATGGGGTGCACCTAGAGTCTTTAAGAAGGGATTCATTCCAGAGGACGTTCATGATCCTAGTAAATAATTATCCAATACGTTATCACGTTTCGCAAGGGCGCACGCGCGCAAAATATCGGTAATTATATAATCATGTCGATTAAATGATGGATAATTCACAGAGATTTATGGCAGAAGCTTGAACGTTTACTCGTGGAACGAACGAAAGCTGAAACAGATCATCGATCTGGGAGATGACGGAATCGCACCCCTTGAAATCAGATTCCTTCACGATCCGCTGGCAGCTCAAGGATTCGTAGGCTGCGCGGTAACGTCGAATGTTTATCGATTTTACAAGGCGGAGGACAACTCGTGGAAGGTCGAAAAGGTGATCCAGGTGCCACCGAAAAGAGTCGAGGGATGGATCGCACCTCTGATGTCAGGTATACATCACGAATCGATGCTCTTCAAAATATCAACGAGGTCTCAAGATATGTATCTATGAAAGTTTCTATCAGCGGAAACTCATCGCGACGATGTCAACTCGTCGACAACATTGCAGTCTTTTTTCTTTTTTCCTTCTTTTCTCACGAAAGCCTTTCTTCGCCTCTCAAGGAATGATCACCGACATTCTGCTGAGTTTGGACGACAAGTATCTGTATCTGTCCAATTGGTTGCACGGCGACGTTAGGCAATACGACATCTCGGATACGAGAAACCCAAGATTGACGGGTCAAGTCTTCCTAGGAGGATCGATACTGAGCGATTCGCATGTACGGGTGACGCAAGACGAGGAAATGAGCAGTCAGCCGGACCCCATCTACGTGAAGGGGCGTAGATTGTATGGCGCACCGCAGATGTTACAGCTGAGTTTGGACGGACGTCGTTTGTACGTGACTACGTCGATCTTTAAGCCATGGGACAAACAGTTTTATCCCGATCTCCTCAAGTAAGTATAGTATATGCAAGTAAATACGACCTCTCCTCTCCTCTCCTCTCCTCTCCTTTTCTTTTCTTTCCATAAAGGAAAATAAAACAGAATTGTTATTTGTAATCTCTACTCTCGTATATACGTTGTAATAATGTTCGGCGCGCGCTATTATTAGATATGGATCAACGATGGTGAAGCTTGATATCGACGTCGAGAAGGGCGGGATGACGCTCGACCATCGATTTCTCGTTGATTTCGGCGCCGATAACAGCGATATTTTACTGGCACACGAAATGAGGTGAGAGATATCCTGTAATTTATTGCGTCTCAGTGAAGGAAAAATTTCCATTTATTCTCCTTCCACTTTTCTGAAATAAAGGAAGACAAATCAAATGAAATTAATCTCGGAATTTATCCTGTCCAGAGATGAACTCGTAACTTTTTCAGTTGGTTTTTCCCCTTTTATTTCGATTTTAATCACTAATTTTTTCAATTAAATTGAACATTTTGATTTCACAAAAAAAATCAAATTACCGCCAATTTCTTTTAATTCAGTTAATTTCTCCCTTAAATATACAGGCTGTGTACCGTTATCCCCCACAGCAATTCTATCGCTTTATCAATCTTTGCGTAGGTATCCTGGTGGAGATTGCACTTCCGATATATGGCTGGCAGAGAGACCCTAATTTTGATGACTGGACTGGACGTTTAGAGTCATGGATATCTCAACATCTGCGAAAGTAGTAATTCAGAACCTAGCTTATTTTATAGTACGCCGTATTTTTGTACGATTCTTCCAATGAAAATTATCATAAATTCGTTCCTTCAATATAAAATCAGGATAAAAGACACGTCGGTGATAGGTAAATTAGTAAAGAGTACTCACAAGACATTTGTTTCCATGGTGCTTATTAATTCCAGCATATTGCATCAAGTAATATAGTAGAGATTTTATGTATACTGTATGAAATTTTTTACGTGACATGATGTTACGTGGTAAGCAATAAATTTTTCTTCTTTCCTCAGAGTTTGCACAAATAAAATCCGTCTACGCCAAACTCGTATATAATGGTTCGCTGCGTAAAATTTGTCAAAATGTTCTGCATTATAAACAATTCGAAGGTTGTATAGCCACGTATAACAATTTCGTTGAGTTTCCACAAATGATCGCGTTGGCCGAGATTTTATTCTTCCGTAACAAAGTTTCATATCATCTACAATACCCAATGAGTTACATAAAATTAAATTTGCGCAATTATCATGTATAATTCCAAAATTTGCAATAAACATTTGAAAGAAACGAGTCCTCGTCATTACTTCTGCAATATGTGAAAAAAATACTTATCACGTGACAGCATTATTTAGGTATTTAAAAAAAAAAAAAAATGATTGGGCGAAATATGCGACGCCAGAGAGTAGCGAGGACACGTCAAGTATCAATGTTGGCTACGAAGCTAATGAATTTCTTCTTTCGCCCGGATCGTCCGATGCTAACGCCATAAAATTCAAACCAAGTCGACGCGGCAAACTTTCCGCTACAGAAATGATTTTGTCCCGTTAATCGGTAATAAGTTGCGATCGGTCTGCGAAATTATTAAATTTTTTTAGATACGTACGCACACGCGTCTAAGTGTATGTGTATGTGCCGAGTTTAAACACTTAATTGTTCAATTACATATAACTCAATAAGAACAGACTACTCTTAATCTTTCTGTTAAACTGCATCTTTTCTTTTGGTTTTTTTCATCTCGATTAAAAAGTAATGCTGCAATGATGTGCATCTACATAATCTCGGATCCTGAATTAATTGTCGAGTGTGCTCGCGTGTATACCGTACGTATATCTAGAGTTACAACGTTACATCGGTGCAAACCGATTCAGATGCATTGATTAAAACGTCAGGCTCTTTTCCTGACATGACGGCATTACACAATGGCAAGCTCGTGTTAGCCATTATGCGGTAAATGTTGACAGCGCGATCGTTTATCGTAACGATAGTTATCGAGACTTTTAACATAATTACCGTCATCATCATTATCATTATTACTATCATCATCATCATCATCATCGGACTTCCGTCAATATCGTCAGCCGAACTTCTCGCGACTACACCGTTAGCGTAAGGATACCCGGAGCCGATTCTACATTTATCCCAAAAATTCGTGGCTCTCAAGAGAATACTACTTATCTCGCGCTCGCTCGAGCATCGTACGTACTCGTGGCTTGTCGCTCCCTTTAAAAGAAAAAAAAAAAAAAAAGGAAAGAAGAAGGGAGAGAGAGAGAAAAAAGAAGACACTCGTTAGCCCCAAGTGTAACAGATCGCAGGTGCGTTAGCCTCGTTTTTGAGACAACTATAGAATCGGCACTCGGCACAGTGGGTTTTCAATTGTCGCGTTGGAGAGATCGATCCACGATCGAGCTGTAAAACCGACTTGCTTCTCGGATGACGTTTTTGCCGGATGATACTCCACCATCTGGTTTCGAGCGGAGTGTTTTGCCTCCTACGGCGACGTAGGGCGACGCAGGTACGACGGTACGAATTTGAGTACCGCGTGAGACGAGTGTCGAGCCATCAGGGCGCGCGAGCGCCAGCCGTCGTTCGTTCAGACCCACGGTGTCCAGCCCTCGTACAACAAGGCCAGATTATCGTTGCTCTGCGCTTCACGTATCACGTATTCCACTTGTTCGGCCGTGGTGTACTTGCGCGACGGTTGCGGATCGCGGCCCTCCAGCTTCATACGCACGCGGCGCCACACGTTCAGCGCGTAAGCGTTCCGCTCTTGCACGGCTAGGGGAAAAAGAAAGAAAGAAAAAAAAAAAGATTAGATAAAAGAGAGAAAATATTAGAGTATTATAAGCGATCTTCAGATCTCGTATCGACCAAAGTAGAGACAGAAGACTACCTACCCTTGCCCGTGGTCGGATCTCTGGTCAACGGTGTCCCCTTTCTCGGACTCAGGCATACACTGTCCTGTCGCACCAGCTTACTCTTCCTCCTCCTCTTCCTCTTCCTCCTCTTCTTCCTCTTCTTCGGCAGACTGCCCGCAGACTTTTCCGTATCCTTCGCTGAATTTATCTTGCGCTCGCTCGCAAATTCCAGCAATCGATTGTACAAACTGGGCACTTTAATCGCCATCGCTTCCAATTCTTTCTTCATCACCGTGCCGCGAGCCGAGTCAAAATTCTCGGCTGCCAGTTCCTTCACCACCGCCGAAAGGTTCTCCGTGAAGGATCGATAGGCGAACAGAAAGTCCTGCAAGCCGTCTATGTTTTCCTGCTTAGCCATCGTCTTTAACAACGCTCTAACATCCGACATGAGTCGATGATGTTCGGCGAGTACGTTCTGTAAATTCATCACTCGCTCCCTTAAATAGTCCTCGGCGGTAAAGAGAGCCTCTTGTTTCTCCTGCAGCTTCCTCTGGGTGTCGATTATCGCTTCGGACACAATTTTTTCAGCCTGCTTCAACCACGCGGCGTCCACGTTGTTCTCCAGCTGCAGCAACTGTACGAGGCTTTCCTCCGTCATGGTGACGGTGATATTCAGATTGGCCGTCAGGACGCAGCTTTCCTCCCAGTGCTTGATCAGTTTGACCAGATTGGCGTCGTGCGTCACACTCTCCGACGTCCTGGTCCTTAGAGCCTCGTAGTGCAATATGGCATTGCACGTATTGACCACCATCGCGGCTAGATTGTGTTGTCGGGTCAATTTATCGCACGACAACAACACTGCGTTATCGAACGCGGACATGACTTCGCCCAGCGCCGGATTGGCGCCGGCAGCCCACTTGAGACGTTGTACAGCGCTCGAAACAAGATTTTGTTGTTGCTCGCGTGCCTCGCACACTCGCGACTGCAAGTTGGACAAATTCGTTGCCTTTTTTCGTAGCTCCAGCATGAAGGTAGAGCGATCTGAAATAAACAAGGAATTAATTATTTTCTAAAGGCTAAAACAGTCAAGATGGATTTGAATTCGTTAATTTTGAACTCATTAAATCTAGAGACAAATAGGTTCCTGTAAGCCTAAAAATCTGTAAGCTACCATGGTCAGTTTAAGGACTCACTTAAACGATTCATGGGATGCATCGAATACATTGGATTCATCGGACTCATATTGGGCCTCATCATTAGGATATCCTCGTGCAACCAATGATAAGCCGTCTGCTGAAGTTGAAGTCTCTGAAGACTGACCCTGGCTACCTCGGCGCTCTGCTGCGCCAATCTAGCAGCCTGTTTCCGTCGCCAGGCGCTCTCCAAAGTGCTACTCAATGCGCCCGCTTGCGTCAAGACCGAGCCCGAGAAGGAGCCTCTCTTCATGCACAGATCTACCATCTTTCGACACAGCTCCTCCAACGAGACCTTGCTCTCCGCTCCGATGTCTCTCTGCTCAATCTCGGTAGTCACGTTCAGGCCCATTCGCTGCAGTAAGAGACACAAGGCGAGCGCCAACGTCTGCGACGTCACCCCGAGCAATTGCCTCGAAACGTAATCGGCCGTGAACACTCGGACAGGTTTATTAAGTCGTTCATCGTCGTACACGTTCGCCAATCCGCCTTTAAACGCAGTAGCAATGTCCCGGCACATGACGAAGAACTCTTGTATGGTGTGCAATCTCTTGATCAGGAATATGTCCTCGAGCACTTGCCGAGCCGCCTTGTTGAAGATGGGCGCCGACATCTCCTTAGCTTCGCGTATCTGATCAATCTTCTTCCAATTCATCGGAATGTCCAAGGAGCTCAGGGTAGTGACCAAGGCGTTACCTTCCATTTGCAATTTCTCAAACAAACCGTTGAAGCCCATCAGCAACATTTGACCCGGCGTCAGAGTTTCCTCCTGATTCAAATCCTGAACCTCCGCCTGTCGCGACAGTAACGCCTCGAATCGTAATCTCATGTTAGCCACTATACTCTGTACCACCGCGTGCGGGCTCTCCATCTCCATCACGGTAAACCGGAGATGCATCTCGAGCTGCGCCAGAATGTCACCGAGCGGTATTCCGGTCAGTATTACGATTTCACCAAGCTCGCTTATCATTCGCATTACGCTCGGCTCCTCCGTGACGATCGTCTTCATCGCCTCCGGTAATATGATGGTTTGGAAATTGTAGTTGAGCTCCTGCAGACCCTTGTAAATACAATCGGCGCTCTTGAGGCACTTGAGGATCAGCGCAATCTTGGGATCGTTGTTCGTCTTGTGGTTCTCCGGTATCAGCGTGATCAACTCGGCGATCAATGACGACATGAGACGCATCTCGTCCAGAAACCAGTCCCCCTCACGGGACGTGAGATCCACCAAGCAGTCTCCGGCGCACTTGGCAGCGCCCTCCATCATAAGGTAGCGCTTATTCAAGGCACACAGCGCGGTGATGTTGACGCACTCGAGCGCTCTCTCCGCGCCTTTCTCTCGTCGCAGAAATCCCGCAATTTGCGCCCTCGACTCGGTGTACGCCTTCTCGATTCTATTACCGGCTTCCGGCAAGCCTTCGGATACCGTTCTCTCGTAAGCTTTCTTGTATCTCTCGCTGTACTCGTTCAAAATCGCTTCCATCTGATACGAGAAGGTTATTATCTGCTGAACCTGCGGATTGCTCGGATTGATTGGATTTAGGCTCGCTTCGAACCGCGCCATGACTTGGTGGCACGCCTCAACTGTGCCCGAGACTAACAACTCGTTCGCCCAAGTGTGATAGAGTACGGCGCGATGTTGCGAAAGAACGCTGAGAGGGTATAGGCTGCAGATGGCGGAATATTGGCTCAATAGCTCCAGACATTTGCTTATGGAAAAGGCCTGGTCGGTGGCCAGCTGCGTCAATTCGTTCTCCGACTGCTCGCATTGCACGATCATCTGACTTTGTCCGGCGTTCTGCAAGAATTCCTTCACAAGGTCGAACACTACGTGATCCTGCTGATTGGTCAGGGTTCCCAATTCCGACAGCCACTGTCCTAGTTGAAGTCCTCGCACCGCCGCCAACGCGATCTAAAGTAACAGAAATCAAAATATCGAGGGATATGCGATAAACGTTCAAAAAAAAAAAAAAACAACACTTAAAAAACGTTAGTATCGGACGCTTTGCGGCAACGTGTTTCGCGGTCGCGTTTCAGCGGACTCACATTGTGCATATTAATCTGCTTCTCGCATTCCTCTATCTTCTCCTTCAGGCCCGCCTTTGCTTTCTCGTGAGAGTCCCGCGCTCGTTTGAACGAATTGTATCGCTTCACTACCGAATATAACGCGTGATTCCGACCCATCGCCTGCGCCTCCTTGACTAGCGCGAGCTGCTGATGTCGGTCCTGCAGTAAATCCTGACACTGACGCGACGCCTCGGTCGCCTCGATCCAGCTGTTCAAATGATGGCACAGTAGCGGCAAGGTTTTCGCCAATTCGTCTCTGCAATTTCATTCCATGAAACACGACAACTTGTTACAAACGACTATAAATGCAACCTAACGATATTTAACGAGATTTTCAGATTTAAGCGAGAAACGAGCTAAACATTTACGTAGAGAGACGTAAATTGACTCTTTTTCGATGGGGATGTTAAAGAAGGAAAGAGAAGAAAGGAGGCGATTAATAATTCTACTACTTATAAAATAAACACGTGTGCACGTGTGTACTTGAAATGGTAGAAATCAACTTTAGAAATATTTTTCTCTCTTAAAGAGAATAGAAAAAAAGATAAGATAGAAGAGAAACGCGAAATGTTGACAGTGTCTCGTCGAGTGAGAGAGATAGACTCAGACTCGTTGTTCTTCCACGTTGTTGGTCTCTTACCGATTAGCCAGCCACTCGGCGCGCATCTCCGCCGTTCTCACAGCGAACATCGCACGTGTGAGTTCCTGCTCCAGTTGTTTCCTTCCGACGCCAGTGCACCTCGCTCTGGCTTGACAAGCGCCATAACTCGCTATGCTGGTGTCCGCGCCCGCCCGCCAATCTACCAAAGGATCGTAGACAAACGCCTCCAGCAAGGTCAGGAGCGTCTCGCGGCCTCTACGCATCACTCTTAGAGTATGCTCGGAAGCGAACCTAAATATACCCTGGACACACAAATAACGATTATATTATATACCGTTTATAGTTGAGAAAATATAATAATCATTGGCCACTCATGAATGTGCGTTTCTTTCCCATCTCGGCTTCCCATCGACCTTTTTCCGATTGCGAGCGAATCGCAATTACCGCTGATAGCGGCTGATAGTTATAGCAGTTCTTTGCCAGGGAAACCAGCAGATGAGTAGATAAGTAAAAGCACTCTCGAACGAACGGGTAGCAGCGTGCCGTATCTGCCGAAACGCTTCGTATCGATCTACGTTCTCGTCGAGCGTCGAACGTCAAAAAGTACCGTAGCTATTGCGAATGCTCTATTGCATTGTCATCGAAATAAATTTGCTGTCTCAAAAAAGTGACAAAAAAAAAAGAAAAGAAAAAGAATCCGAACGAGCGAGGTAAGTTATCTTTCATTTTTACACTTCTCATAATCGCGAAACAATTAATTAAATAACATTTCGAACGTTTCGTAGGTTTACGTAATCGTGATGCATGGCTCGATGTGTATCTTGGTATTTCGTAGAGTACCATCGGAAACCCGTTTCTTTCCGTGTGTATGTGTATGTGCGCGTGTACGTGCGAAAGGTAAGTCGTCAGCGTATTAGCTGATTGATCGTTTTCACGTTTCTCGCATGATTCTCGCGGATAAAAATTGTTTCGATGATTCCCCGGTGGGTTTTGCACGACGGTTTTATTAGGGCACGCAACGACCCTAGAGACGACCTCGTCGTCGTTGCGAGACACAAATAGCCACGGCTGTATAAAGTGCTACGAACACGTATCCCCAGTTTGACTTCTCTGTAAATAGATGTATATCCGTGCGAGGTTCCTTAATCATCGCGGCATTACTTCTTTGACCATTTTAAGACTAATTTTAATCGCGAGCCGTCAGAAGCTTAAGCCTAAATCGTCTAAATTCAAGCGGGCTGAAAACTTTCAAAACTCTACAATTCTACAATGTATAAACAAGTACTTGCAAGTTTTCTTTTTCAGAACTATGTATCTGAAAGAAAGCAACGTTACTGAGTCGGACGTAAATGCATCCACGAATGCTCCATCGACCGACTTGCCGAGAAACGAAGAAAACATGTTTTGGATCTTGATGGACTGCTTCCTGTTCGTTGCGATCGTTTTGGGGAATGTCCTCACGATATTGGCCATAACGTGGGCTCGCAGACTCCGAAACGTCGTTTCAAATTACTTTATTCTAAACCTAGCAGTGTCGGATCTTATGGTGGGCGTAACGCTTCCGTATCATTTGGCGTTTTACGCGGACGACACGTTACACCGCAACAAGTCGGTATGCATCTCGCGCTTCATCATGTTCAGCTTAGCGTGCGGCGGGAGCATATACAATCTCATAATAATCGCCATAGACCGATACGTCGCTATCGTGTACCCATTGAGCTATAATGCATACGCGACCAAGAGGCGCGTGCTACTGATTATAATCGTCGCTTGGATATGTACCATGGGCGTGTCATCGATTCCGACATATTGGAATAATTTTGACGCTTCTAACGCTGACCAGAAGTGCGAATTGGAAACGGTATTGCCGAGGTACTGTTACTGCATCTGCTCGCTACCCTATCGTTGATTCTCCGTTTCTTGGTAATCAATTTCGCGCGATAGTCCCGTGTCGATGTATTACTTGACGTGCGTCGGTATTTATTATTCGTCGTAATTGCCGTAAACATTAATTATTCCTCGATCAATGAACGTATATTATTTTGGCAGATACTACATATTGGCTATACAGATGCCGGCACTTTTCCTCAGTTGGATAGCAATGTTTCTGCTGTATTGGAAAATCTGGAGAGAGGCGCATATGCACGCGCGTCGCATGAATCTCGGTATCGTCCCGAATATCGCTGAAAAAAACGATCGTAAAAGTGTACAGGTATATAGTTTTAATTTTAAATCATAGAATGTAGCAGACAATTGAAAGCAGCGACGAAATAAAAGTTTTACAAGCGTATAGCGATCAAGGAGTGACGGCAATAATAGATTTTGATTTTTCGATTAGGTGGTGCTGCTGATCCTGGGCTGCTTTTCGATCTGCTGGTTCCCTTATTTCGTCGTGGTTTGCATTCGCATGCACACCTCTGATTGGAGAACAAACTCGATGACGTTATGGTACAAATCCACGTTCGCATTAGCCGTTGCTAACAGTGCGATGAATCCCTTCATATACGCGTGGAAAAACACCAACTTTCGCAAGGCCTTTCTAAAGATTTTACACTTTAAATCGCCCAATGACTATTTCAACTCGAGCTTCAAAATGTACTTGGAAAAACAACGTCAACTAAAAAGCCAGACGGATGTACAAGACAGTCACCGTACAAATGGAAACAACAATTCGCCCCAATATTCACCTAATCCCCAATCTGATCACGCGGAAGAAAATAGAACGGAAAATACAATTTTCTAAATCTCATTTATTTTCAGCTAAAAGCTGTCTAATAGAGAGATAAATTGTAAATTATTTCATTTTCTCCAAATTTATATATTTGTGTATATTTGCCTGTAAGAAATCTTTCTCTTTCTCTTTCTCTCCCTCTCCCACCCTCCTCCTCTCCAAGAATTAAAAATCTTGAAAAATAAATAATTTACAAAACAAAATGTAGTAGATACATCTCCATAAAAAATTGCAATCGTAAGACACTCATCTAGTACAAAATTAAAACGTTTCTAGTGTGATAAAAGTTCCAAAAACAATGCAATTTTTAAACGTATTAAAATTTTAATTGTAATCAGACTTTTTAAAAGTAAAACTATCCGTTATTTCTCCATCTTATCGAGAAAGATTCTCATCAAGATTATCGGGAGACTTACCTCGACTCCGGTTACTCCTAAAGCCGTTTTGATATTTGGCGTCATGCGGAACGGCACTTTTTCCGGGACGCGCAAAGTTTTTCCTTTCTCGAAACAGACGTTGTAATCGATGTGCACAACTTCGCCGGTGTTGAGGTCGACGAGAACATTGTCCAAGTGCCTGTCGCCTAAACCTATGATGTAGCCAATAATGGACATTACCGCAACGGAATACGAGTAGTTCTTGGTAGCTTGCCACCAGCTGCCGGCATTGATGCTGTTGCACCAGATCTCTCTGCAAAATACATTGGAAAAGGTGTGTGTGTGTGTGTGTGTGAGAGAGAGAGAGAGAGAGAGAGAGAGAAGGGGGGATGGATCTCGAAAGATTCATCAGTCCGATTGAAAAGTACGGTAATGACCGTTTTCGATAATTATTTGGCAACTAACTTGGCTAGAAGATCCTTCGGAGTCTCCCTCATTAGTTCCTCCAATACTTTTTTCAGTACGTGGATAGGCCATTCCTTTCGGTTCTCCAAGCCGATCCCGCACTCTTTCAGCAACGGCGTCAGTTTGTTGTAAAACAACTCCGAGGGTCGCATAATCGCCGAATTGCCGCCACCAGCCTTGCTGTTCACGGAGCACTCGCGCTGCTGCCATCGCTTGTAGAGTATAAACAGTGGCGTCACGCCGTCGACCCACTGAATAAGTCCAGATCTAGGACCCAACGGGATCACCGAGTAATGCCGTGCTCTGTAGACCTTGGTATCGCTGTTCTTCGACATCATGGTGTTACATATGCTTAGGAATTGCATTATCCTCTCGTCCAGATGCAAATCCTCTAGTCCCTTGAATAGGTACGTGTATACGTGTCCGTCGGACCCGTGGAATATGAGCTTCTTAGGTTTCGTCTTCGTCGGCAGAATCTGAACGTTATTGTCCACCGACATGATGGTGACGATCCTGTTATCGATGGCAGCGACGCCCGGCATGGCGATGCAGGTATCCTTCAGATTGGCCAAGATAGGACTAATGTCAGTCATTGACAGAGAATAAGCGGCACGTCGGTGCACGCGTTGCGCCAACTTGGTCTCCAAGTGTTTCAAGGCCAAACTGGCCACTTGGGGCTTGGCCGGATTCTTGGGATTGTTTAGTCGATTTATCACCTCCTCGATGGAAGCACCAAACTTCTCCTGAAAAGTTTTCTCGTGCGGCGTCTCGGCTGGTACGGACGTCATAGATAGCAGATTCTCCAGTATAAACGTGATCGGTTTCAAAATGATCCTGTGCTTCTCCGCGATCAACTTATCTTTCTCTTCGGGCGCGAGCCAGACATTGTCCTGTACCCGTTGAATCTCGATCTCCAGCTGCTCGAATCGTTTGGTAATCTCTGTGTGATGTTGGCACAACGTCGCCAACCACAGTTCGTCCCATAGCAACGTGATTCGTCTCAGCTCCTTGACTAGCACCTTCACTTGAACCACCGAATCCTGGATGCGACTCGAGAGACAATCGACCAACTGCGAGAAATAGGAATCCATGAAGCTCTCATGCTCGTCGTTGTACACGATTGCTTCCGCTGCCGTCTCCTCTTCGTCCTCCTCGTCCTCCCCTCCTTCCTCCTCCTCCTTCGCCTCCTCGTCTTCCTCCTCCTCCTCCTCCTCTTCCTCTTCCTCTTCTTCTTCCTCCTCCTCCTCCTCCTCCTCCTCCTCTTCTTCCTTTCCCCGTTCTTCCGCGGCAGCGCTCAAGCCTATAACGTTCTGCGAGTCGTTATCGTTGTCGTTGTCGGGCTTCTCGTAAACGACCTTGTCGTAAATCTTTTTCTGGCCGGATACCGCGCCCACCACGGCTGGAAACGTGATCAAATGCGGCGAATTCTCCGCCACTCGGCACAACAGCTCGGACACCTGGGTCCTCACATATGCCTCGGGATGACTGAGCCTCGAGAACAACTGCGGTATAATCTCCTTCCATGGCGCGGTCGGGGTCGTCGAGAGGCCTTCTTCGAGCGCGTTCTGCAACTCCAGAGCGTGCTTCACCACGAGTCGCAGCAGTCTCAACGTCGCCGTGATGGTGTCGCACTCGTTGCTGTCGTTGTTCGCCAATTGCAAGTATTTGAAGTATGCTTTCGCCGAAAACTCGTAATACGAGTAGATCCTCTTCTGCGCCTGTCGCCATATGTCGACCAGCATGCCGAGATGTTCGTTGCTGGAGTGGCTCAGAACCGACACGTTCCTCAGCTGATTCTCTATCATGTCAGATGTGTTTATGTCGTTCGTGTCGATATCGCCCTCGTCCTCGGGTATGGTCTTGTTCTGGCTCAGTATAGAGAAAATGGTGTTGAGATCAGCCTCGGCAATGTCCATCGGCAGTAAGGACTGTATGTTTATCCGGTCGGTATCCGTCAATTGGCCAGAGTTGGAGTTGTCCACGATCTTCCGGCCCCACTTGTAGCACCAAGCGGCGAAGCTGGACCAGACGTGCGGCAGCACCGGACACTGATTCACACCAAGCTGCATCAGTTTACCGATTATCATGTCCGACGTAGGAATCAGATCGATCGTCTTGCCAAACAGCTTGTCCATCAGGCCGTCGTTGTGCTCAGCCTCGAATCTGAGCAACTCCTCCAGCTGAGGATTCTCGGTCACGGTCGTGTCCTGCTGTATCCATTTACTCAGGGTAAGTAAGAGCTTGGTTCCCATCTCGCGTAACTCGGCGGACCCCTCACCGCTGACGATCGCTCGCGAAATTCCCAACGTGGTCGCGCAGCACATCCTCAAAGCCTCTCTCGTGTCCTCCATGTCGTACAGTAACTTGGACAATTCCCTGAACGCGCGCATACTATTCTTGGTCCATTTCACGTCAACAGGCCCGTTCAGTATGTCGCTTGTAATCTCGGAAAAGGTGCGAGCGCTCGGATCTTTGAGTCGGATCAAATCTTGCTCCGACTTCAAGTACTTGACCATCTCCCGTTTCGCTAAATTAAAGTTGCCTTCCTTCCTGGCTGTTCTGACGACGTGTAACCGTAGACTGTCGACCTCCATGGAGTCGTTGTCGCACGCTTGATCCAGGTACTCGGACCACCACAAGATCTGCGTTAAAATGTTCGAGTTAACATTATTGACTTTATCAACTTTGTACAATTCGAAAACGTTCTTGTCCTTTTTGCCGCGCGCGAAATTCTTCAGCCCCGTCGCGGAATACTGGAGCAGTATTGCGTCACTGAGATACTCTGATGGCACATTTCGTAATCCGTCCTGCATCATCTTGGCCGCGACTTTCTGGCACCTCTCGACAACACTGTCGCACATCGAGTCGTCGAACGATTCGTCGAATTCGTTAAGGTGAATCCTCAGGGCAACGTTCGTCAAACTGTTGCTGCACGCGACCAGCGTTTTCGCGCAACTCCAATTACTTTTCCTTTCCTCGTCCAGGAGGTTCCAATTCGTCAATTCGTCCAAGGAGATCAATTCACCCTCCTCGAACTTTTTCAGACAATCCGCCTGCTGCGGAACGATATTCTCCGCGAGTTGCCTCCTCAGAACGGCGTAATTGTCCTGCGCCAGTATCTCGGTCTCCCGCGATTTCCATTCCACTAATCCAGACCAGTCGCTGACCGCTTTATAACAGTTGGAAAGTCTTTGCATGCAGAAACTCAGAACTTGATTGTCACTCTCGAGTTTCGCGGCGGCTCTGCCGCTTTCGTCGTCGTTCGTTTTAACGCGAGCGTGCTCGTCGATGATGAGCCTGTAGGCATCCGCCGCTGACTCGTAACGTCCGGCGGCTTCCTCCATCGTCGCTTTCAGCCACGGGAATTGCCTGTCCTTGCCCTTGGTGTACGCGTAGAGCCCCTGCAGCGCCTCCGCTTCGCCGAGCGCGACCATCGCCTGTGCCGTCCACAACGTCGCCCTTTCGAACTCGATGCCCTGCGTGTTATCAGCACTACTCAAATCCTCCAGTAACCTCTGGCCGTTGCGCAGCGCACTCGTCGCCAGGCCCGAGTGCAACGAGACCACGCACAAGGCCAACCGTATGCGATTCAGCCATTCCTTGCACGTCGACTTGTTCGTATGGAAGAAGGTTCTGACTGGTTTTGACAGCGGCAAGAGTGCCATCGCGCAACCGTCGGCCGCGTTGTGAATCACTCTCTCCAAATGTTCCAGGAATTCGACGAAGAGCCGCACTCGCGTGTGCTCGTGCAAGATGCGATCTAATCCCTGCCTCTCCCTCCTCATCACCTCTGCGTTGGAGCACGAGATCTCGCGAGCCAGAATCTTCAGGGCACTCTCGATCGACGTAAACGTTTCCTGCGGCTTCCCCAAAGAGGTGCGAAGCTTATTCAGGACGCAGTGTTGCGCTGCTTCAAAACCGCTCCAGAAAAACAGGAACGAACAGTTTGCGAGCGCTAAATCGTACATCCTCGCCGTAGTTCCGTTCTCCGGTCTGCAGACACAGAAATAATTTTATCACCGTACATTATTTCGAGAAGAAATGATCTGTCATAAACGGTAAAGATAAAGAGCACTTACACGGCTGGCCAGCACAAAGTAAATATCTCCGACAACCCGGATGCGTCAAGATAATGTTCCTGCAGTAGAAATGCCATGTACGTTTTGAAATGTTGCGCCAGCAATTCCCCATTGTTGTTACCTCGCATGTGCAGTCTTTGAGCGAGTATCAACGATTCTGTCGAATAGGTCACGATCTCCCGTGCCTTCTGTGGTACAACATGGTTGATACGACAGTTGAACATGAAATGAGAGAAAGAAAGAAAGAAAGAGAGAGAGAGAGAGAGAGAAAGAGAGAAAGAGATCATCATATCATATCCGTACTCGACAAGTTTCGCGTACAATGCTCCAATGAAGAAAAGATGGCACTCACCTTAGTGTCTGAGAATAAATACTGTTTGTTTAATTTTGGTATAACAATGTTAATGGGCATACACATTAGCAGCGCGCCGTACTTTTCGCGGATCGTTCTGTTGCACGAGGTCAAATGCAACGTCGCTAGATCCACGATACTTGAATAGATCTCTTGCTTCCACACCACATTCTTCGCGGTCATTAACATTTCGAAGAGATTGCACGCCGCGCTCGCGATATCGTCATTGGTCGTGGCGCCGCAGCTAATTAAACTCGCAATGATACTCTGGCACTCTTGAGTTACGCTCAAGATCCCGATGTATTTCTCAGACTGTACGCAAATCTCCTGCAACCAGGTGGACAAAAGGAGCAAGGTGCACGCGGGCGTATTCTTGTTGTATGTTTTTGCTATCAAATTGAGAATTATAGACAAATGACCGCTGGCTGGTACATCCAAGGTCGCGGGAAACATATCCATCGGGCGACAAGCGGTGGTGCCCGTTATCAAGCTGGATCTTGGAACGAAGTGATTGTACCTGTCAACACAGTGCACACACATGCACAAAAGTTAAACGTTGAAATTTCACGTTTGTTTGTCACGTCGACACGCGCTCCAACTCGAAAGAGGATTAAGATTTCATTTTGCTGGATCTTACCTGGAACAGTGCGCATAAAGCAAGTACAGAATATTGTATTGCAAAAACGGGCTCGCCGTAGACAGGGCGGTGTCGTATGGCTTTAACTTGACTGCGAGAAGTTCCAAGATGCTGGGCTTCAAAGCCCACATTCCGATAATCGAATTATTAGCGTTTGCTAAAACGATATAAGAGCGTAAGATTAATCGCGCTTGTTTTCAATCGTAAACTGATTACATCGGTAACGTGAAGCTTGCTCACCTATGTCCGAAAGCGCACGTAGTATAAACGTAACTACAATCTCAACGTCGCTCTTGGTGTATCTCAAATCGTTCAACGGATTGTCTACAACCAAGACATCCATGTCGGGTAGTATGAGTCTGTAAGCGATCTCCAAATCCGCTAGTATATAGCGATAAGATTCCTGCAATAACGGGATATTCTTCAGGCTTAGCAAGCTGTGATATACCCCCAGGCTCGCATTTTGAATGGGAATGGAATTTCGGAATCTTAATTTTAGCAGCATCGAATTCTTGCCGAGTAACGTGTGCACCAATTCCAATGGCAAGTTTGCGGATACCTCCTTAATTATTTTCGATATGACGGTCAACATTGAAATAATAGTATCGTCCCAAAAGATGTTGACTCTCTGTAATTGAAGGTCGACAAATTTATAGAGAAGTTCGTGATTCTTTGCGACACGGCTTTGAAGATAACCGAGGAGCAAGAAGGTGCATTCATTCGCGACTACGATCAACTCTTCTTTTTCTTCCGACAAATTTTCACTCAGTTTGACTTTGGGTTCCATCGATCGCAGGACGCTCATTAACAACTGTCCTTTCTCCTTGGACAGAGCATTCCCTTTGTCAGAAGGCACCTTGGAATTCTTCTTATCATTTTTCTTATTTATAACCAACGACTTCATCATTTTAATGAGATTTTCCTCGGTAATCTCGTCTTTACTGAAATATTTGGAAAGCGTCTCGACATGTTTCTGCGACGAGCTCATGTTTCTTATACATTTAATCAAGTTTTCCGTGTTATTGGATATTTCGGGCCAAGTGTCAGTCTCTTCTTCCAATTCGATCGCTTTGACAACGGTCTTGAGCATCTTGGACAGACACGTCGTTAGGAATGACCACTGTACGTTGGGAGATGCGAGATCTGGATTTAAATGCTCGGCTATGCTCTTCGTTACTGTGTTAAATACAGATATTAACGACGTGATTCGCAGAATACATTCCCTCGGTGTCGGGGACCCGTCGTCGCCAGGCGAAGTACGACCAGATTCGGGTGAATTCAATTCTTCGTCGTAGCTCTCCATATCCTCCAAGAATTGGCCTAGTAAGGTCAAAGTAAACTGCAGATCCGCTATCCAGAACGAGTGCAACTTTTGCAAACATCGACTTGCGTAAACGACAACTGACTTTTGTTGCGTGGAGTCGATGTGCCAACCCACAAGTATGTCTACGGTATCGCGGAAGTGGTTCGTGAACGTTTCTGGATAGGAATCTATGATGAGTAGTATAGCATCCACAGTCGCCACCAGTAAATCTGCTCTATCGACATTTTCTAATATTGATTGTAATTGGGACATCATTGGCTATAATGCGAACACGTTATGATTAATATTCATCGTTACGCTGTGTGACAAAAGCAAAAGTTAAAAAGTTATTATTTACCACGGAGAATTCCTTTAATTTAGATATCTTAGAATCCATCTTGAGCGTCTCGATAAGTGACTTAATTAGTAGACATTTTACATCATCTTTATGTTCCAATGAGTATTTGCTGAAGATCCAGTCTATATATCTAGAAACGTATACAAGTTTTGTGATTTTTTGTATCGTTAAATCACAAACACGTGTAAGGATACAGAATATATGTATATATAAATATAAACGTGTGTGTGTGTACTTCACACTACATTCATATCACTTGACTATGCGTACCTTTTAAAATCTTGGTCTACTACATATCCAATTCGACCCAAACATTTTGCAATCTGTTGCTTTGCCTCTTGACCAGGACCAGAGTGCAAAAAATCCAACAAACTTTCACAGATAGTCTCCAAGTTCCGTCGTATGTATCGTTGATTTTCAGGTGCGACGATACCTTCCTGCACTTGCTTGCAAAGCACCATGAGATGATCGTAATCATCTTCGCGGCACAATCGTCGCAGCAACTTGGAAATTCTCGAGTCCTCTGAAACAAGTGGGTTTTAGGTGAAGAGCAAAATTCACATAGAACAGGAAAAAGGTAGAAACGTATAAACACCACTCGCAATATACTCGTGATATTATTACCATTTATTCTTTTATCGTCATAGTATTTGCCCTGCGCGTTCTCATGATTTTTCAACGATTCTTGAAACTTGGGTCTAGATGTAGGGTGATAGCTAGGCTCTGAATTTGGTTCGCGATCATTGGGAGTCTTTTTAAAAGCCCTCCCACGTGTTCCACCCCTGGCACGATCTGCGGAACTGCCACCGCGCGCCATTCGAAATTCATTTCTTGGAACACCGCTGAGCCTGCCGTATATATTTCATCGCAAATTATTATTCTCTCAATTTACCAAAGATATGTATGATAAAGATATCAAGAATATAATCGGGACAAAGAAGAAAGTGAAAGATACCTTGGCTTAAATCTAGCAAAGCCGTGATCCGAAGAGTAGTTGGAGTTTCGAGGGCAAATGACCAGGGTGCTGCGTGGTACATTAAGTTCATTTACACTGTAACCACTTATCACGCCACTGCCTTCTTTCTCTAATTCCCCTTCTAGGTTTATAGACTCGTCTTGAGTCTCGGCGCACTTGGAACCACGTAGCCTCGTGCTAGTATTAGAGTTCCCACAGCTATTCATTACATTACTCTCCAAGTGGTCTGCATGACCCACACTTAACGAATGTATAACCTGTGGTTATCTAGAAGAGTGGTTATCGTTAATTATGCAATGCAACTACTAAAAAGACCCTATGAATATAATTGCAGGTTAAAATAAAAATTACAGATTAAAAGATCAGTGTGGGGAAAAAAATTGTATAATTTTGCTTTTCCGAAGCACAATTCTTTCAGAGAAATGGTCTTGTTACATACATGTACGATGAGCGTACATTAAAGAGAATATTTTATGTATTTAAGAGAAAATAAAATATATACATGTGTTTCTTTTTGATCAAGAATCTTTTTCCTATGGCATTTATCACGTACAAGACAGTTATATTGAGTAAACTGCAAAGTTAGGTGAGATCCAAGTATTCTCAACCAAGTATACATATAAAGTCTATTATCTGATGGTTAAGTTATCAAAAAGACAATACACTGGTCCAAATGTTGTAAGTATATTTCTTACGTTAGAATCTAGATGCCATTTCAGCTTTTACCACAAAACGAGCCATCTAACGATTTATTTATTAACGAGTATTTTTCAAAAGTTAAGACGATATGAGAGAAGATTGGTAGCATGGTGAGCATGTTGTCGTGTAATTAATTTCAATTTCTCACGTAGCGCGATTGAGATTACGCGTGCTCGGTATATCGTTATAAGCGTCTAACGTTAAATTTTCTAAAAATCGTGACTCCTATGTCGTGAAACATATCCACGTGGGACACATAGGCATCCGTTACAATCCGTTAGCCGCTAGCCCGAGCCGAGCGATGGAGAACTTAAAAGGGCATTGATCGTTGATTGCGTTCTCGATCTCGACTACACGCATGTTGACGCATCTTTCACGCAAGCAGCATCTGTGTTACCCTCCTTCTCCTCGCTCCTCTAAAACTCTTGGCAAAGCACTAATTTAGGTTTACGAAAAATCACTTCTCACCGATCTCGGGCAAATCTCGTGTAAATGAACGTTCAGCTGTGCAGAATCCCCGAGGATGGCTAGCAAACTTATCGCTTCGTATCGTCTCGCCAAGATACAAGGGCGAAAATCCGGATTTAGAGGTTATGAGAGGACACATTCAGTGTTCCCTGCTTTGGATTTTTGTCCTAGTCTAGCTCTAGATCGTCGGTGTCGGTGTCGGTGTCGGTGTGCACGCCAACCACCAACGCCATCATGATCATACATGCACGCGCACACACACACACACGCTTCTTCTAGAGAGTTTTCGTTTCCATTCGACACTCGACAGAGCCAAAATAGTCGAAGATTATACTCTAAATTAAATCACCGATTCACCGCGTTTTCTTGTCTCTTATTATCATCGATGATATCTCGCCTGATATTTCGTTTCTCGTTTAATTGAATTAAACGTATTTCAAGCAGTCGCGTGTATTCCACAACTGAGGAAACGAGCAAGCGCACGTGGACGTTACTCGGAGAATTATGTAGGAAGTTTCTCTTTCTTACTAACGTAATGCTAGGTCTACAATGAGAGTCGTAAGAATTGTCCAATCACAATTGAATTTGAGGAGAATAATCGACTGTGATTGGTCAATTCTTACGACTCGCATTGTAGACCTAGCATAAAGTCAGACGGAATACGGAATCACTTTCTAGGGAATAACACGTGATTCACAAGATGACCAATCGATATCTCGTTCTTTCAGAAACAAGGCTGATTAGCTGATAATGGCTATAAAATTGAGAGCTGAGTGGCTGCCGAGTGTCGCGCCGATGCCAAGCGTCAAGTTCTTATAACGAAGGATTGCGATTTGCGAAGGATACTTTATCCGTATGAAAAAAATTTAAATTTGATAGGTTTATAGATGTATAATTTTCTGAATTTGACACATAACTATATGGACTATCGACTTGATATGCTAATTTTACTAAACTTAAAGACTCTATCCTTTTTTGGCTTTATTATAAATACATCTATTCTTCTCATGCTAATAATTACTAGGTGACCTAATTGTAAGATATGCGCAAGCTGTGGTACAAAAGGATATAACATGTATCTCTCTCGCTCTCTCTCTCTGGATGAATTTACTTTGAATACATATGACAGAAACAAAGGACAATATCTTTCTCCGATTCGGGGCTTCGGGGCACGCAGTCCAGACTCCAGAATCGTAGGCTAGAAGTAAATTACGACTACGCTTCGTGTTCTGAACGCATTACAAAGTATTAATGATGCGAAGGTTGTCCTTTTTCGTTTTCTGGCTGTACTTCGGGGATGTGTGGCCAAACCGTTGGTTTATCAGGATTTATAGCATGTTCCGGATAACTATCTCGGAAATCTTCCATGGTCATCTCGGAGAATGGCAACAGACTCTTTATTCTATCAATTTCCTTGGTGGCAGTGGCGATGCGTTGATTCGATTCTTTGATAAAATCCTCAATTTTAACGTGCTACAAAGATCGCCTTGATTTAGAAACGAGGTTAAATGTAAGGAAACGTGACATTTTATGTTATTATAACGTAACGATGCCATACTATTTCCTTTTCTTGAGCCTCAACTTCAGAGGTGTATTTATCCACTGGATATGGCACTTTGAAGGATTCATATTCCTTTTGAAACTTGTCGACCAATCCAGGAATCGGAATACTTTTCTTGTAGTACGCCCAATCGAGTTTTGGGGGGGCTTCTGGATTTGCGTTCATTCTATAATGACAGAGAAATATATATAAAAACTATAATAAAAGCAATAATCCCTATTTGTATTACGATAGTAACCCTAACGTATCGTAAATCGTGACATAGGCCGTAACGTAATACATGTTATTTTTACATTCTACTAAAGACGTTACTTATAGGCGCGGCGCGGACGAAATACGTCCGCGGATATTTGATAAAAGGCTAGACGTCTGACATCTCGACAGATATGGGATGGATAATGGATAATGGAATGAGGTTTCATGCAAGACACGTCCTACGACACAGAGCTTATGCATAGCAAGTTTCAATTATTCTCGGCAAATTAAAGCAGATCTTTCATCCGAACGAACGTTTTTATTTCTTCCGCAGCATCTATTTAATAGGAGAAATATCTAATTTTTTTTATCAAAAGAAAACGAAGAACCGTATATTATATAATGGCCTGAGTGCGAATGTCAAAAGGGAGACGATATTCACTGACCGTCGCAGGTGCTGATCAGATTTAGCTTTGAAAGCGGTGAATGCAGCTTTCTCCGTCTCTGGAATTTTTTCGGCGAGCGCCGACCACGTAATCGCCTTGATCGCCCTACGTGACATTCTCTCCGTGCGTTTACGACTCGCGTTAACCAGTTAACCCAACGACCCAACAGTCAACACTTGCCACTTGCCACTGTCGATCGTACAGAGTACAGACGGCTGCTCGTGAGAACTGAGAAATAAATGCGCGCGCAGGGATACCAAAATGGCAAAATAAAAATATATCGATCACACGTAATCGCAACAACGATCTATTCTGTTAATTGAGTTATCATGGGCATGAAAAATATTTGCAAGTCACGTGAAACAATAGTTGTTTGCGAATAGAATGGAATAGTAAATATACATGTACGCTATATATGTACTGCGTATGTATGTATGTGAATTTTGAGCGTGGAGCACTCTCTCTCTCTCTCTCCCTCTCTCTTTTACCATCGCGATCAAAATCAAACCAGTGAATCAAACGCGATCGCGCTTGAATCGATATATCGAAAGGAGCAGCGATTTGGTAGCGCCAGCGGCCAGCGGTACGTCGTCGTCGCGTCGCGTCGGTCATATAAAAGTCGGTGACGGCGAGGCCCGAGGACGTGCGACGTCGACGGTGGTCGGCGGTCGGCGGTCGGCGGTCGGCGTCGAATCACGGATACAGTGGATGTGGATACACGGATGGCGGATGGCGTGGCGCGTGGCGGGATTGGCGGGGAGCGTTGCGCGTTACATCTCGCCGTCTCGCGGCTCGCGGCCATGGGATCGATAAAATAGAATGGCCGGCCCGGAAGGAGAAACGGAGAGGGAGAGCGGGTACGAGGAAGATGACAGGTTGGCGGCGTTGGCGCGGGGTACTCGGGGTAGGCCGGGTACGGGGTACGGGTAGGACCGCGGGTGGGTGGAGTGGGCGGCAGTGTGGTGGCGGTGGTGACGGTGACGGTGGTGGCGGTGGCAGGCGGCGGTGAGCATAAAGAGGATAGGATAATATCGGTGCGCGTCCTCCCGCGGAAGTGTCCTTTCGCGGGGCCTCGTACTCCAACTCGTTTCGTATCGATATAGCCTTTCACAGCCGCGATCTAGGACGATGTAGTTATGCCGAAGAGGAGCACGCGGCATGTGAGGGAGTTGGGGAACGCGACGAGTACTCAGCAGCAACAGCAGCAGCGGCAACAGCGGCAACAGAGGCAGCGGCAACAGCAACGGTCGTCGTCGCCGCCGTCGTCCGGTGCGGCGACGGCGACGGCGACGGCGACGGCGACAACCGTCTCGAAAGTGGCGGAAGCAGCGAGACACTTTTGTAGCGTACATATCGGCGTGACCAACAGCGACCGCTGGCTGTCGTTGAAGAAACGCTTGAGCCTGACGACCGACGAGGATGTCGCGGTGTACTTGCTGGACCTCGCTGAGTCCGCCGTCGCCACTAGGTACGTTTCGTTTCGGGAGCATCCCTCTTGTCGCGACTCGCGACCGTGCCCGACGACACGACTTCAATGTCAACGTCAACGGACGCGCAATGTCGCGTCGCGTCGCGTCGCGTTGCATTGCATCGCAAGGCATCGCATGATCGCATGATCGCATCTGTCGACGTCGCGCACGGGCCACCCGCAGTCACCCAACAAAGCAGCCTAGCTAGCTGTCAAGCTGTCACACCGCACGCGTTTGGCGGCTTCGGCAGCTTCGGCGGCTTCGGCGTTCGGCCGTCGGTCGGCGTCCGGTTCTCTCGTCCCTCTCCCCTCACTCCCCTCCTACTCTCCTCGAACACGTTTCGTCGAATCGCCATCTTGCGGAGATGACGCGACGCGACGCGACGCGACGCGAAATCGATCGATATCGTTGCGGAAGGCGCACGGTTTGAAAATCGCGTGTAAAAACCGGCGTTTGCTTTTTTTCACGCAGAAACGAGTAGCTAGAATTCCCGGACGTAGGTTTTTCCAAATTTTATTTCTTCAAGTCTCCCTTGGACTATTTCTCGAGTAATGCTTTAGATTTATAAGAGTTTAGAGAATAAACGTCCGACCTTGGATAAACCTTTGCTCGTCCACGTTTTCATTCCCGTCATTCCCGATTTATTCGTAATATCAGATTGACAGCGTTGATGCGCGACCCTGTGTAACGACTCTGACAACATTTATTATACGAATGAGAATGTGAGAAATATATTCAAAGAGATGCAGACTCTAACATATCTACGTGTAAAACTCTAAATCTTGTTATGCGCGCACATAGGCAACGGGCTAAATGCAATGGGGCAGAGAACTGGAAGGCGACGCAGGACCGCAGCGTTCGAGACGAGGAAGCTATCAGGACTGAAAGTTCGGACAAGGAAGATGACGAGCAACAGGAGGAGGAGGAGGAGGAGGAGAAGGAGGAGCCCGTTCGCAAAAGTTCGAGGAAACGAGATCCCGCGAGATCGGACATTATCGAGATGCGGGATTCCGCCCGTGCGATAAGCGAGAGCGTGTCGGAGGTGATGGACGATGCGATCAAGTTGCACGTGCGACGTAGTTCGAGGTCGAAGCATCACAAGAACAAGACGAAGCATCGAAGCAAGGACAAGCGGAAGAAGCGGCGACACACGAAGAACGGTGCCGAAGATAGCGGCTGCATTGGACTAGATAGATTCGAATGTGCCAGCGAGACGGCCCCAGACGCGCGAAACGGTTCGATGGAGAGCAGGGATTTGAGTACGCGCGAGACGACCGTAATCAGTGAATTAAACCCTAACGTAAACGTAAACGTAGAGAGCTTTAGACGTGGTACGAAGGGCGTTATCGAATCCCCTACGACCAAGACTGATCACGTAGATAGTGTTATATTTCGAAACGATGTAAATAGTGTGACGATTAGCGGCCCCAGGTGCAAGGTGAAAGCGATCGGTGTACCTGCGATCGGCGGTTCGACGAGGGATACCTTAGAGGATAATAGAATCACCAAGTTGCATTTTCACGATCCAGCAGCGTCGTCTCTTCCGCAACACGCGCGCAACACCGAGGATTTAAGCAATCCCACTCCCAATGTCGACGGCACTGCCCGTCCCGCGGCGGCGGCGGAGGCGGCACCTCCGAAGGAAAACGAGGCCAGGTTGACGCGCCGCGCGGAATCGCACGAGTACAAAGACGCAACGTTCAGCGATGCGTCCAAGAACCTTGGCGAATCCAAGGACACGGAGAATCGCAAACTGAAAAGGAGACGGAAACGTCCACGTCGCGATGCGTATATCGAGGACACGTCCGCGAGGGATCTCTCCGAGACTAACGCTTTAAACGAGGCTTCGGTGTTGAAACATCGGCGAAAGAAGCACAAGCATGCGAGCGAGCACAAAAGCAAAAAACATCACGACGTACGAAAAGCGCCGCAGGACGGCATCGTTGTTCAAGAGAAAGCGCGAAGCGCGTGTCCGCCGGAGGCCGAGCTGCTATCTTCGACGGCAGGAGCCGACGGAAGGAGCGCCGAGAGCACCCAGGGCGCCCAGGCGGGCCCCTGTCCGGATGACCCCGACGACCCCGACGACGTCACGTCAGAGCCACAGAGACTCGCGATCAAGATCAAACTCTGCCAGGAATGCAACAGCCGTCATTTGCAGGACGCGTGTCCTTTGACGACGTCGCAATACACGATAGCCGACGCCATCTCCCACGACCAGTGGCTGAACCGGCACAAGGAGCACGCCGAGATAATGATAGCCGTCAAGTCGAGAGATCCAATGTCGGAGGGCTACGGCAGATTAGCGTACGACGGCTTCGAGTCGGATGACGAATCGTCAACGTCCAACGATCAGTGCAAGGCCAAGCCGAAGGTGCGGAGGGAGGAGAAGCAGCTGGTGGTTGAGGTGGATCGGCCGCTCTACGCGAGGGATTCTCTCCCGGATTGTCTCGAATTGAAGATCACAAACACCGATCACGGTCTCGGCATCTACGCCACGAGCCCGATTCCGATATACGCCAAGTTTGGCCCGCTTGTCGGCATACCGATCAGAGAAATGGACATTCCCGATGATTTCTCCATGCGCCACATCTGGGAGGTACTATCGTCATTTTGGTTCATTGCCATTCTGATAATCTTACCCGTTACCCCTTACAACGCTTACTTGCTTACGCATCGACACACATTCGTATTGCGGAAGCACGTTTTATCGAGGGAATAAATTTTTATCTTTTTCTTTTCAGATAGATAATAATGGGAAGAGTACGTATATCAGTACTACAGATCCACTGAAGAGCAATTGGATTCGATACATCAGACCAGCGGAGACCAAGGAGAAGAGAAGCATTGCGGTGATCGCTAAGCACGGCCAACTATATTTTGTCACGACTCAGACTATCGTATCGGGGATGGAGCTCACTTATTGGGTAGAGTCGCAATCTTCCACGTGGACGAGAAAAAATAAAATCAATAAAACGAGTACGTGTGTACAATATCTGTCAAACTATAATACGTTACTAATACGTATCTCTCTAACGGAATCTTTCACCATCATTTGCATCGCATTTGCTTCCAGATTGTGGGGGATGTAACCTTACTTTCACACACTCGATATATTATCGATTGCATTGCTGCATCTTTCACGACATGAATTATAGTTTAACGATAAGAAAATATCATTGCAAGGTATTTTATATTCTTGACTACTGTCGTATTATATTTAAATGAAGACGTGACTGCTCTTTGACTTAAATGAATTATCTCGTTTCTTAGGTTTGCGGCGCCACAGTGCTCGGCAAGGATAATATCATGAAACACGCAGCGGAGTTGCACGAGGGGCGCGGCGCGTATCAGTGTCAATATTGTAAAAAGTTTTTCTTAAGGCTAAATTACTTAGAAATGCACCGAACCTATGGATGCTCACAGAATCCGCATCGGGCCCGACCGTTGTGCGATTACTGTGGCCGCAAATTCTGTCAGCCGCAAAAACTGAAAGTACACATCAAAAGGATGCACAACGGTAATAGCGCACAGTGTGTCGATTCCTATGCATCTATCTATCTTTTTATTATTATATTTATATGCAATATGTGTTTTTGTGCAGATATGGCCGAGGTGCTTAGGGAATTTCAATGTAAATTATGTTTGAAACTCTTGGGTTCTCGCGCGGCTCTACAGCGACATATGAAGGAGGTTCATCACAAGGACGTTATTGCCGCGGCTACGTGCGATCGATGTGGGAAAATGTTTCAGAATAAAAGCAATTTGAAGATACATATGCTGACTCATAGTGGGGTGAAACCATTTAGGTAAGGTTTCTTCACTGATATGTTATTTTTCTTTGTAATGAGTGTACATATAGTTCTCTCTTTTGTTCACCAGGTGCAAAGAGCACGGCTGTAAGGCAGCTTTCACCACGAAACAGTGTCTACAGTTTCATTACAAGAAGGTGCACGGCCTTACAGAGGAGATGATGCCCAAGATCGAGAGGTCCGTGGCATACACCTTCGACGCGTACAGCGGTGGCCTCACCGGTGATGATGTGCCTTGTGGAAGGATTATTCAGTCCGGTATAAGAAATTCACAGGTGAGCTATCGTTAATATATAAGCTTATTAACATATAACATTAAGCAAAATTTCTCTTTTCATCACTTGTACAGCAGGACAATAGCAACAGTTTACCATCTCTGGACGACTGTAGCTCGGAGAGCAGCTTGAAAGCAGTCGAAGCATCGACCCCAGTATCGGTACCAGTACCAGTACCGGTACCGGCATCGGTACCGGCAGCACCGGTACCGGCACCGGTACCAGCACCAGCACCGGCACCGGCACCGGCACCGGCACCGATACCAGCAACAACATCGGCATCCGTATCAACGTCAACACTGACACTGACACCGACATCGACATCTACATCTACATCTACATCTACATCGATATCGGAGTCAGCAACGGGATCGGCACCAATAGCGATATCGATATCGGTATCGGTATTAGCATCAGGGCCAACGGCAGCAGCGACGGCAAATTCTGCTCACAATGTTATCGTGGAATCGTTGCAAAGTGAGGCAAGTTCTACGGTGAAATATAAGGAACAACAAGAGCCTCACATTCCGTCTACGCAAACCACGTCCTTATCTGGTGGGCTTGACGCGACGACGATAGAAAATGGGCAGACGGAAGTCGATCTATATGACACATCGAGGACGTTGAGCAAGGGGAGCAAAAAGTGGCTGACCGAATTCAATCCGCCACCTACGTCCGACATCGGTGTTCATTTACCGGCGGTCTCGGTACCGTCCTCCGATATTTATGATTTTGAAGATGGCAGAAAGGATGATGTTAGCGAAAAAACGGTCTCGCGTAATAACGCGACGACGCCGAATCTTATGGAGAGCGATAAATTGCGATTGAACGTATATCGGAGTAGGCCGGAGAGCGCGAACGCGAGTTTGCTGGTTGAGGCGGCTCTGGATGCCGCTGAGAGGGATATAGGAACAGTGTCCAGCCCGATTTTGGAGGACAACGATCGCGAGGCCAATCTCTACTCCATCTCGAGCCAGCTGCAGTCACCGATACCGCAGTCGCGGTCACCGAATCATCTGAACTCGTACATTGTACAGCAAGAAGAGGAATTGATTTCGCCCGCACCGACTCCGGACGACAGGCATACTCCACCTAGCCACTTACACATGGATTATCATCTGCATCGACCGGTCGATTACATCAATACCTCGCGGACGCACAATATCGAACAGTATCTACATCACGAGGACCTGCCGCGAGCCTCTCCACCGAATTACATACACATGCAACAAGAAGACTTAGTGTCGCCATCAGCAACGCCGAATCACCGCTACCAGGATATGCATCATCATCAAGTGCCGACGGATAATTTGTCGAGCGACGAGGGTGACTCGGTGGCGCAGAATCTTAGCCTGTCCGTGAAGGAGAAGACGTTGCAACTAGATCTGTCGACGTCCTACAAGTACGACTCGCTCGAGCAGGATTTCACCCGGGAGAGATCCAACTTTGAGTCATTGGTGCTCAACAGTGGCGAACTTCAGGGTTTAGACATGTCGGCTCGGAGTTTTCACCACAGTTTTGGTGCCCAGATGCAAAACACTCGCTATCATCATCATCATTTGTACGACATTGGCGAGCGACAAAGCGTGGATCTCAGCAGAACGGGCAATTACTCTATGTCGCCACCCCCGCCGCCACCACCTTATCCGCACAACGAGGTTGTGCGAGTGGTCAGCTTGGATCTCACTCCTGGCAGACACAGTGTCGATTTAAGTCTTTCCAGATCGCACCATCTGCATGGATCTGGTACTCGTGTCATCACCAGCCCACAATCAGTCGGCTCGACTACGACGCACGTGGTACCTGACACCAGTGAAAGTCGAATGCTGTCTCCACCTCCACCTCCCTTATCTGGATACAATCCCAGTTATCCCGTCAGTCCGGCTCCGTATCATCCTCCGAGATCTGGTTACCATCATTATCCTGGTTATTATTGATCGTCATTGGCTAATGTCGTAGCGGTGTTTGTAGTCAACGTCTTCTTGGCGATTTTTATTTTAGATATCTTCGAATCCCGATCCTTTTATTTTTAGTAACTTTTATCTCTAAACGAATGGTTTTGTTTTTTAGTTTTTCGTTATTTATTTAAATATGTATTGTTTTTTGCATCGCGATACGCTCGCATCGCAAGCGGAAACTGCCATTTTCATACGTTACAAATTCTTTATTCTCACGGTATATTTAATATTCAAGTCGGTGATAACGAAAATTTTGGCGCGCGCGATTAAAAAAGTTAGCGAAAAAAAAAGAAAGAACAAAGCTTTTAGACTTGAGTAGACGATGGAGAAATCAATGATATCTTAGACAGTCGGTCGTAACGCCGTCTTTTAACGCGATAAATGCACAAACATGTACACGGTACATCCACGACGTTCAGAACAGATGTTATTTTTTTAAAAAAGTCAAGTAGCACGAGATTTTATGAAGAAAGATATATTCCAGAATGATCGGGGGTAAGTGTCGATAGAGGAAAATTTATTTATCCGTAATTATATAGCTGTTAAATTATTTATCGTTTATCCTTTTTCGATAAACTATATATGCAGAACGTGTATGATGCGTGATGAGTATATAGAAGAGTACATGAGTTTATAGAATGATCGTTGAAGAGGTGAGGGAGGAAAACAGAATTACGTCGTGATCCAGTGCCACGTCCGTGATAATTAAGATTTTTAAGAAGTTGTTACTTACCTCTTAGCTTACATATATTCTTCTATTTCGGACCTATACTCCACCGAGAAATACTCCATTTAACGTATGGCTTTGGTGATGACAGCAGCATTCCAGAGCAGCATAATTCTTGCAAAAATTATGCGTTAAAAACTTGGAAGTTAAATTAAATTAGAAAGATGGCTGTTGGCAATATTTTAACAAATCGCGAAAATTCTATTGTATTTAAACGCGTAAATTCTTTTAATCGCGTTTAACGATAAAATTGTCTCAAAATATGTATCGTTTCTACAAATGGTTTGTAAAGTATATGCGTGCTCTGTGTGCTACCTGGGATGCTCTAATATGTATTTGTGAAATTGTCAAGATGCCTAATGCGGTAGCTATAAGTATATCTCTGCATGGTGATAACAGATTGTAACGTTTGTTTTTATTCTAGTCATTATACTATGAATTAGCAAAGGCGATTCTAAGTATAAGTTACAAATATTTCAGCGATCGCGCGAATAGTTTGTCCAAATACATGTATTTTATTGCGAATGCAAATTCTCTCAAGAGAATTTGTACGAATTTTGTTTAAAAGAATCTTACGTTTTCTCGCCGATCAATCTCGCGAGGAAGATTAGTGATATCAACGTATTCCATTATTGAAATAAAGCTCTACGTTGCAAGCTTTATTTTATAAAGCTTGACTCAATAATATGTATTACGTTTCATTAAACATTAGACATTATTTACGCTTAAAAAACATGCATGCGCGAGCGACTGTTTCTTTCTCTCCAAAAAAGGGAGGTGCGCGTGAGCGTACGTGTACACGCACACGCATACATATCGACGTGTTTCACGCAAATATGCGCATGAACGCAATTTATCAGCTCGCATGTAAGTACGTTAATTTTCGTGTCGCTTCCAGGTTTCTGGATTTACTCTCTCTAGCCATTTATCGAAACCAAAGATCTAAAAATATTGTAACTCTTGTGCCAAATCGAAAGGCGCTCATTGTTATATATTATATTGTATACACACAACTTTTAGCAGAACGTAGCGATTAAAGATGGGGACAACGTTGTCTCTGTCACTTTTGCCATACTTGGTTGATTATTTAACTACGCTTCACTCATACACATGCGCGGAAAGTTTTACGATTATTCTAAGGATATTTTGTTAATCTCTTTTATGTAGTTTTTTTCCACTAAGTATTTCTGCCATTAAAGATAGTTACCATCTTATCTTCGCTTTCATCACGTCGATTTTTATTTAAATATAAATTTATTCGCGCTACGTTTTTATTTCTTTTTTCCATCGTAGTTTGTACATTGTGCATAATAAGTAAGGACAACAAACGAGATACATCTATTAAAATATAAATATATATATACATATATATATATATATATATATATATATATATATATATATTTGCGTGTACATGACAAAAAGAAAAATTCAAAAGAAATGTTTACGAGTACAAAATGTGGCACAGACTATATTTGTATCAGGTTTATCGACATTAATATTGTAAGTTATATTAATATATATAGAACATGGCAATGATTAAGCAGAGAGATGTATTTTCTTTTAATCAAAATTATCCTTTTTACTGATGAGGAGGGGGGAGGGACGGGGATTAATTTTACAGGAATAAAAGATGCATTGATGCAATTTCTTTTCTTGACAATCTCGTCCCCGACTGAAATGATTCTCTGTATAAAACAAATCGTTTTATGCTACGATAAATATAAAATATAATAAATGTAAGTGCGCATGTGTGCGTAAATAACAAGTATATATTTTGGAAAAAAGAATTCTTAATCGTTTTACGATACTTGATCGAAAACTACTGCGGAATTAGGATATGTAAGTATAGAGTAGAGGAGAGAAATTAGACAAATAAAAAATCATGATGAAATATTATATTTACAATTTACAATATAAAGAATAAACAAGTGTGGACTGTATGGGAGCGAAAGTAGAGGAGATATTGTATGTCGATAACGCATCAGTTTCTTCAATTAAATTATAGCTTAGAGCTTAGCAGATTCATCGGACAGAGGTTAATTTGGTTCGGTTTCCAGCTTCTTTTCGAGATTCAGGATTCAGCATTACAGTAATTGAGCCCAGCCGATTCAGCGTAAATATAAGTCATTCTGGTCATTCAGCCTTCAGCCTTCAGCCTTGAGCCGTTCAGCGTCTTCCTGCGATGATAGGGGCGGAATACGCGGTCGCCGGGAGAGCGGAATAAGCGGAATAAGCGGGATAAGCGGAATAAGTCAATGGTGCAGCCGCTACGTATGGGGCGGCTATGGCATGATTGATGGCGTGTGCGTTGTAACTCGTGGCGTAGGTTCCGACTGTCAGAGCCGCGGGCACCGCCGCTGGAATCGCCGGAATCGCTGGAACCACTCCGGCGGAGCAGACCGAGCAAACGGCCACGAGAGCGCCAACAAGAACCTTCAACATATGGATTATATATTATATTATACATATAGAAACTAGAAACCTCCTCTATTATTTCATTAACGCCATATTAAATACGGGTATAGGTATACAAGTAATTAATTGCGGATTACTTTTACTTTATGTAAAAAAAATTATGTGTCTGGAAGATTTTATATGTATACCTTTAAATTTAAATGGAAATGCGTGTACGTGTATATATATATATATATATATATATATATATATATATACATATATATAGGTATGTATGTATGTATATGTATACACACACGCATACACATGTTTAATCAGAACATGTATATTTAAATATATATGGAGATATTTTCTTATATATTCAATATTAGTAAAAGACAAACATAAATATTCATTAACAAGTTTATCAAGAACACTTATGTATTTATTACATCGAAAGATTAATTTCTTTTTTATTTATTGATGTTATTGAGTATTATTTAATAGGGCAACACAAAAAAGATATTACTTACAATTAATTATGTTTATAGCGCGAAAACATACTATATATCAAATTATATTGAGTAACAAAATAACTTACAAAGATTTTGGTCATCATTTTAACTGCGGTGCGTAAGTGATTGTCTCGCTGCGAAAACTGCGATGCCTATTCTCGATTACTTGGGTCTCTTTTATATACACATCGTGCCTTCCCTTACGAGAACAAAGATTCTCCCACCATGAGCACAATTTGTTGTACAACTCACATGCGGGGGCACATCCGGAATAATTTACTATGACCGGTCTCCGTGAGTCCGTGATCGTGCCGCATTTTCATTATCACTCAAGTCCTCCCTGATACGTATCTTGTCTGAGATACATATATGACACGCTCTTTAATAATGAGGATAATAATAATGATATTTGTATACACATACATAAACTCAAACACGTAAAATCGATAATTAATTATTCTGCTCACAAATGGATGGATGAGTCGACATCACGTACATGTATGAGTCGATAATGCAAGTCTAATCCATCTGTCGTAATTGTGTTACCGTCATTATTGATCGCTTTCCTTGCGCAAAACCTGAATGCGTAATCTAAATCTCACTTTCAAAAAATTTGCAGAATTCTATCGTGTTTTATTTTATAATTTACTAATTTATTAACTAAGTAAGTATATATTGAACGGAAATGCAAAAGTGCAATCTCGGAGTAATGTATATATCTTCTTTACAATTCTTTTGCTTTTAAAATTGTGGAAAAAATTATTTATGCTCAATTATTATTTTCTTGACCTAATATTATATCTAATTGTCTCCTATTTTTGTTCCCTTCAGAGAAGGGAACAAGAGATGTAACATTTGTTTATGTTTGTCGCATTTCTATTTTATTTCCTATATGAAGAATCATTATACACCCGCGTGCGCGCGCAATGTGTGATTCCGTGATTTAATTGTAAGATTTCAAGAGAGAATATAAGAGAGGTATTATGTATATATAATATTTCATTCTTTTCAAGAGTTAGTTATACATATAATACGTATATGTATATACGTTCTTGGCCGGATCTCTTTTCCGATCGGCACGCTTCTTTGTGAAGAGATATCAAAGGGATAGAACGAAAGCCCGGGATCAACGATCGAGCCTTCGTGCCCTCGAACGGATGCTTTACTTTACTTTATGCAAACGATCGCTGGGATTTGTTTTTGCCGTGTCATCGTCCATCGTCGTCGTGATGCGCGATCAGAAGCAGGATATAGGTATCTTCCAAGGTTGCGAGATTGCGATGTGGTTCGGCGAGATTCGAGTTTCCAACTCGTGCAGCCGCCGTCGCCGCCGCCGCCGCCGTTCGCTCAAGTAATCAGGCTGAAGGCTTTCGATGCACGCATTTCTTTCTTGTCCCGTTCGTGCAGGTTGATCGTCGCAGGTTGCATCTTGCGCAAGAACGCGAGAACCTGGTCCTGGTACTCGAGAATCCGGAGAATCCAACGCGAGGCGAGGCGAGGCGATTCCTCCTATCTAACGATATTTCTTCGACATTCGATCGTTCGATAACAATCACTTTCGTTTCGGTGTCCGATGTCGACCGCCTCGCGGTCATGTCTTAATTCTGACGCACTTTCCTCGGGTACGTGATCCACTTGCCGAAGAAGCGTTACGTTACGTAAATCGTCAGGTATCTAGAATTCTAGATTATCGGTGTGCGACCCAGAACGTCACGCTAAAATCGCGACCAGTATTGCAATGACGATTTTGGGCTTTGGGCGCGATCCGAATCGGGAATATTTCGGGATTATAATTAACTCACCCCCGGCCCCCGAAACCCCCTAATCGAACTAACTAATTTATTAGATTTAAACGTATTTAAGTTTAACTAAGGATAATGAAATAAAATGCTTATTTTCTCCAAGATATACGAGTACAATATTAGATTGGATGTAAGTAAAAAAATATAAGTTATAGAAAGGGGGAGGGAAGGGAACAAACATAATCATTATGTATAGGACGATATGGCGATAATATTGTAATATAGGAGATGTAACGTACCGGCAAATTTCTCAAGATAAAAAATGAATTTGATAATATAGCTTCAAGTGAGGTTGCGAAAAGACAAAAAGAGCTCTAGGTTCGTCTTTTCTATCCAAATCCGAAACCATGTATACGCGACAGCCTTGATAGAACGATAGGCTGAATCCCACAGGTCGCTTGTCTTTGTATCCGAGATATCTACTCAATCGGAATTATGTAAACGAGAATGGCGTGGGTCGCGTTACGTAATCCTCCCTGCTGCCTAGGTACGTGGTCGAATACAATGTATGGCAAGGTTGCGCGACAGGGAAAATGATTACGTGGAACGCGTCCAGCGTCCAGATCGGCTTACGGCTGATGGCTAACGATTAGCGAATAGCTCTATTCGTATAATACGTTAGATGAAATTAGCAGTCGTCGAGCGTACAAGTCCCATAGATCCTTGGATTCGTACATGTTATTCCGTTCCGTCGCGTCGCGTCGATTCGCTTGAATCTTGCGATCTTGCCCTCTCGCGTGAGTCCTCGGCGCGCAAGACCTCGCGTTAGACGTTAGATGGTCAACTCTGAATCCTTGGAGGCCTTGGAGCGCCGCGTTTCTCAATTCCCGGGTATGATCGAGAAACCGAATATAGTTTCAACTTCAACTCGCGCGTCTTTGGGCGGGTACAAGTATAGGGAAAGATGGAACGCTCAAAAGAAAAATGACAGATGTAAAGCTATCGCGACTATCGCGAGTCGCGAATCGCGAGATGCATGAGGCCCGTAAAAGGAAGAAAGGAAGGAAGGTAATAAAGAGATAACGAATGAATGACATTGCGTGTTTTTTTTTTTTTTAGAAATTAAGGCATTTGCGGACAATGCTAGTAGATATCACATTGCAATTATCAGATTATCACACTCGTCACTGTTTCGCTGGCTATTAATCCAAGGTCGTTGAATTGTTGCGAATCTGCAGTTGAATTGTTGTGACGAAAACATCGGCGCGCGGCATCGAAAGGAAAGCCACTTGACGATGCTCGTCGTGCTCGTCGAGAGAGAGTCGTGCCAAGAGAGAATGAGAGAAAGAGGCGCGGTTGAGACGCGGTGCTCGTTAACCAGGAGGTGGAGGTACCGACGGCCTTGACGAAGTGCCAGATGGGGGTCGAACAAAGCGCTATAAAGGCTTTTGCTTTTTCACTCGAAAAGCAGAACCCTTTCTTTCCTCGCTTCGAGTATAGCACTCTCGATACTAAACCGTTCAACATGTTCAAGCTGGTAAGTTTCTACCAAGGAACTAAACGCTTCTACGCGCTGAGCGCCTTTAAAATTATTTCATTCCTCCGTTCAGTATAATATAGTTTTTAATAAGAATATTATTCATTCCTAATCGTGATCAATTATCATTTATCATCGTTTCACATTCTTTACAAAAGGTAAGGCGCGCACATAAAATCTGTTAGAGAAGCGCGACTGTTTTCTGCTTCTTACCTAAGTACTGTTTTTATTCACCATTTTTTTGTACGTGTGCTACTGATAAACGCGTGTAAACATATATTAATGCGTTTCTCTCTTTCTTCTTTTTTCTATGAACCATATCGCGTCGTGATATTTGATATTCGCTAATAAACGATTGTTACATTTTTTAGTGTATTCTCTCCGTTCTTTTGACTATCGTTTGCGCTGCACCCGCACCTACGCCGGGAGCAGTTTTGGCGGCACCGGCGGCAATCGCGGCAGTGCCAGCTCTGTCAGCACTGCCAGCTCCGATCGTGACGGCCAGTAGCAGCCAAGTGGTCGCCAGGAATTACAACACGCTCGCCGCGGCTCCGCTCGCCGCGGCTCCGATCAGTCCGATCGCCTACGCTCACTACGCTGCGACGCCCCTGGCAGCTTACGGCACTCATGCCATTGCACCTGCTGCGTACGCTGCCTATTCCGCACCTGTCCTACTGTAATTGTAAATTGTAATTTGTATAATTCATTGAAAACCGAACTCGACTCTATTTCGACTCGATTCTGCAATTGGATTCGAACTTAATCTCAAGTGATGTCAAGCTTTTGTAATATATCCTGGTTTCAATAAATCCAATTTTTCCATCTCAACTTTTATGGTATTCTTATCCTCATAATCTGCATCTACTTTGTTGATTTACGATTTACATATTTCTGAAAAGATTTCCTCTCTTCTCGCTACTCGCTACGGTCAGATAAAGCTTTCTTATTTAATCGTAAGAATAAACTTTATTTTTAATTCAGTCATTGTGATATACTTTAATAACATTATCATTAGCTTTTATCATATATTTAAATATTATTATATAATAATATTTATACAAGCACGTCAGACGTTTTTGGTGTAAACACACACAAACGTGAACGGCGAACGCGTATCTTATATATATCTCTCTAGAAATCTTCCTTCGCTTAAAATGAAGGAAAGCGAGCACTCGAATAATATACGTGATACGAGTTTAATTCGCTTAACAGAAAAGAGTGCCCTAGGCAGTTTATGTCAAGCAGGTAATCAAGGAAATAAAAGCAAATGAGAGAGAGAGAGAGAGAGAGAGAGAGGAGAGAGAGGGAGAGCGAAACTCGTTCGCCCGAGATCGTCGCGTGGCCTCTGCTAGTATAATTTTCTCAATACGGTCAGTCCTGTTTTGGTACTTAGTCTCCCTTCTTCTCGCTTAGTCAACCGGATCTCATCAACCAACGGAGAGAACTTCAAGGTGACGCCCGCATATTTTTTTTCAAGTTCAAGTTCGTCGAGTCCTCTGTCGGTCTGTCCGCGTGCGGAACGCCGCACGCCGCGCCACACCGCCTTAATCGGTGCTACGCTTGTCCGCTCGAAATTATATGGACCGATCTCTCTCTCTCTCTCTCTCTCTCTCTGTCTCTCTCTTTCTCTCGATACCATCAATAACAATATGTTAAACAGCGCGCTGCCTTCGGTTAACCTGATTAAATCCCAATTAAAAATAACATGTCAACAATATGAAGAAATAAATACGATCTTTTCCACCTAATAGTTGTCGCTTTTAATTGATCCTCATCTCTTTGATTTGAAACCTTTAATGGCAATTGGTTGCTTTATGTACAAATTAATCCGACATATGATAGTGCTAATGACAGCTTTGTAAAAATATTAATTTTTTATAATAAATTACTTTATACGCGTTATATTTACTTTCTTAATAATTTGTGTTAATTTGGATGCACGTACGAGTTCGCTTTTTGCTTTCTTTGGCTTACTTTTCAGATATTCATCATGGAAAACGAAAAGGTGAACGAAAATATAGACGAAAACGAAAAAGAAACGCGCGAAACATCAGATATGTTTTTTTCTGTATGCATCTCTACGTGCGTTAAACGTCGCCTTTGACGTAATGGAAGGAAGCAGTTTAACTCTCGCTAGAGGAAATCGAAACGTGGAAACAAAAATCTCGTTTTGCTCGTTTTGCTAGGCAGCCCCATGCGAGCATAAAACGGGCCGATAAAACTTCTTTAGTCGAAAGTAAATCGACACCTACTCGTGACATTAAAAGACTAACAATGAGGGTAAACAGTCATTTCGATTCTTTTTCCCTCGACTCTCGACTCGCGAGAAATGCGGCAGTTCCATTCTTATTTGTCATTATGCAAGGATGCAAAGTACATCTGTCAATTGGACAACGCGCCTTTACTTGTAATGTAATCTTGCATTTCACGCATTGACAACGCACTGGTCGCGGCAGGAATGGCAGGATCGAAGAATAAATAACAGAGCGCAAGTACATAAATTAATCTGTGAGATGTTACAGTTGGTAAAGAGGTGTTACAGGTTACAGAGAGGTGAATGTGCAGTTGTTAATTATATTAGTTTATCCACGGTGTGGTTCGGGGAACATTTACCTATAATTACGGGGAATGTTGCCGAAAGTTCAAAGCAAGTGAGGCTGCTTTTCTAAACTGATCAAATCGACATGTAGGCGTGAGTGTATAAATACACTAATTAATTTAACGCATCATGATAAAAGCTAAATGCAGTTAATTAATATCAGCGTTACTTGAGAAATAAAGTATCGATATCTTGACAAGCTTGTTAGATATAAATCATGATCCGTCAATGCTAATGATAATAATAATTAATCATCGATCATCTGCGATAATCCGTTATTTGCAATTTTTTCGAACGAGTTATTAAACAAATGTTTAAGAAACATTTATTATAAATAAGTAGAATTAGGCATACATCAAAACAAGGCATTACGTGATGATTTCCAATTGTAAGATTCGAAACTTCTGTACGTGATATTTGTCACAATAGAGTCTTTAAAACTGCTTTACATAAACAATCAGGACAAATCTTTATTACTAGATTATTATATAAACATTTATTAAACTTTTATTACAAGTAAATTACTAATCCGTAATTCTAATAGAAAGAGAGAGAGAGAGAGAAAGAGAATGCAATATTATAAAATTAAAAATTTATTCGCAAAATTGATATTACCCGATAATTATATCACCTATAGATGATATTATAGATGAGTTAAATAGCATTTTGCGATATATACATAACAGGTTTATTTTATTTGTCGAGAAGCTCTTGTGGAGTACATAAATATATGTACACACTACACAGTACATATACTCCTATTGGCATCCAATCCCATGGAGGCAGAAAAGGAGAGTAGTCTGACCACGCCTGGCCGTCATGGGCCGTCATGGGTGACCTTGAAGAATCATCACGCCCGCCTCTACCCCATATTAATGTACGATCGCGCAACAAAGCTCCATTGGTTGGCAGCAACCGCCAACTACTAAAGAAAGAAATGGAAAAAGAGGAAATCGCGCGGCTTAGCGCACGTTCGTTTTCCGCTTGAGACAAGGCGACGCCTTCTTCGAAGGTGCGCTAAGAAAGCGCAAAAGAGAGGTCGGAGCTGGAGCTGGAGCCGGAACCGGAGTCGGAGCCGGAGCCGGAGAACTGAGAAGGGAGGTAGAAGTAGAAGTAGAGGTAAGGAGATTCACGGTCGAGGGAATGAGGGATTTCTTGCTCCTATATAAGAGGTCGGACGTCGTATTTTGGAGTATTATCGTACTGACTGCTAGCCAGACATATACGAGCTCCAAGATGTTCAAACTGGTAAGTTAATTGAGATTTATCCTTTTATATTTTTTACCGTGTCTATTTCTCTATCGAGGAGATCAAGCTCGGTGACGTCTATTTTTCTCGCATGTATATCACGTATATATTATATACGTATAATTTAGTTCCGCGCGTACTGTATATAATATCGACTCGTATAATATTTCCGCGTTCGTGTCTCGTCATTCGTCATGTCCTTTTCGATCCATCGCTGGATCAAAAAGCGTACGCGAGTCTCTTTACGGGTAATTCTGCATACACTCGCCAGTTTCGCAAAACTATTGCAGATTCATTTCCGTCGCTCATTGTCAGAGAGAGAGAGAGAGAGAGAGAGAGAGAGAGAGAGAGAGAGACGCATCGCGCGAAAGGACTCTACGTATCGTTGAGAGATGCGCCATTCTAAAGCATGTCAGTTATCAGTCATAAATGCCCGATGAAACACCTAATTTATTCCCAAGTTAATAAATTTAAAACAATTCTGAAATAAAATGTATATTAAAAGTTGAATAAGAAGGGTAAGGTGTATCTCTCGCCATCTCATCGTTAGATTGCAGTCATTTCCGCTGTAAAACGATATCGAATTGTTATATACCGTGTCGCGTAACACACAGAATTTGGCTCTATCACTATACGACTATAATATTAGATAATTATCATTTGCATTATCGTATATACTATCATCTGCAACAATATAATGATAACAGTATAATATTATTACGTTAAATAAATATGACTCATTGACTCATTGTTACAGTTGTGCTTGTTTGCCGTTTTGGCATTTGCCGCGGCTGCGCCCGCCCCAGAGCCCGCACCCGCACCCGCACCCGCACCAGCACCAGCACCAGCACCCGGCGCGATCATCGGCGCCCCGCTTGTGACATCCTACAGTGCTCCCATCGTTTCCGCGCCGTTAGCTTACAGCGCGTACAGCCTACCGACTTACAGCGCGTATTCAGCAATCCCGGCCTTACCGTACGCGTATAAGAGTTATGCAGCCTACGTGGCCTAATCGTCTAAATATCCACCAGGAGGACCAGGCATCGGAGATTAAGGACCACGTTCCATGGACACACACATGGATCCACAAATTGACCGATCAACATCCACGAAATCTTTTCCAAAAGATTTTTTCAACCGCGGATTTGTTTCTCCGCGGTTCGTTCTCTTTATCCCCTTAACTCATTCGTTCGAATAACTCTGCCCTCGCATTTCATTAGATCCAGAATCAATAAAGCCGCTTAAAAGCACGTGTGTATGAGTGTTTCTTACTCGATTCCACCGCCACCCCTCACATTCCACTCCTTATTCTCCATTGTACGATTTACTTATACATGGCATATATATACCTTACATACTTAACATATAAGAAAGATCGTTTTGTCAAGACAAATTGAAAATCGAAATCTACATTGAAAACTCGAGGAAAGAATTTTTAAATTTATACATACGGCGTGTACACGCCGTTTCATAAAGGCTGTCTCAGAAACGCCCGAAATTATTTAAAAAATACTTCAAAGACGAAAAAATATATTTCTTCGATAACGCCTAACAATAAATAAAATAAAATTTTATTTCTAATCTAATTGTAAGACTTGATGAGCGAAATATTAGAAAATTACAACGGCCTATTCTTTTGTGTGCTCGATCATACGCCTGCAGGATATAGAACCTCTTCTAAGCTAGCAGGACCAAATCGGCAGAATCAAACCGGACCTATCAGAATATTTAGTCCTCATTTTGTACTACGTTGTAGCACTAATAACAATTTTGTATCCCGTGCCATTTCGGAGAAAATCGTGGCGGTGCTACCTTAGCATTAAGCTAGAAAGACCACAAGAAAAAAAGAAAATTAAATACAGATATTTGAAGGACTGAATTTTTACTCATTTGTACCAGACAAATAAACTTAATATATTCATTCCTTCTGCTAAAAAAATAACTCACCGGCCGATGCGCAACGGCGGAGTTGTAAGTTGTTGATCCCCTGCGTCGATCTGTAACATAGAAAATATTTTTACATTAAAGCCGTGTCTAAAATAATAATCAATACTTGAAGTAAATAATTATCGCGCCAGCGATTTCATATTTCCGCATTAACTCGTTCGCACGGCATAATTAATGAGTGCAAGTAATATTATACGACCGTGCGAATAAGAGAGATGCGATGTCTCTTTTTGCATATGCCGGAGCTGGATCGAACTCCGATCCGAAATTGCGCCGGAGTTAAACGGTATCGTACGAGTTAATGAGTATGATTGTAATGGACGAAGTCGCGCTTGAGAACGTGGCGAAATCTGCCATCCGTCACAGAGGACTGGCAGGACAGCGAAATAATGAATGCACAACAATACTACTCACCCCACGGTTGCTCCGCCGTCGCCCGATGCCTCCCCCAGGCCCCGTTCTCCTCTTATCGATCCTCCTCCGTTGGTCCATTGTCGCACTCACTCACGAGCGAAAATCGACGATATCGTCTCTTATGATCGCGCGACCGGCGATACTAAAGGCACGGCACTCCCGGTATTAATCTCGCGACGCGGCGACGGAAGAATTACGTCGCGGTCGCGGTCGGAGAAACTACGAACGAAACTATACGATCCGTTTGACGCCCATGACGCCGCGCACAGCCAACTTCACTCGCCAGGGCCAGGAGCAACTGTCGCGAGAATTGAACGCGATTACGCGGCCTTTATCCGTTCCGAAAACGATGAAAACTTTATTCTGAAGCTGCGCGACACAACGCGAGACGCGAGTCAAGTTGACGGTTGAGAAAAGCGAAACTGATTACTTATCCGATCCGAAAAAATGTGCGAGGGGCGCGGGAGTAACGACACGTCTGACTGTCTGACGTCAGAACAGGTCACGGGCGCCGCGGTAAACATGAGCAGTGGGGATAGAGTGGGGGTAAGGTGAATACGGTCGGTTAGTTCGGTATGCCGGGTGCCGGGGCCGGGTATGCGTATCGCATAAAGCCTACCCCTCTCTATCCCCACTGCTCATGTTACCACGGCGCCCGCGGCCCGTTCTGATTTCTGATGTCGTTGCTCGCGGATCGCACATCGCAGAGTAATATAAGTACGAATCGCCAGGTCCGATTTCCGATTATTCAAATTACAGAAAAGTGTGATCATTTAAGGCCGGTTCTAATACAATCAGTCGTATGTCGCCTATGTCGGATGGCCCAATGAGAGAATTTCTTTTTCGATAACGAATTTTTCTCATTGGACCATCGGTCACGTTCCGACATCCGAGGTATAAATCGCATTCGATTATACATTCATTCGGATACGCGGTCTCACTTTTCTCAACCGTCAACTTGACTCGCGTCTTGCGTTGTGTCGCGCAGCTTCAGAATAGAATTTCCGTCGTTTTCGGAACGGATAAAGAACCCGAAATCAAGGCAATCACACACAAAATGCATAGCTTAGCATAAGACCAATGAGCATCCAGCATAAAGTCGCCATATTGATTTACATAAGATGTTCATTGGTCCGTCCAGCGCGACGCGCCCTAATATCATATATGTCGAATGTTTATTTAATACATGTGCTTCGCGGAATTAGATACGGATGCCGAGGTATATGTCGCATTCGATAATAGTGACTTTCTATTACGTTCTTTTGGACGGTTGATTTCGCTTTTCCCAACCGCGCGTCAAAGCGCGGTCGTGCGCGCCGCGGTAAACACGAGTAGTGGGGGTAGAGGAGTGGTATCGAGGCGTGCTGACGTCACGCATACCGAGCGCGCACCGTGCCTAGTTACCTGTAGCCCCCACTTCGTCCCTACCAAATAGTGTGACGAGAAGCCGTTAGCCGCGGCGCGGCGCCCGCGTCCCGCTCCCGCGCTCCATTATTCACATCAGTGCAGAGCGCAGCTTCTTCGTCGTAATCAGTCGTAATTTTTCCGTTGCCGTGTAACTAAGTAGGTACGTGTCGCGTCGCGAGATTAATGCCGGGAGTGTCGTGCGAAGTGTTGAAAATATTGCGGAGATCGCGCGATCATAAGCGACGATATCGGTCGATTGGACGCGACGCCACGGTTGCTTTTGGCGAGTCAAGTTGGCCGTGCGATTTACGAAATTCCGCCATGTTCGTCTACCTGCGGGACATCGCGGATCGCGGCACGGGCGCGGCGTCGAGCGGATCGTACAGCTTTTTCGCCGTAATTTTTCCGTCGCCGTGTAATCAAGTACTCGCCGCGAGATTAATGCCGGGAGTGTCGTGCAAAGTGTCGAAAATATCGCGCGATCATAAGCTACGCGATCTTATAATCGATTTTCGTGAACGTTCGTGAGTGAGTGCGGAGTGCGCCAACCGGCCAACGGAGAAGGACCTGGCGAATCGTGGAGAGGAGGAGGAGGCCTGGCAAAGGCATCGGGCCCCGACGGAGCAACCTTGGGGTAAGCGTTCGTTCTTATTTTTAAAATTAATAGTTCTTTTCTATTTATTCGCGTTGATTTATCTCGGATAAGCAAGAAATAATTTGAGAAACCGAACGTTTATCTAAAATTTTATAAAAGTTTATTCTCATAAAGGTTTTTCTCAGGAAATAAGTAGATAAATTATATATTAGTAAATCTAATTAAAAGACGACGTAAAAGAGTGTAAAAATTATTTTTTGAAACATTGATTATTTTGAGCGTCTATTTAATATGAATCTTTCATTTTTGTGTTACAGAATCATCGGAGCGACGTGGCTGACTAACTCCGCCCGTTGCGCATCGGTCGGTGAGTGATTTTTTTTATAATAGGGTGATGGTGATGGATCCAAAAGGAACGATAATTAAAATTTTATCCTTATCTTTTATAGTTTATCCATCTAATAGCTCTTGGCTTTGTATCAATAAATAAAACAAAACAAAATGACGTGGATTCAGTAAATAGGTATTTTATCACGAAGCAGAATAATTTTTTTATGTAGAAATATTTAAAAGTTGATAGTTTTTATATCTGTTATATTAAAATGCATAATATAGTCTAAGATGATACATATTTTATGTCGTATTAATCATAATTTTACGTATCGTTCCTTTTGGATCTCACGTCATTCATTCTGTATATCTCACTTGATATCTGAGGTGAGACCAAAAAATCTAAGAGTACTGTAGTTGAAATATACAATAAGAACTGCCGAAATTCAGTAGCTTTGAATCGGTAACATTCGCCTAAACTTCTCGTGCGAACTTTTTTGGACAACTACGTGTAGCTATTGTTAGTAAACGCTCGGAAATATACCTTTTTGTTTATATTTAGTGCTCATGGTTTAAATTTTCCACCAATCCATGCAGCCAGTAAAATATCGGTTCGGTTCCGGTTTCGGTCCATTAAAATACTTAATAAAGATTTCGGTTTCTGTTTCAGTTTTCTAGCTAACAAAACTATCGATATTGCGCAAATTACAGTCATTTCGGTTCCGGTTTATTAAAATTTTTTTATTTGAAATTTGTATTAAATTAAATTATTTACATATTATCAGCTTTTTATTTAATGATTTACTTTTAATACGTAATTAGGATAATAATTGTATCAATAATTGTGTGCAAAGTATTAATGGACTTTAATTTAAAATTATAGATATATTTTCACATATATTTTGTATTTTGACACGTAGTATGAGGAGGGGAGGGAAGTGGCTGACCACTTTTATTTACATAAATTACAAAAATGTAGGATTTGAATAATATATTTAATATTATAATGTGTTGTACAGCAGAGATTGATAATCGCATCGACAGACGCACGTCGTAAGTCGTAACTCGCTCGCTGTTCGGACTCGACTTTCTTTATGCTCCGCTCGCCGCCGCTTATCGATATTCTTATTTCGGATACTACATCTCGGCCATTCTGCATGGCATTTGCTTTCGAATACTTACTCTTTATTCGCTCTTACTGACTACTTTGACAATCAGTCTCGTAGTCTTCTTCGTCACCTTCTGATTCTACATCGTGTAGCCACAGTTTCATAGAATCAGCTGCTGTCCAAGTCTCCTCGAGTCTGCAAGTAGCAATTAATTCTGCTGATGAGAAAGAGTACTTTACTCTTGAGACTAATATTAGGACAGTTCTATTAGGAGCTGTTTGAAGCAGAAGAGATGATGGTACAACGTAGTACAAATTCAGTCCTTCAAATTTCTGTATTTAATTTTCTTTTTTTCTTTATTTTCTTGTGGTCTTTCTAGCTTAATGCTAAGGTAGCAGCGCCACGATTTTCTCCGAACTGGCACGGGATACAAAATAGTACAAAGTGGGTACTAAATATTCTGATAGGTCCGGTTTGATTCTGTCGATTTGGTCCTGCTAGCTTAGAAGAGGTGGATATAGAGCTCGGAAAGTATGTGGGTTGACGCAATGTTCTCTTAAATATACACGTACAATGCATACGTATCTCGAAGGTATCATCAATGACGTGCAAACGAACGCGTTGTTCCACGTTAAAGGCACGTACATCATTGTGTATTATTTTAAAAAATCCTTTGAAATGGCTCTCACGTAAGATGGAGTTAGACAGATCCGAATAAATCTATCGAGTATTTCGTGTAACTTGTATAAATCTACAAGCCGTTTGCCTCGTAAATGTATTATTCAATGGCATACTAAAATTGTTCATTGTCAAATTTATTGCAAAATGCATACTTACCATTGATTGTTACAAGACGTTGTTGAAAAAAATGTTTCTCGAAAATTGTGTTTGAAATCTATATCTATTTGGATTTTTATAAGAAATTTGTCTATCTTAATTATGTAGAGAACGCTTAAGGGGTGGAAGGACACGTCACGTATGACATTTCATCGGAAAATTAACATGAGAGAGCAGATTGACACGCTACCATACATGTGTACTAGTGCATCGATACGTAGAATCTGGATCAGAGAGATTGATATATATGAATCTGAACATTAAGAAATTTTCCCTGCATTCAAAATATAATACGATATAGAGCGCACGAAAAGGGGTGAGGTGATTTTACGTTTCTCCGAGGCGCGAGGCGGAAGGAGAAGAGCGGAAGAGAAGGGGTGCCATATTAGGGTCATCCAGGGTCATCCGTTTGTCGACCCGATTGCAGGTCAAAGTTCCAGTTTCCCGTCGGGCGTGCGTGGTCGAGAGAGGACTGGCTCGTCGTTATGACGACGTGACGTAACGATCGCGTCATCATCGCGGAACATCGGGACATCGCGTCGGGATGAAAAGAAGGTCGATGAACTCCCAGCTCCCAGCTTCAACCACGCAGCGTTCGTTTTGACCACGAGCGACCAGACGCGAGACGCGACTGGTTGGCTGGCTGGCTAGATGGCTGCAGGCGCTGCAGCTTGCAGCTTGCAGCCTGTAGCTTGTAGCCTAAACAGAGGCACGGACGAGACGGGGTGAATCGGGTGAATCAAGTGAATGGGGGACGCGAGACGCGACCCGGCGGATCTGCTTTGCTTCTGTCCCTCCCTTCCCCCATAGTTTTCGATACCATCGATTCGACTTGTATTGAGCTCGATGTCCTTGCCGTGACGTCGGTCGTGTCGCGTCGCGAATATACATATGTAGGTATATTGTATTATAGCTTATACTGCTTATAGGTACATACATATATAAGTATATAGCAACGTATTTATTCGTATTTGTTGGCGCGCTCGTTCCTTTAGTCTCTGTATCCAACGCGTATCTTAACGCGCTACACACACATTGGGCAACATTTGGGAAATATCTTTCGCGGAGGAGAGAAAGAGGATAGGTAGGTAGGTAGGTATGTAGGTACGTACGCGCATTGCAGTGTTTTACGCGCGGTATGTGTTTTTATCCATGGCCATGACAGAACTAAAGCCTGACCTAGTTGCAGGAGCTTGCACTCCTGTGTGACGTCAGGATGCGCAGGAGCCCCATTCACGAGTCTTGAACAAAGTAGATCGGTATCCACCTCCGTGAAATGTCATAGTTCATTCAATGATTCGCTAGCTTATTTTCTTCCTCTCGTTCATTTCTCTCTGTCTCTGTCATATCATTGTCTGCCTATTCTCTTTGCCATTTATAAAAAATAGCTCTTTTCTTTAACGTTATATAAACATCCTTCCATCAATTTTGAATTATTCCGATTATCATTTATTCCAAAAAGGGTTAATCCCTCACGTTTAATTAAATAGCCACTTTCCGCACTCTGCAATGCCTTGGTATCTTTACTGTTTTCATATATATTATAAAACGTTTACCGTTGACATCTTATAACGTCGACATAAATTTCTTTTTAAAAAGATCGATTTTAAAATAAAATAAATTTCACTTTAGAGAGGATTATAATAATTCGCTAGTGCTCTTTTTTCTACCGTCTCATGAAGATTACAGGACTGATAGTTTTAATTTGAAATCGATTAAACGTGTTATTACCGTTATTATTCTACAATTCTACAAATGAGCTGAGAAAATGCTGAGCGAAAAAATCCAACTTCAATAGTAACTTATGCCAGGGTAGGTATATACTTACTACGAAAATTTAAAATTCTTTCAAAAGTATCTCAAACTATATGGGGAATCGAGATATTCCAAATTCATGGAAACCTTCTATCACCCCTTCGAAGCTGACGAGTACTTATTGTTAGTTGGTCTCTCGCGGAGGATGTGAAACGGTCACACGAAACGCAAATAAGTAGTTTTGTCTCGAGATAGACGCAGCTTTTAACGTGGATGTTGGACTGCCCGTGATCCTTCGCTTTCTCTTCCCCATCCCCCTACGCTCTACGCCCTACGTCCTACGTCCTATGCCCTACGCAATGTCTTTGGCCCAGTTTTCTCATCGGCGCGCGCGGCGCGGCTCGGCGTAGTGACGTCATTCACGTCATTGAGAAGGCCACTGACAATACGTCCCAGTTTGCAGTTTCCAGTTCCTGCCGCCGCGCAATGCGGAACAAACTCGGTCGGGGCTTAATCCTGTAGCCTTCGATTCTTTGTCGCGGTCAATTTTGGATCTCATTCCGCGTGAATATCATACGATCGCGACGCGCATTATCACGCGCCTCGAGGCTCAAACAACAGTTACAGTTGACCACTTTCGAATTAACGAGTTATGAAATGTCTAGAAAAATTTATATAAAATGTACAGATATTGTCTAAAAAAGACAATTATTAATGGAATGTCGGACATCGGATAATTTTGACTTGGCAAAGTTGAAATCAAGATGGTCAAGCTGAAATAAACTTAAAAAATTATCGGATATTATAAGATTATTTATATAACCATAGATTATTATGCGTGATGCCTCTCTCCCTTTCTCTTCTCATTTTCCTATATTTATATAATTCTAGATTATATAAAAATATGTAAGATTTAATTCATTAGATAATTAAGAAAGATAAAACTCAGCTTAATATATTTTAAAAATGATATATGATTATACATATTACTTTTGTAACTAGAAACGTAGATTATTTTCAAAATTATAAATTTTTCCAAATTTTTTCAAACTAATTTTCTTGAAAACGGGATCTCGGATATAAAACTGACTACAAAAGAAAGATTAGTTCTAAAACAAATTATTTTATAGACTTATTGTCTCGACGGTGATTACGGCCGCTATTGACCTGCAATTACGCCAAATTATCCGACGTGAAAATTTCGGTCGTGTCTAGTAAATGGTATGTTAAACGAGATTTTCAGTACCATTACGGTCGCTAATGCATACGGGTTGATGCATACGTTTCGTCGACGCGACGCGATGCGCCGCGGCGTCTCGCCGTTCGTACTCGTTGAAAAGAGTATTTGTTTGCGCTCGTTTGCTTATTGTTAGTCTGAAGTCGGCTTTACTTATACCGCAATTTTCAGAAATTGACCAGGCGTGCTTGGCAAGCTTCGATTGACTTCTGCTTTTAACGTGTACCACGTGTTCTTAAGACGATCCTCTGTCTAGGATACGAATATAAAGAACCGGTCGCGAATTATTCTAATGAAAATGATATTGAAATCGTGCGAGAAATAATGTTCATGCATTTAGATTTTCTTGGATTCTACGAAGCTTTATGCTGTTATAAAATATAGTATAAATAACGTGAACAAAATGTATGATTCCAAGCATCGTTTCTCCAAATATAAAAACTGTACCGTTTGGTTTGCGAAATTTGTCATTTGAATTATTATTTTTACTACTACTATTCTGCCAATTTATTTCTAATGATATCATTGTTCGTACATTTTTTATGGTTTTATGTTACGTTACGATTTGGTAGAAGGTAGAAGAAAGGGAAAAAATATTTTAGAATGAAAAACGTTTATTTGAAACGTAAAGGTCGATATAGATAAAACAATACAAAACATTCAGTCCTGAGTGTAACGGATCTTCATCCCATCTTTCTTGTTGCAACACGGCGATTATTCCGCGCGATTACATAATCATATTTACGCATGTATATTTTGTTCTCTCGCATTTTCGCTTATTGATAACATCTAATCGTGCAGACACGCTTAGGAGTACCTTCAAGGCACTAGAGATGAATCGCACAAACATTCTTTATAAATGAGTTTGAGGAAGGTTTCTCAAGATATGTGTGTGTGTGTGTGTGTTTTTGTCCCAATCGCTTTTGTATTTTATGAGTCATACATTTTTGCTAATCACATTTTAGTTCGTTTTTCCCCCCATATTTTATATTACATTTTTCGACTTTTTGTGATTAATCAGTCTTTGCCAGTTGTGAAGGATTCCCTCAACGTACACTTGTTGTACGTTTTTTCTTCCATAAACAATAATAATTACATGTCGTGCGATTACGTACTGCCAATTAACCTGATTAAGCTTTTCGCCGTTTACGTAACGATCAACGCGGAAAGAAACAATCGTAACTGGTATTAATGAGTTTATTTGTTTGACATTGTAACTTTGATATAAGTTTTCGATAGATTTAAAAGCAAATAGATCTAGGGTCATACAACTTTAGTTAGACCTGAGATTAAAGTAATCTAAATAATAAATTGTAAATTTATGTGAATAAAGTATAGTAATATTATACAAAAATATTAAAAAAAATAGATATAATTATTTAAGAGATAAGCGATAGGAATTTTTTAATAGATTTAATAATATTTCGGATCTTCTAAAAAAACTTAAACGCGCACTTTGTTCTTTTTTATTTTAACTCAAGTCAATCTTGCTCATTAATATCTTAAAAGCTACGAGTGTTTGGAAAGCATCAATAGTGATATGTATCGCTTATTATTTTTCAACAATATCCGTCGATCCCAATTCTTATAATGTATTTACATATCTTGTACTTAAATAATACTGATTTTTGAATACTTGATTTTTAGTATTACTATATATACAAATAAAAGACTTTTTCTTTCGCGCAACCGAGATGGTTCGCTGATATAAACAATATTCTTACACGAGTGATTTGCTTTTCTTATACATAATAATTCACAATTATAATAATACAATTATCATAGTACAAGTTATTAAGAACAATATCCTTATTTTGGATCTAAAATAATTTTGAGATATACTATAAATTTTACGCGCCGATATAGATATACGTATATAATTGACTTTTATCGCGCGATTAAGAAATCGCGACTCTTTATAGTGCCGATGAAAAGTATGATAAAAGTATATCATTTTCATTATGATCAACAATGATGAATGAAGGAACAGCATAAGTATAAACGAGAAATAATTATATTAATTTATCGTTTGTTCGACTTTTTCTCTCACAATCAGATGTATTCGTAGCCCTCGCTATAAAGTTACTTTGATACCTTCATGGAGGCATGTATGCGTCGTTTGAATGCATTCGAAAATTGCATTTTCCAGCATATCGAGTAGTTTAATTTAACCTTTTTGCGAAATTATTATTGTTATTGTTATTATTATTATTATTATTATTATTACACATCGTAATTTCTCGCCTCTCATTAAAGAGAGTAATTTCTATTAAATAATTAAATTCTTGTTAGTGGAAATTACAATATAGAGATAATGATGTGTTTAATAAAATCTTGCATAACTGATGAGTGACAATATGAATTATAATACACATTAATATTGTACATTAAATCTATCAGTCTGCACGTTCGTACATTCTAAACATCTCGCGTACGCTTATAATCAGAGAACATTAGTCAGATAGTCAGAGAAAAATATCTAATTGAGAGTTGAGTGGCTGTATTATAGTTCTACATGTAGGTACACAACACATATCGTGACGAGAGAGAGAGAGAGAGAGAGAGAGTTTTTTGGCTTTAAACACTCTGCGGCAAAGTCTTTAATAAAATCGGTGTTGCAAAAGTATTAGAAACTATTGTGCAGACAATCCTGAATACACGAAAGTTTATCTTATTCTCTTGATATACATTGGATATCTCAATTCAAGATTAATAATTCAGAAAATAATCAACAAGATCGACCGTACGTCCTTTTGTCGTTCACTTTCGTAATTCAATAATATGCAAATAATTTTTGCATATTATCCAGTATCGAAGATCGTATATGCAACCATTACGATCGTGGCGTATATATCAAGAGATACGGTAGTTTAACGTAATCTCTCTTTATGTTAATTGTTTTTTCATTTCTTTTCTCATCGCTCGTCTCGCTGAGCTCATCGCCGAGCCTAATAACTCGCGTTGAGTCGGCGTTATACGCTTGACTTATACTACTTAAAAGGGAAGTAGGCATTCGCCTGCTTCGACTCGAGAAGTTACGCCGATATATTACGGTATAGTGAGTAAGTGGCACGTGAAATGTAATCGCGGTCGAATGAACGACGAGGAAACGGAGGAACGTGAGAAAAAGGGGGAAGGAATGCAGGAAGAGCCCAGAAATTACGGATATCGCGTGATTCCCTTTGGAATTTGTAATTTTTTATCTGGCAAAGACGTCACAACAACGACGACGTGACGGGACGTAACGAGTTATGTTCGTAGTTATATCGCGAGCACGACGATCAAAAGACGACGTTCGATCGTGCATGCCTTTTCGATTTTATCCTTAACTTTTTAGTTTCTTCAGTCCTAGTATCTTGGTCCTGCGCAGCGATCGAAATTGGTGATAAAACTCACTCCGCCCATTAAATTCGCCCATTTACGAGGTGTCGTGTAGATGTCTATCGATAGAGATCGATCGGATCCTGGCAGGAGGAGGGTTGTATCATTTGCTGTTGAAAAGCGGAATTTCGGGGAATCCTTTGAGTGGGTAGACCGGATGGTCCTCGGACATATATGTAGGGCACCGGACTACGCAAGATCCTCTTCGGGCTCTTCTTCGCGTGCTTCTTCTCCTTGTTGCTATCCCATTTGGATGAGGTGATCTTGAGATTCTGAAAGGCCCGTCGTAGAGTTTCCGCGGTGGAGGACCTCTTGAGAGAGTCGCTGTCGCTGCTGCTATGCGCATCCGAAGGACTGGAGGAGTACGACAAGGGCGAAACACCACCACGAGGTAGACTCCTGACGTCCTTGGGAGGGCTCCAGGTGCGCTCCGACGATCTTTGCACGCTAGTGCTAAGCCGCTCTTGCGATCGCGTCGGTCGTCCTCGCAGCCGCTCCGGATAGCAATGTGTTCTCGGAGACCTGCTGGATCTGCACAATCGTTCACCGCTGCCGCGCCGCGACAGATGTTCTCCGCTTCCGGTACTGCCACCGCTGCTGCAGCCACTGTCAGTGCTGCACTCGTCGTCACCAATCTCACCCATCACCGGCGTTCTACCTCGATGATGATGATGATGGTGATGATGGTGATGATGATGATGATGATGATGATGATATCGATGATGATGCTGTCGGTGATTGTTCAAATCATCCACGGTCAGCTGCGTGGACTCCTCCATATCATTTGACATTTGAACTCGTGACACTTGAAATCACACGGTTCTACAACGGTAACGCAACGAGATATCCAAAGAACGAAGATGGATACCGTGGCGGCCGGGTAACACTATTACGTGTCTATTACGTGAACCGTTGCATAGATTCGTCCTTTCGGATATTGTGGACGTATGTAGATTCTAGATGTATATATCCACGCGGATTTATGTAGCGGGTGCTGCCGTTGCGCCGCGCGCGTACTTGCCGCGCGTGGACCGAAAGTGGATCCCAGTTGTCTGTCCAACTTTCATACACGGAAATGGCCACCTGTTACTCCGCGATACTTTTGGGTCTTTTGGCAACCCCAGACTATATTTATTACTCCGCTGTATTTATCTTTTTTTTCCGATCAATCGATCGCTCGATCGTTTCTTCTCCTCGTCAGGACGATTTGCTCTCAATTTACGTTTTGCTCTCACGAGATTAAACTGAGCCCGATGCGCTCGACCCGCGATCTTTTATACCCTCGCAGCTGAACGCGGGAACACGCGCATGCCCCGCCGTCCACGTGAGAGTACGTGTGCGACCGCGACCGAGGATATCGCGAGGGGGTTGTAGGAAGCTGCAATGTGCATCGAGCTGCACAGCGGTAATGGAAACGAGACACCGCCACCGATAAAAGTCTTGGTTTAGTCTTCGAATCGAAGACTCTGCGTCGACAATTTAAAAAAGGACGGTAGCGATTAGCGATAATTAACACGTGACATCGTAGTGATCGAGATATATATGTCCGATCTTTCGCGATTACATTTAAACTTGTCAATATATAAAATACATTGTCAGCGAAAATCAACTTGATTTTGACAAATAAATCTGACATATTTCTATTCGATTTTAGCAAGTTTACACGAGAGAGATACATGCGTGAGACGTTTTTTTTTAAATTAATTTAAATATTTTTGTCTGAACAAAATATCTTTTATTTAGATATTATATATTTTTAAACAAATTAAAGAGTGCGCAATATTTAATATTTTCTATCTTAATTTTATTATATTAATTAAACATTAAACATAAACTATCTCTTTTCGCCATGTGCCTCGTAAATCGTCGATCGATTCTCTCTTCTGGTAATATTATCGATTATTCACTATAATTACATCTCATGCGGTCGCGCATTGCAGTTTTGAATATTTCATCGCTAGATGATTCCGATTATACACGGATACAATTGTAGCGATCAGATGACGGTGGTCCCGTAACCGATATTCAAGAATATAATTTTAATTTAGTATTTTGGGAGAGCTGCATTCTCTTCCTCTCATTCTGTCTCTGCAATGCCGATTATTTGATTCCCAACCAAAAACACCCGCATTGATTATACGTTCTCTATCTATGTATAATATATGTATCTAAGCATATGTATGCGTATAATTAAATGGATCAACAAGAAGTTTTAATTATATTCTGATCTATTTGTATCACAAAAATTACTATAATTGTACGCGTAGAAATCGGAATAAACAGATAATTCTAACGTTATATCGACGAAAAGACGTACAGCTATAATACTCTGCAAGATATAATATTACCCCCCCCCCCCGCCGAGAATCTCATAAGCTTGATATCTTAATTCACGTGGACAGAAACGTGAGGCGCGGTATATATAAACTAATTACAAGACACTTTCTTCCCGCTCCCGCTAATACCATCGCCTTTACGATAGATTCGATAACGCGACAAAGCACGTTTGTCCACTATTATATAGCTCTGTTAATAATACACTACTAGTAAAATAGTAAAAATGAAATGTTTGACGATAAAAATATATACTAATATACATATAAATGTATAATACATAATGCAAATATAGCATAAAAAAAGTATCGCGGTAAGAATTCCCCCTCCCCCTCCCTCTCTCTACGTATGCCTGAGCGCGCGCGCGCGTGTGTGTGTGTGTGTATCTTTTTTTAATTTGATATTTTATACGGTATTTTTCTTTTATTTTTCAACATAAAGTAGATTATCTAAATATTTAAAACGTCAATAAGTACTGAAGAAGTATAGTAGTAATTTTCTGAAAAAAAAATTCAAAAATTTATCAAATATAATCTAAAATAATAATTTATTGTCACAAAATTATATGATCTCTCGATATTGCAGTTTATATGTATGGCATGCGAATGCAACGTGACTAAAATTTATAGATTTATATTCTAATTCTTCATAAACTTCCCCCCCTCCCTCCGATAAATTCGTCATATCATGATACAAAAGTTAATGCAACTGTTAATGTTCGATACAAATTTATAAATGAGGAAAAGGACATTTGTTTATAACGTACATTAATCAAATGTGTATTCACACATACTCTATATTATACGTTTACATCTATATATATTACAGTAGCTATATATCGTGATGAATTACTTTTAAATCTATTCCACAAATGTTATTTCGAGAATTACAATAGTTTAATATATGACGTTAACAATAATAGTTGTATGAAAAAATACGTCGTAGAATTTTGTGTAGGATGAATTATTAAATATTATTAAAATTATTAAAGGAGCTTGCCGCAAATTCACATGTCACATTTCGATTTATATATAATTTAAGTATTTGTGTTCCAATGGCACGGAACAGAAAAAGTGATAGAAAGAATAGAACGACGATGTCTTGTCGATTGCGCGTGCATGTTTTGTAAATTGTACGATCACGATTACTCATCTCTCCCGCCGGTATCTCTCGCAAGTCATCTCTCACTGTCACTATCCCGCATAAGTATACGAGTTATACGAAAAGGTATGTGATTATGCTTGACGATGACGTCTGCTGGCATTCACGTAACAAAGACCAATATTATTGTCGGCAACTTGCATAACTGCGCATAGGGCGCAATGACAAAAACTCGACTGATTACGCAATGCCAATTGCGAATGTGTAAATGGGCTTTACGGCTTACGGCATAAAGCTCGACTGTCACTTTCTTTCTCAGCCGGTCCGTTGCTTTATCTCTTTCGAAAAATAGCGATTGATTCTAAGGCTATCCTCCCCTTATCCTGCCGTTAATTAATTAACCAACTAGATGGCAAATCAAAACGATATAATATATAATGTACTTTTGTTTATTCATTATATTTATAATATTGATAATTGTAGCTTACGTACAGTAATTAGCTACGAGAAATCGCAAAAAGCAACAATTGAAATAGATCTGATTTCTTGTCGGTGGTAATTGTTTTTAACAGAAATTTTTTGCAATTTTAGAATTATTTGGAAACAATCTAGAAATTATTTTAAAATTTTATTTATAAAAATTTATTACTTAATTTTAAATAACAAAACTACAATTATAAACATAAAATACTGTATAATGTTATAGTAATTTAAAAAATTATATTACATATGATTTATCCTCTATGTGAGGTGTTACTATGATGACTTTATCTTAGTATGATTTATCATTTATCTCACTGTGCCTCAAGCAAAAGTAATCTCAAAAGACTTGTTAATATATAAATATGCAATAATTTACAGTTGTTGCAGCGCTCTAATTGTCGGCAATTATTTTGAAAATTGGAAAATTATTACATCGATATGCATAAAACGTATTTCACGATTTTCACAAATAAAGCCACAAATAGCCCTTGTGGCTATTACGTTATGTCGATGTAATAGTATAATAACGTAATGTACGTATTGTTTATATACGTCTCAAATCTTCTTGATTCGAGAGCTTTCAATAGCGATGACGTGAAATTACATAAAGGGTGTTTATGTTTCAGAAATAGCATGTGTTACCTGCACAATTATGCGTAATATGGATTAATTAAAACAACACGTAACAAAACGCAAACATAATAGAACCGACCATGTATTTATATAATTTACCTATTTATAATTATAAGAATGAGATAAACATATATACTTAAGTTATGCGTTTTGTTTTAAAATAATTCATAACAATTGGTGTATTAAATAATATTTGATAATATTAATAATTTATTAGAAACATGTTTATGATATATTTATCGTTCTAATACTTCTCGTAAAATTTATTGTTATATAATGATATGTATAAGTTAACCGAGCATTCATATATTTTTGTGACTTACATAAAATCCGTCCTATTGCATAATATTGCATTTTTAACGTAAAACTTTTGTGTTTGCGTGCAAACTCTCGTTAATAGATTTCGTCGGTCGCCATCAAAGTTCTCTTCTGCACGGCTCTAAGTCGCAATAACGAAACAATGCTTTGTCGTTAATTGGATACTCGGGTCGTTGCTTTATTATAAAAGCCAGTTATTAAAACACGCCGCTTTGTTACGTAACGCTCAGTATATCTCCCTGCCGATGCGTGTGACATTGGTTTTAGTATCTGTTATATATATGTATATTAGCACACGTAACAAAAGTCTCGGAGGTTTCAAGTTAGCGTAAACGAGTGTTTTCTTTCTTTTACATTAACAAAATAACAACTAACATATGTGACGTTCATGAGAAAAATGTCTTAAATTAGTAATTTTTTAAGCTTATTTTAATTCTTCTAAAAGTTTATTTATTATATGTATGTAATAGACACAACGTAACATCTAAATTAAATTTTACACGTACATACATATTTGTGTGATGTTTATGTATACACATAACATTTTACTCACATTTTATTCATTTTATATCATAAAAGAGGATTATACAATTCACGAATTCTGTCCACTTTTGGTTTAGAGTCAGTCTAGACCTAGACAGCTATACGACAGCACTACTTTTGTAACGCTTTTTATACATTAAATTTGTCATCACATCAGAGGAAACCGAGGATTTGGCTGAAGGATTCGGCGTAGGTCTATAAGACGCGTAATTTTCAACCAATCTCCAATTAGCATTGTGTGCCGCATATGCCAATTAGTCTTGAGAAACTTTCATTGAATACCATGAATGAAGTAATTATTCGAGTTGTGGTTACTCTCCCCCCTCTCTCTCTCTCTCTCTCTCTTTCTCTCTCTTTCTCTCGCCCTCTCGCTCTCTTCCTACACCCGACCCTTACATAATCAGATTCATAACGTAATAACATAACACATAATAGCCTTTTTGCAACAGATTACCACTAACGCGAATAAAAACAGGATTATATTGCGCCAGGGGCAACTTTCTCATAACGATTAAAAAATTACAATGTAATTTAATCGAGTTTTTTTAATCATTTCTCTATATTGATTAATTTACTTGAGGTCGGACGATACCAAGATTTTTCTTTACTTTGGTGGAAAATTATCCCCAGTAATATTATTCATTTATATTACTTCATTTTATAGCAACTAATTTAACTTTCACTTGGTCTTACGATTATCAATTTAAAATTTCGGTGCGATAAACGGTTCTGGAGTTCTGGAAAATTTTATTTTCAACGCGAGAATTGCTTGCACATTTCGATTAAGGACAAAAAATCGGTTCATGCATACGTACGTCATGTGAGATTACAAGTCTACAAGATGTGTCCTTTTATGTAACGAAATTTATGCAACC